AAAAAATAGAAGACGTTAAAAATGTATTATAATGAAAGAAATTTTTTTTTCAAGTCTATTTGTATTTTTTCAGTTTTTAGAAATCTCACTTAACTTTCTGAAATCTCACCCTGTTTTTGAGAAAGGGTGAGAAATTCTCACCCATTTTTTTTCTATGATGAAAACACTGTTTTTTCACAAAATAAATGTTTGCATTTTTTGATCAGGAATTACCCCAGGTCACCCTAAAGGGGTTTTATTGCTTTCTCTAAAAATTAAGTGGCTTCAAAAATCACTTAAAGGTAATTTTCTCCATAAAATGCGTTAACAAGTTTGAAATGTTTCGGGAAATAGGGAAAGTGGATCCCAAAGAAAAGTTCGTTAAAGAGGAAATTCACTTCACTATTTCGAAGTCATTTTACAAAGAAATTACCAAAATGTTCTTGGCTCCTCGAATAAAATTTGCAAAATGGAAGTTCATTAAATAGAAGCCTGGCCGTATATAATAAAATTTTGGCAAATTGATAACATTACTTATTCATGGATGAATTTAAAAACTTTCCTAGACAGTTAATCCAGGTATTATATGAATGTATAACTCTCAATGGGATGGAGGACTTGTTTATGGATGGATTTAGAAACTTTCTCTCTTTAGACAATTAATCTGGGTATTATATGAATGTGTAACTCTCAATAGGATGGAGGAAAGTGCTGGAGAAACGGAAGGGGGTGGAGAGACCATTACTGATATTCAGAATTACCTGGCTTCCTTCAACAAAGAGATCCAAGATGGCAGCTCCACTGCTGCTCCTGCATCAGCTTCTCAATTGGATGCAACTGCAGATTCTGATCCCACTATAGAACCCACTACTGAAACTGCTGCTTTCTTTGTGGCAGCTCCAGGCACATCCGCTGGTGAAGGATTTCAGTTCGAGCAAGGAGAGGTTTGATCATTTAAAGTGTTTTTAAAGTCTATGTTCAACAGCTCTTCAAATGCTGAGGCTTTGTTGTTGCGGGATTTTATTTTAAGTCTATAATTTAGGGATGCACAACCGTTTTGAGTGAATGGTCACATGCACAGCAGATTGATCAATAAAGGGTTGCATGACAAAGTATGTAGACAGACAGATTGACAACAATTGTTATGTAAACATCATTGTTCTAGGCATTAACCTTGTAATATCTTTGCATAAAATTAAATACTTTTAAATGTTTAAAATTAGAAACGGCAAAACTGATTACTTAGGGGAAAAAACAGAATCTATTTATTAGAAAAAAATTAGATAAGTTGAAATAATTAAAGTATGGGGAAATTCATGTTTTTTTTAACATTACAAAATTTCTTTGATAGAATTAAATTTAAAAGAAATGAATATTCTAGTTATTAAAATAAATGCAAGTTTAAAACTTTGATTTTAAGAAAGTTTATAGGGTTAAAAATGATAAAAATTGAAACAATTAAAAATGATGAAAAAAAGAGATCAAAAAACTACATTGATTGAAATTGGGTGCATCAAAAACTATTTAATTTCCGAATGCTTTTAATTTTTCAATAAAAAAAAGATTTTTTTTCCTTATCTTTAGATTGCTGCCGCGGGCCGCATATCAAGAGTTGACGCGCTGCAGGTTGTGCACCCCTACAATAATGAATTTTTTCACTTAAAATAATAAATTATTAAATTTTTTTCATAAATTAGAATATAGCATTTTCTGTTGTCTGTATGTTTCACTATTTGGGGAAGAAAAAAAAAAAGGCTACATCACATTATCTGAAAATTTATTTTATTACTTTTCTTAGTTATAAAAAAGAATCTTGAATAATAAATAGCTAAATGTCCTAAAATAAAAATGTGGTATTAGAACAGAATTTCGTAAATTTCTAGAGAAATTAAATATACCAGACAGTCAATGTCATTCGAAATTGTAATTAACATCATAAAATTATAATTAAGTAATTAATGTTCTTCAATGCACATAATTATAATTAAACAAATTAGTCAACACATTCTTCATCTGTGAATTTTTGTGTTAATTTTATCTGTGTAACATCGTCTTTTATGTGACTAATTTTTTTTTCTTCGTAATAAAAGCTTAAGATTAAATTTGATTTTTTAAATTTATTCTTAATATTTGTTAAGTAATCATGTAATACTGTAGAAGCTCTTTAGAATGTAAACTTTGAAACCTGGGACTTTGAATTTTATGGAATTTGTATTATATAGCTCATTTCGTTTATTTTTAAACATACCTGCAAAATAAGGCAATATTAGTCTTGAATAGAGTAGAATGCTTTAAAATAGTTTTCAGATAAAAATACTAATATGCACTTAATCAGGGCCTGATATAGAAATGTAGGGGCCCTAGGTACAGAACTGTCAGGGGCCCCCTGGTCGTAACTTTGAACAAAATCTACCTGTTATTTAATAATGAAGTGTTCTTTTACCAGTAATGAAGTGTGTGTAAATATAATAAATATTTCTAATGATATACATGAAATTCTTTTTTAAAATAAGTAAATTTTGATATCTTAGTAAATTTGAGCTTATATCTATTTCACTCTTCATTAAGCCACAATTCTAATAAACAATTCTTAAAAAGAAAAAAAAAATTAATATTTAGGAGGCCCGAGAAATAAGGGGACCTTTGTCCTAAGGCTCAGCCTTATCAGATGCTAATGCAATATATATACAGTGGCGTAGTTTTGGGGGACAAAACCACCTCCGAAATTACACATTACTTGATTAATGAGCTATTCAGTTCTGTAAATAAGATGTAGACATTAAAAATTTTCATTATTCATTTTTTTCGTAATTTGAACATGCACACACTTGTATATATATATATATACAGGGGCCCCCATTAGGGGGGAAGGTGGGCGCACGATGCGCCCACTTAAAGCTGGGGGGGGGATTTTTGCACTAAATAAAACAAATAGTTTTGGGGAGAATTTTGAATGCGCCCAAGAGCTTGGGGGGAATGGGGGCCACTGTATATATATTTATATAAAGCTGCTGATTTGTACTGCCGTTGAGAAAAAAACCAAACTTCTTTGTACTAGCAACATTATAGGAGTTAGACGTATTAAATCTTCAATTTAAAGTTTAAAATAAATATTAAATTTCAACCTACCACAACGAATCAATAATTAAAAAATATGATCTAATTGTTAGCTTACTTTGCTCTTCAATGTTTAATTAGTTAAATTATTAAAAAATCTTTCCAACTTTAATTGTACATTTACTACTATTTTTCAAAATCTTTTTTAGCGATGTTAAAAGTTGGCAGGTGTATATATATACACACACCTGCCAACTTGAATTTTTTTTTTTTTAAACTTTAAATTGAATTTTGTATATATATGTGTATGTGAGAGAAGGCGTAACCCCCTCTAAACATACAATAAAACTACGCCACTGAATATATACACCTGCATGTTTCAAATCCTTGAGTCCAATCATACTTGATTAAAAAAGGGGAAAAAATGTTCATTTTCTTCCTTGTATGACGTAGGCTCCCTTTGGTACTACATACTATGCTTCGTCTGATGGTACCTATTATGCTGCCAGTGATCCTAATCAACCTAGCACAATTACAGCATTCGCAACTCAGGCGGATGGCACTACCGTTCTTCCAGTTTCTGGTCAGAGGGCTGCCTTCCGAACTGTCAATGCCAGCGACCATCCTGGACTTCAGCAGATAGTTTTAGCTGTTAGTGAAGCAGGTTCAGGGGCTGCAACTGGTGGGTCTAGATCGGAGATCGTTGCCATTCCCGCTAATTTAGCCTCACAAGTAAGTCCATTATGCTTTAAATGATATATTGGGTGCTGTTATAGAGGTGCCTGTGGTTTGTTTACTTGATCATTACGTTCTCAGAACATTTTCATACCACACTCTTAAAAGCTTTTTCAACTTGTTTATTTTGATCAGATCTATAACTTTCACAACTGTGTTTTTTTTCCCCTTCTAATAATTTCCTCATAATTTTTTAAAATTTAAATATTTTTTTTGAAATTTATAATTGTAGAAGCTGAGAGATGTTAAACTGTGCTGCAGCATTTTGATAATTTGCCTTAACGGTTTAAAATGCCGATCTTTTGTTTTAATGTTAAATCAGTTTGTTTTCTGCCATGTATATTGTCAAACTCTATCTAAGCAGGCAGGGCATAAAATGAAAAGAAGCTCATTCTTGATTTGATAAAAAAAAAACTCTCTTTTGAGAGACTAAGAAAACCACATTACATTTATAGCCAATCACCTGTCCACCTGCTGTTGAAAAAGGGGTGAAAAAAGAAAAATTCTCCGAAATCTAAACATTAAGAAAGGAAAAGAACTGACTCCCTCTGAATACTCAGAATAAATAAAATAACCAAAGTCCCTGGCCAAATTATTGGACGCACTATAAAATTCTATGTAAAATCTTAATTATCAGGTCATACAATACAGCTTTATTGTTTTTAAGCAGTTTGCACTTGTTTACGATAGTGTATCAGTTGGTTAAATTAGACGATGTATAATATAAATTCGACAATTGGATAAATTAAACGATATATTATATAAATCTAGAATATTTATTATATCAGGTATTATAATAATTAAACCAAATTGTTAGACACCAAGTAGTTTTTTAATAATGACGTCTTTTGCGCGAGTTTATATGCATTACTTTTATATTTAAACATAGATGTAATGGGTTTTTATGCAGGAAATTTTTACATACTTCCTATTTGTATTTATTTTTAACGTATTGCATTACAATGTTAACCAATTGATACATGAACTTAAACAAGTGCAAACCGGTTTCAGCCGTGTGAAAAAAATAAAGCTGTATAGTATCACCTGATAATTAAGATTTTACATAGTCTTATAGTGCATCTAATAATTTGGCTGGGAGTATATAAATAAAAAATTGAAAAATGAATAAAAATACTGTTATAAAAGGATCAGGGTTGCCACTCCACAGGAAAAACCTAGAAAATAGCAGGGAATTTTTAAATTTTCCTTACTAAATGGGATAAAGCAGGGAATTTTATTTCTTATTTTTGTCTTTTAAAAAATGCAGACCTCTCAATGGGATAGTTAAAGATTATAGTTCAGCTATATTATATTATTTAATTTATTATAGCATTATTTGTTTTATGTTGACCTGTCTTATTTCTCCAATTTTTCCCAGCAACTAAGACTAGCATCTTTATCCTAATGTAGTTCACAAGAGTGCAGTGAATGTGTGTTTCCTCTTATTATATTGTGTATGATATATGCAGGGAAAACACAGAGAATTTTTTTTGCAGATATCAGTGGCAACCCGGAGGAAGTAATGAAAGCAGAAAGCAAAAATTTTAACATGGCGGGAGAAAATCGGGGCCGAAGGATTTCCTTAGCAATAAGCGATAGATAATATTAACCTCAATCGCATTGAGCAGAGATTACTGTATAATATTTGATTATGAAAATTAAATTACAATCTATTTTTTTTCTCCAAAATTTGAACTTAAACCACTTTTAAAAATAAATAAAAGACTTAGATAAATATTAAATTATTTTAAACATCTTTTCTGTATTTTAGGCAATTACTGGTTCAACTCAAGTAGGTGAACAGCAGGCTTTTGTTACCATGCAAGCTACTGGTTCCTCTCAAATCGAAGATGGCCAAAGTGGTGCCCAGGTTAGATATTTCATATTTATAGATACACTGAGACTTCAATAAACTTGAAGCAACAATTGGAAGTTGAAAGTGCACTGAGTTCTAAACAATTCAACCAATAGAAAATGTATTTATTTTTGTAAAGTAACATACATGAAATATTGTCAAGTGTTGCAGATATTTTCTTTAAAAGCAGCATGTTTTTTTCCCTCCAAATATTTCACAGACAGTAGACTTCGTTAATATTTTAGGGAAAAAGAGCGGGAACCAATTTTTCTCATTTATCACTTATGTCAATTGATAAAACGGTAACCTACAGTTTAAATCTTCTAATCTTTTGAAATAAACTCAAATTTTGCAAAGCTTTTTTTTTGTTGTTGTTGCTCAGGTTGTAGTTTTACTTCACAGGTTGTTATAATTGTTTGTTTTATTGCTCTTTTTTCTTAAAGTTGTTTATTCATATATGTAGTAATGTATTCACCTTGATGTTAGGCTTTTGAAATGGTTTTATTCTTTACTGAAAAAGATAGCAATAAAAATGGAAAAGAAAGATATAGCTATGGATAGGTTTTATTCTATATGGGGGTGGGTATGCATCATTTAAGTTTCTTTTTATATTTCTGTATGGGGCTCTTAAGATTTCCTACTTCAGGTTTCATAACAATAATTTAGTTTTGCAAGCATAATGAAACCTGACATTGTCATGCAAGGAGGTGACATTACCATCCCTTTGCTGATGATTAATATGTCAGGATGTTTTTTTTTTGCATATAAAAAATGAATCACTTCTCTCATCTCCATCCAAGACCATTTTCTAGACATTTTGCCATTTCAATGACTCTGGCACATCTTCAAATGTTTCATTAGAGCCATGATGGCTCAGGGGATAGAGCGTTTGCCTTCCAATGAGGTGAACCGGGTTCAAATTCTAGCAATGGTTGGTTGATATGAATTCCGCATCCAGCTTGCACCGACCACAATGCTGACGTAAAATGTCCTCAGTGGTAGACGTACCCTGGGTTAGAGTCCCTTTGCCATCCGGCTAACCCTGGGATGTTTTTGTGGTTTTCCTCTCCATGTAACGCAAATATGCAGGTTAATTCCATCTAATAAGTTTATATTTTATAAACAAACTATGTGCTATTGTAATCACAATTTACAACAATACTATTGTCATATGCTGAAAAATTATTTTGAAGAATTTAAACCATCATTTATAGTAAACTTATTTCTGGGTCCACCAACAGTTTACTGTAACAGGGTTCGACTGCATTTATGTATATTGACATAGGGCAAGCAAATTGTGTTTTCAATTGTACCTTCAATTTCTTTGTCAAATAAGTCCAGTAATTGTTAATTTTGTTTAGATACTTCTGGTATTTTTGCTTAGTAATGATGTAGTGACATAAAGTTATAACATACACCGAAAGTTTTATTATATTAAAATAAAGTATTTTCTTGATAGGCTCAGTTGGCTACCCTAGTAACCACTGATGATGGTAGTCAAGCTGATTCCAAAGGGAATATTTCCCAGGTGCAAACCATACGTATGGTGTTGAGGCAACCTGATGGAACTGAAACAGAACAGAACATACCTGTATCTTCAACAAGGGTTCCAACATTACTTACAAATGATGGTCAAGAAGTGCAATTAAGTGATGAAAATCAGCTGCAAATGATATCGACCATTGTGGAGCAAGCTGCTGCTGGAGGATTAGCTGATGGCAACAACCAGGTTCATCATCTACTTTATTTTGTTTTAAATTCTTATTTTTATTATTCCTTTTTTTCTCTCTCTTTTTTTTGTTGTTTTGATTCTTGGGTGAAAGATTTAATTTTCCGAATGATTTCTACCTACTTTATAGTGTTCTAAAACCTTTGATATTTTCATTTTACTACTGAAGTGTCTGTAGCTGAGAAAAATGTAAATTTCTTTAACTTTTCTGCATTTCCGGTGACAAATTTCCGGAATTTTTACTTAATTTTTTATATTCAAAGTGATTTATTTTTTGCTTTTTCCACAAAAAGCAAAAGCAGGAAATAATTATAGTAGAACTGATCAATGCATTTGTGGAACTGGTGTGGTTTGCATCTGCAAACAGTGTTGTGCAATTTTTTTTCTTCTCGCCAACCACTTCTGGCCCATTTTTATTTGTGCTACTTTCATCAACTCTTAGAAACTGAATCAAATATTGTTCTCTTTATTGGAAATTAATTTACTCTTTATTGAATATCTAACTGGCAAATTGTCTTCTTGTCTTTAGAATTTTAAGATATTTAGCGTGAACAAAAATAACCATGATTTTTTTTATCTAGAGATATTAATTTTTATTTCTAATTAAAATTTTTCATGAATTTTTAAATAAATGTATTGCAAGTACTTAACATTATTTTAAACAATGCTGAGTATTTTTAATATGTTTTATCAGATCACTTGGTTAATTAATGTAAAAAAATTAATAAATACAGGGTATCTGCATGCGTGGAAAGTCATGAGAAATCATGGAAAATCATGAATTTCGGTATTGACCAAAATTAGTCATGATTTTAACATATTTTTTTAAAAAAAAATCATGGTAAGTCATGGATTTAGGTTGCCGAAAAATCTAATTTTTAAAATGGAATTTCCATGGTGTTCCGAATATCTGAATTTGTAACAAAATCCCCACTCACTGTCATATTTTATTAAAATATAAAATGTTTTTATCATGTTCTTTAAAAATTATGGTGTTCTTTCAAAAAATGAAAGAAAAAACATCATTTCTAGAGCAAATTATCTTTTAAACTTCTGTGATTTCAATATTTTTGTTATTATTTTTATTTTTTATTTTATCAATTTAAAATTCTAGCTAAAGCAAGTCAGACATTAGCAAATTTTTTTTATTCCGAAATGAGAACAGAAAAGTCAGGAGTATTTCTTTCCTTTCCGATGAACAAGAAAAGTATCTTTAGAATATAATTCTGCAGAAAAAGGGTGGGAAATTATTTTGCTTTTGTATTTTTTTCAGCTATTTTATTGCTTCAACTCTTTCTTTACTCTGTTTTTTTTTTTAGTTTAAAATCAATAAATATGAAGATACAGAAGATAACAATTTTGATTATATCTATCATTTCAATTAATGTTATTATAATGCTTTTTTAAATTTATTGTTGTGTTTTTGTAACAGAAAATAGTAATTTCGTTAAGTCATGAAAAGTTCTTGGAATTCGTCATAGAAATTCATGAATTAGACAGTCCAAAATGTGGCAGATACCCTGTAAATAAAATAAAATCCGAATATATATATTGCTTTTAATAAAAAAAAATTTCTTTTCTAATTTGCATTATTTTTGGAATAAGTGTTTCCGGACTGGGTACATCGTATCAGATAGAGTTCCTAGTAGATTGAATTACGATCCCAAAGTTTAAAATCGTTGATTGAAACTTGTACCGAAATGTTTTTTTTTTTTTTTTTTTTAAATTCGTAGAAGTTGACTATAAAAGTATCTTTAACTAAGCAACAAAAAAAATATTTATCTTTCAGGTTATACTGAATGTCGGCAATGCATATCAGGCAGTGACTGTTGTTCCTACAAACGGAGCGTCTGGTGAAGTCAGCTACATGTTTATTGTTGCTCAATCAGAGGATGACAAGGATCCGAGCAAAGATATGGATCTCGACATGTCTGTTTATGATTTCAATGAGGGAGAGAAACACGGAGAGATCGTGGCTGAAGAGGTTGCACCCGACGGCACCAAGACACGGACTATCCGTATCACTCAAAAAAAAAGTCAGATAGTTACCCAAGCACATATGTGTAACTACTGTAATTACACAAGTCCAAAAGTAAGCAGATTTTATCTTCACTTTTTGATGCTACAGATCTGGTTTTTTTTTTAAGTATATAATTGTTTCTTTTGGTAGTTATTGCTACTGATTTCTGCACCGCTTTTGAAATTCCACTCACAATTTTTATACTATATATGGTACATAGCGTTTTTAAAAAGTGCTTAAAGGTGCTTATTTTTGTTTTTTAAAAGCCCTCAAAGGTGCTTTTTTCATCGGGTGTTTTTAAAAAGTGCTTAATTTTCCTTTTTCGAAAATGAGGATTTTTTCTTTACCATGTCTATTTTCACAACGTTTTAAGCAAAAATGTGCTTTTCACATTGTTTTATTCAACGTTTTCACAATTTATTCAACCACAATCTATTTCGGCATCCCTTCGGCCCATAGCGTATGAAAGAACCCATCTTTTTACATGTTTGATGAAAGACTTGCGAGTTCACGTGTGCGTATTCTGAGCTGGGTTCTACGAGATTCTTGCACTCTCATGTGCATCTCTGCTGCATTTTGCAAGATATTCTCAATTTCAGGCTTTCATTTCCACCCTCTGATACCGAACCGAAGAACTTCTTGATCTTTTTATAATGGCTAATATAATCAAGAAAAGAGTTCTTTGTCAGAAACTGGTTATTTTATCATGAAAAAATCTTAGTAATCATGTAAAGTCTTAGTAATTTTTTTTTTGCTTTTTATTAATGTATATAGTGTTTAAAAAAAGTCCGATTTCGATGTCTATCTGTTATCGCCTTTTCGGCAGTTATTCTCATATTGCCACAGACTTTGTTTCTTAAAATTCCGGTTTTTTTTTTCGTTCAAAATGCGAAAATAATATCGGCTATATTTTATGTATTGATAATAAAAAAATTATTATAAACGAATCATTTTTCGATTTCTCCATTAATAATTTTAGGAATTTTAATTTTTGTTCATAAAAATGATCGTTTATTATTTAAAAATTTTTTATTTGATTTAACAGAAATATGCATGAAAAAAATTAGTATTAAATAAATTGCACACAGATGAAAATTTTTATTTGAAAGCAAACCATTCTAAAAAATTTCAGATGATTTCTAATTCCAGAAAATGCATGTTTGCGCAATCAGAATGTTCTATGAGTTGTTAATTTTATGGGATGAGTTGTTAATTTCATGGGATGAGATCCTCCAATTCATAATGCTTGAGACCTTTTAATTGTTTTTAAACAGACATTGCCAAGGTGAAAAATATTTTACTAGAATTTCATCCACATCCTTTTGTATTAAATATCTAATTGTGTCTCTTGAATATCAATAATTGATAACAATTTAATGTTATACAATAATTAATAAATATAACAATAATAATAAATTTGTTATAACATAATATTTAATTATTACAATAGGTGTTTTTTTGCGACATTCTAAATAAGTACTTATTATTATTATTGACACCAACTTTAACTTAATTTTCAAAATAAGCACTACTGCTATTATGTTAGTTGGTATTTTTAATTCAGTACTAAATATGCTGTGATTGGTATCAAGATACCTCTGTGTAAATCAGTTTTTACCGCCCATTGAAATGGATATGCAGATAAGAATATTGTTGATTATGATAATTTTTAAGTCTCAGGATTGATATTGAGCAATAGTATTATGCTAAATGGTACTGAATATAATTATCTTAATTTTATAAGAATGAACTTCTGAAAATATGATTTGCTTAATCTGATTACATTAAACCAGCAGGATAGGCAACAAATAATAAAAGTTTTAAAAAAATGCAATTGTTTAGTTTAATTGTATCTCTATATGTATTTCAGTTTTGTGTATGCTTTTGTAATGTTAATCAATACTGATTTAATGATCATTTACTTTTTTTTTAATCCCATTCTAAGAAGTAATAATTTAAACTGAGTGAGTTATTAATAATTTAAACTGAAGTAATTATTTCATCCTATTAGTTATTAGTTACTATAAGTATAAAATTAAATTATTAGTAATTACTCAGGAAAAAACAAATAAAGTGTTAAAATTTATCAAGTTGCAAATTTGATTGATGGATACTTTTATTCGGGTTACAATAAAATTGTATGAATTATTTATTTGTTTAAGAAAAACTTTTTTTTTTAGTTTTCATATACTACACTCATTAGTCAGTGATGAGATTCTTCCACGGATTTCCGCTTTTTCTCAGATTTTTCCCGCTAATTTCCGCTGAAATTTTTTTTTGCACGAGTTAAAATATTTTATGAGGAATTTAATTTTCCGTGGAGCAAAATTATTGAAGTCCTCATTCCTCCCTCTGAAGTTTCTCTAAAAATCATTTCCTTGGGATAAAAAAAAGTAGGCTTACAAAGATTTNGGATGAGATTTTTTTTGCTTTTGTCTCTCGAATTTCAGCCTTTTTATCAAAAACTCAGATTCTCTAAAAGTTTCGTTTTTTTATTTATTTATTTATAAATATCCCGTTTTTTTTTTTAAAATTCAGTCGTTGAAGTCAAATAATTTATTTATTTACGATTTTCAAAGACAAAGAGAAAATTCAAACTATGTCCTAGCTGCTAACCCTTCCGCATTTTTACTTATATTAGCTATATTCTCCGATTTCACGCACAATAAATAAAATTTTCCGTATTTTTTTAGCCGGCGGGATAACTCGTATTTTCTAAATTTAGACGTCGCTGCTTCTTATATTCAGGAATGAAAGCAAACAAAAAAAAGCGAAAAAAAAAATAGAGGTGGATTTGCGGTGAAAATATATATTTGCTCATTCAATGAATCTTGTAAATTTTTATTTATTGTGTAAACAAAAAACAATTCAAACAAGCCTTTTAGAAATCCCAAGTCCAGACTCTGCTAACATCTCGATTTTTATTCACGCGATTTTAATATCAATCATCGATTTTCGTATTTACCTGATTTAAAAGTTGCGCATAGCAATTCTTATTTACGCTTTTTAAATATCGTACATTATGACTCATATTTACAAGATTTAAAAATCTAATATCGTGTTTTGTATTTACGTGCTTTTAAAACCCTATGTAGTTACGCGAGCTTAAAATCCAATGTCGTGATTCGTTTTTGCGGTTGTAATATCGCGCGATTTTAAAATTATGCATCTTGATCTAAAAAGTATGCGTCATGATTTGTATTTTCGCATTTTTTAAATTCGATGTAAAGTTTCATATTCACGTGATTTAAAAGCCTCATATTGGGATTTATAATCACATGGTTTACAAGTTTAAAAATCACACTTTTTTTGTCAAATTTTTGTGTATGTATATATGTATATATATTCTTGGATTTCCTCTTTTTTACTTTCTGACTACTCTCATCCCTGATTAGTATAAACAAATTTATGAAATATTTCTATATAATATGAAATAGTTATTAAAAAAATTACAAAAAATTTATTGATTTACTATAGTTTACACAACAAGCCCATCACATACCTGCCAAGTCTCCTGTTTTTTTAACGAAGACTTCTTTTTTTACGACTCTCCCTTGTTTTCCCATATGTTCTGAAATTTTTCAGTTTTTGGTGAAGAAATTTTTTTTGTAAAAAATTTTCTATAAAATGTTCATTGGTGGCAAAAATACTTCTTATTCCTCAACAGATGGTGCTATTGCCAGTACTGCAGTATGTTGAGTGTTAATAGTTAAAGTAAATATAAATAATGGTTTTAAAAAATCTTCTTTAGATTAAGATTTATATACATATTTTTTACTTCGCTAAATGTAATGTAAGTGCTTATATTATTTCCAATTTTGAATTTCTCTTTTTGACTTGCATGACTATGTATGATGTATCAAAACTTTACTCATAGCCAATAAAATGTCGCTAGTAAAATCTCCGTTATTTTATTTCCCCAATGTTGTCAGGTATGCCATCAAGTGTATTTAAATCAACTTTTGAGTTTTATTGAAAAAAGTTTTATAGTTATTTCAAAAGTGTAATTTTGTTTTTATTTTTCAGCGTTATCTGCTGTCACGTCACATGAAGTCTCACTCGGAAGAGCGTCCTCATAAGTGTGGTGTTTGCGAAAGAGGTTTTAAGACTCTTGCTTCATTACAGAACCATGTTAATACTCATACTGGGACACGCCCTCACTGCTGCAGGGACTGCGATTCATCGTTCACCACATCTGGAGAGCTTGTGCGTCACGTGCGATACAGGCACACTCACGAAAAACCCCATCGTTGTACTGAATGTGATTATGCCAGTGTGGAGCTCAGCAAATTGAAACGTCACATGCGGTGCCACACGGGCGAGCGACCGTATCAATGCCCTCACTGTACTTATGCCAGTCCAGATATGTACAAGCTAAAGCGCCATCTAAGAATCCACACTGGTGAAAAACCGTATGAATGTGATATATGCCAGGCACGATTTACTCAGTCAAACAGCTTAAAGGCTCATAAATTGATACACTCTGGCAACAAGCCGTCTTTTCATTGTGATTTCTGCCCAACAACTTGTGGCAGAAAAACAGATTTAAGGATTCATATGCAGAAACTACATACTAGTGACAAACCTTTAAAGTGTAAGCGCTGTGGAAAGACCTTCCCAGATCGTTATTCCTATAAGGTAATTCTTTCTTTCAAGTTTTTTTTAAAAAATAGTTACAGATTTGTGTTCATTAACCCTTTAACAGTGACATGTATTTCAGAAAAATGGAAAAGAAATTTCACTGTTTAATTTTGTTCTTTATATTAAACAAAATTTTGCAGCTGAATATAACTTGTGTAATATAATATATGAACACAACAATATAATTTTCAATACATAAATTTTACAGTATGGTATATCACAAAACCCCCTCTCACATTTCTCTTCCTCAACTGAAGTCTTAAGCAGTAAAACTATAGGACCACTAATGCCATCTATTAGGAAAATAGTGAATTAAGTATTCTAAAGTAGAAACGAACTCAGCTCGAGCTTCACAACATAGAAACATTAATTTTATCACAAATACTACAAGTAGGAGTTGTCCAACTGGATTTGCACGACACTGGTAAGGGGTTAAAGATGGAATGAAGCTCTGCTCTTTGGAATCAAAATCCATTCTATAATAAATATATTTTACTAAATTTTTAATTTACTGAGAAATAAATAAGTTGCATTGCATTATATTTAGTTAATAATTGTATGAAAATTTTCAATTGTTTTAAGATGAAGCTATTAAATTATTGCAGGAAACCAGGGGTCTGTCAAGAAGAAATTTAGGCCCATTAACGGACACTTCATAAAATATCTTTTCATAAAAATGACCATTCTCAAAATAATTCATCTATTAATCGGACTCTCTAAATTAGTAGCAGCAACTGTTGAGCAGAATCTTGTATCTATTTACAATTTAAAAACTTTTTAAAAAGGTTTTTAGCAATTTTTGCAATAACAGGACCCTATTTGCACAAATTCACAAACGCAGGACCCTGGTTTAAAGAATGTGACTTAACACTTATTTTATATTCACAAATTATGAATAGTTTTTTCACAATTTTACAAAAACAGGACCTTTTGCAAAATGTCTGGACTGACCCCTGGAAACATTCTTTAAACATTTCCATTACCAGCTTTGAAGTGTGTAAAAACATTAGTGTCGTTATTTTTATAATCTACTGGCCAGTAATGAGAATCCTTAAGAAATTCCTCTTGAAATTAGATTTTATTTAATAGTTATCAATATAGTATATTTCAAATTTTTTGATTATATTAATTTTTCAATTTTATAGTCATTGATCAAGATAAGCAACAATTACCTAGGATTGTAAAATATGCAGAGAATTGCCAAAAAGTAAATTAAAGCCGAATTTTTAATATCTTAATTGGTGATATTAATTAAAGAATGCAGTAAGCTAAAAATGTTATATGAAACTAAGATTATTAAAACCTATAGACCCTAATGTAATGATATATTTTATGNCTGGTTGAAAGAATGTGACTTAACGTTTATTTTATATTCACAAATTTCGAGTAATTTTTTCACAATTTTACGAAAAACGGACCTTTCACAAAATGTCTGGACAGACCCCTGCTAATGTAATGATATATTTTATGACCGTTGTTGAATATTATGTAACTGCAGTTTACCAAAACGGATAAATCAATTACTAAAAGTATTAATAAATTGATTTATTATAAAAAGCTACATGAAAATAATTTAAGTTTGTCTAAAAGGATATTACACAAATAATTAGAAGAATTATAAATTTTTTTGTCACTGTTTTTTCCCCCTTTAAACATTTTAACTATCCCTCATACATTTTCTATGCAATCAATGTAAATTTTGAAAGAAAAATTGCATCATTAAATTTTAAGCAAATTGAGAATCAAGAATTTGTAAAATTTTGAAATCTGCAAAGCAAATGAAATTGCATTAAAAGTTTTCCCAGTGTCACTACGATCCTCTAATTTCCGTTGCAAAACGATAGCCAAGTTGAGTTCAATCAAATCATCTGGTTGTACGATCGACCGCTAACCATGGGATCGCTAAGAGCTTTGTACTAAAGTGGCAGTTATACCTTTTCTCTTTGAAAGCAGCATGTATACAACTAAACACTGACTTTTTTCTACCTTGCTCCTTTTTGCTTCATATTCTCTCATACTGCAAAGTTTTTTTTTTACATGTGTAGATACTTTTATTTATATAACAATAAATATTAAAGTGTCTAAAATTTAAAAATCCCCACCAATGTATCCGTGCACGCGTGCGTCAAAATTATCTAACTATGTGTATCACTATTCGTGTATTTTCAACTACAACTTTATTGATTTAAAAGTTTGTAAAGTATGCAAGAGTTTTGTTGTTGCATATTTTTATTAAACCGACTTTTTTTTCCATTTTTAATTGAATTGCGTGTAAAGTTTTTTTTAAATGAATAAAAACTATTGCTACATATTTTAGTGTTTAATGAGTGTCATTATTTTGCAGCTGCATTCAAAGACCCATGAGGGAGAGAAGTGCTTCAAGTGTGATTTGTGCCCCTATGCATCTATTTCGCAGCGACACCTCGAATCTCACATGCTGATTCACACAGATCAAAAACCTTTCCGATGTGACGAATGTGATCAGGCCTTTAGACAAAAACAATTGTTAAGACGTCATAAAAATCTTTATCATAATCCAAATTATGTTGCTCCTTTACCAAAAGAGAAAACTAATGAATGCTCTGAATGTAAAAAAGCTTTCCGTCACAAGGCAAGTATATCTTCTAATGTTTTTTTAATAATTTTTAAAACATTTTGATGTTAGTTCATGTCTATTAAGATCAGAATGTTTATGTTACAAACCGTAACTGCCATTGTTTTTCTAATGTTAAATATAGTGCTATATTCAGGGTATCTGCGCATCTGGAAAGTCATAGATTTTGGTATCAAACAAAATTTGTCATGGTTTTAGCCATTTTTTAAAAAAAATCATGGAAGGTCATGGGCTTAGGTCACCGAAAAATCTTATTTTTAAAATGGAATTTATCCCCGTCCCACCCAATTTCACAGTGTTCTGATGTTCCAAATATCTAAATTTGGAGCAAAACCCAACTCATAATCATATTCTATTAAAATATAAAATGTTTTTATCCTGTTCTTTAAAAATTATGGTGTTCTTTCAAAAAATGAAGGAAAAAGCATCATTTCCAGAGCGAATTATCTTTTAAACTTCTGTAATTTCAGAATTGTTTTATTTATTTTTTATTTTATCAATTTTAAATTTCAGCTTAGGCTTTTTATATTACACTTACTTTAAAGAAGAAATAAAACAGCTTTAAATAACTACATACATCAGTCAGTAATTAGTTATTTGCTTTTGTGTATTTTTCAGCTATTATATTGCTTTTTATTTCTAAACTCTGTTTTTTAAGTTTAAAATCAATAAATATGAAGATGCAAAGTATAACAGTTATCATTTCAATTAAAGTTATTATAATGCTTTTTTAAATTGATTGTTGTGTTTTTGTCAGAGAAAATAGTAACTCCGTTAAGTCATGCGAAATTCTTGGAATTAGTCATGTATTTGAAAATCTAAAATGTAGCAAATACCCTGTCTATATTACAAACAGTAACTGCCATTGTTTCTAATGCTTAATTTAATGCTATATTTTATTTTGCTGTGCAGAAACTATAATACTTGGAAATGCAAAGTTGCAAGAAAGTATAGAAATATTCACTTAGCGTGTGATGAAAAAATAGGTTATGATATTTTTTAAAATCAGTAATTCATTATTCCGCTTACCACTTGTCAAATATGCCAAAAACAGTAAGCGGAAACGAAAAATGAGTTATTATGCATTCTAGGAACACCATATTTATTCAGTGCAAAGAAGAAAAAAATTTATGAGCAAAATACCATGTATGTTTGCAACATGTATACATAACATCTAACAACATGTATAACACATATATGTTTAATATCTACTTTATTAGTAGTTCAGGGATGAGATTTTTCCGCTTTTTTCACTTTTATCTCTTAAATTTCAGCTTTTTTATCAAAAATTTAGATTTTCTGAAAATTTAACTTTTTTTATAAGTATTCAGCTTTTTCAGAAAATTTACCGATTTTCAAAGAGAAACAGAAAATTTAAACTACATAGCTACCAATCCTTTCTCATTTTGACTTATTTTAGCTATTTTCTCCCCTTTTACACGCAGCAGATAAGATTTTCCGAATTTTTTACCCGCCCTCCAGATAGATCCGATTTTCATAGTTCAAACGACGCCTTTTAGAGGTCCCAAGCCTGGAATCTGCTAATATCTCGATTCTTATTCACACGATTTTAATATCAAACATTGCTTTTCATATTTGCGTGTTGCGATTCTTGTTCACACGATTTGAATATTGTATGTTGCGATTCTTATTTACAAGATTTAAAAATCTAATATTGTGATTCGTATTTACGCCTTTTTAAAAACCTTTGTAGTGACTCGTATTTACGCCTTTTTAAAAACCTTTGTAGTGATTCGTATTCACGCAAGTTTAAAATTCAATGTCTTGATTTGCTCATGTGGTTTATAATATCAAACATTGATTTTCGTATTTATACGTGATTTTAAAATAAGGCATTGGGATTCACATTCACGCATTCTAAAAATTATGCATCATAATTCTTATTTATGCAATCTAAAAATTACGCATCATGATTCGTATTTACGCGATCTAAAAATTATGAATCGTGATTTGTATTTACGCGTTTTAAAAATTCTATATCCCAGTTTGTATTTTCTCATTTTCAAAATCGTATATCTAGTTTCATATTCATGTGATTTCAAAATCCATAATTGTTATTCATATTCACACAATTTTAAGATCAACTATCGCGATTCTGTACGAAGTAAATTTTTTTAAAAATTAGTTACTATAAAGGTGTTTTTCTTACATGATTATTAGTATATGTAAGTGTTACAACATCAGAGAAACTGAAAGGGAATATATTCAAAACTTGCATTCTGTGCTTGCAGAGAAGAAAAAATAGGATTTCTCACAAGATGTTTGAAGATGGACTAACGACTAAATATAGCAAACATAAAAGATATAGCAAACAAAAGCAATCACTTAAAAAGGGATTTAATTTTTAAAAAAAATTTTTGGAAAAAGAGTTAATTAACTCATCATCAAAATTTTATTTATAGTTGCTGTTATTTATGCTATAAAATGCAAAATTCTTATCAAATAAAAACAATTATCTAAACAGTTGCTGATTGTCATGTAATTTTTCAAACTAAAATAGCAATTTTTGTATGTTAAGGAGTTACTATATATTTCTACTTCACTTGATATGTTTCAGAGGGCTCTAGTTAGATTAGACTATAATATGAACATAATGATTAGGTCCATCGTTAAAGTTTTTCTTCCAATATAATTTAAAAAGTAATATAACTGATATATTAGCTATAAATCACATAACAGTATTTATTAAAAGAAATGAAATATTAATGTATATTCTCAGTAGTTTTAATTTGCTATACCAGGTAGTTTTTCAAGTAATATAATTTCCACCTTTATTTTTTCAATTGGTAATTTTTATTTTCACTAAATGTTAAGTATCAATGTAATCATTTAGATAATAATAGATAAGTACACAATTGTATGTCAACACATTATTTATGACCTCAAACTGTCTGGAATTTATTATTAAAGGGTTGCTCTTGCGTAAAATTTACTATAGTGGAAATTCAGCTTTTTTTCCTTTTGGCTAATCTCATCCCTGGTAGTTGAAGTTGAAAGATACTATTAGTTAAAATAATTCTGACTATTACATTATTGCCTTGATTCAAGAGTTTGAAAAGTCTCAGTTAAAAGCTTTTGTTTTTCAAATATCTCTTCTTGTTTAGAAATTCCTTGTTTAGTCTATCAGTAGATAGAATTACTATGGTAGTGAATATTAATAAGTCGATAAAAAGTTAGAGAATTTATATTTTTAATGGGGCAATGCCTTCAGTTAGAAGCGACCTAGAAATTCGGAATCCTAAGGTTGATTCCCAAGTCTTGCAAACTATATACAAGGTTCCCACGGGTCAGGGAGAACCTGGAATTCTCAGATAATTTTATCCTAACTCCAAAAATCAGGGAAAGTTGCAATTTTTTTACAAAAACCTGGAATATTCCTATATCATGCCTGGAAAATAACCAGTCTTAAAATTGTTGGTAACAGTAATCAATTATTGAGATTCGAGTTAAATTATTCTAACATCTATTACAATTACTTGCTGTAAAAATTTCACATTTTAGTCAAACTGAAATGTTCCTATCCTCATTTAATGATATTTTTTTTACACAGAGAATCTAATATTTCACACAGTGTTCCCACAGGTCAAGGAGAACAGGGAATTTCAATTTTACTCTTAAAAATCAGGGAAAGCTGCAATTTTTTTACAAAAACCCAGAATATTCCTGTATCATATCTGAAAAATAACCTGTCTTAAAATTGTCCATAACAATAATCAGTTATTGAGATTTGAGTTAAATTATTCTAACATCTATTATAATTACTTGTAAAAATTTCACATTTTAGTCAAACTGAAATGATCCCATCCACATTTAGTGATGTTTTTTTACACAGAAAATCCCATATTTTGCATTACAAATAAAAGAATCCCAAGTTTTCTGATGTTTTCCATGGTCTCGATTTCCATTAAAATTTATCTGGTATACCTGGAAAAGTCAGGGAATTTTTTTTTGTAAAATTGAGCAGGAACTCTGATCACATTACAAATAAAAGGATCAAAGTATCCTGATGAAAATATAGTCTTGATTTTCATTGAAATTTAGCAGAAAATGTCAGGGAATTTTTTTCTGAAATTGTGTGGGAACCCTGTATGTAATGATTCCTAAGTCTTGCAAACTATGTAGCATTGACTATTGAAGCTAAAGTAAAAATTGCCATGAAGGGCACTCTGCAGCTTTTCCACTTGAAAAACTGTTTAATAAATGAACGCCGTTTTTTTAGGGCAATCTCATAAGGCATTTAGCGATACATGACCCAGAGGCATCCATGGCAGAAAAGGAGGAAGCCTTGCGAATCGGTGAGCCGAAAGGTCCCGGGGAACAACCAGATGGAGAGGAAGAAGAGTATTACGTTGAAGAAGAGGACGAGGAAGATGTGGATCAAGCTCCATTTCCTACTGGAACAGTTACTATATCTGATCAAGGAACTGTGCAGGAAACTGAAGATGGTCAACAGGTTATTATTTTTTCTATATTTTTTTTCTTCCATCCTTTTTTTTTAATCTTTTATTTTAAAGGAAAGAAGAAAATTAATGTTAGTATCTATGGGTGATCCCCGTGGCAGAATCTAGGTGACATTGTCACAGAACATTACCGAGTTCTTGCAGAAAGGTTATTTCTTTTGGGAAGTAAGAATGGTTTGGGTTTTCTTTCCGCAGAAATTTTTGAAAGTTTTATCTTTTCATCTGAATTATCTTCTAAAGATACCTTTCTTGCTCAGCGGAGTGGAGAAAAAATGCTTGTAATTTTTCTATTTTCATTTGAGAATAATAAAAAATAAAAGGTAATGAAGTAAAAAATGTTCGTTTTCTTTTCTGCAGAAATTTTTGTTCCAATTTTTTTATGCAGTCATTACTATCGATTTTCACATAGTTTTTTTAAAATCCGATATTTTTAACACGATATAATTTATTACAGCTACTTAATCTCGAAATGAAAACACTAATTTAGTAACCCTTTTCATCATCCGATACGCGTGATTTCGGCGTTGATCATTTTTTACGGTTGTTACTGCCCCAGGTTTTTCGATTTTTTAATTATTTCTTTTTAATGTGATGATGATTCGAAAAATGCGAAACAGGAAATAATTGGTGTGTTTTCCCAGTACAAAATGCGAGAATATCACCCACAGTATTAGAATTTAAAAAAATATTACATATTTCATAAAAAAGTTTTTTTATTAGGTACAAAAAGTTTTTTTTTTCTTTTTCAATTTTTGAAGTTTGAATTTTCCTTGTTAATTAAAGCTACTTATAATTTCATTGAAATACATTCACACTAATCTTTGCATTTTGTAAGTAGATGTCTCGTACATTTTTATAGGTTGTTGTTTTTGAAGTGATTCAACTTCACCCCCAAAATCAAGAGGAGAACATCCTGCCAGAACCACTAGAGCAACCTGACAATAGTGAAGCTGTTTCATTAACAACTCTACAAGATGTTGCTGAAGAAGACTGTTTTGCAAGTGCTGTAGCTGAAGCTATTGGTGAAGTTCCTCCCTCCCTACCTCACCCATCTTCTCCAGGTGACAATAATAGTTTTGTTTGGAATAGGCTCAATATTAAGTTTTTTTTTTCTTCTTTCCATTGGGTTTAAACATGGTGCGTAGTGTATTTAAAGGTGCTTATTTTCGATCTTCGGTTTTTAAAAGCCCTTGAAGGTGCTTTTTTCATTGGGTAATTTTTATAAGTGCTTAATTTTCCCTTTTCGAAAATGAGTTTTTTTTCTTTACCGTGTCAATTTTTGCCACATATTATGCAAAAGCCTGCTTTTCATATTGTTCTATTCAACTTTTTCACAATTCATTCACCCACAATCTATTTCAGTGCACCGTCTGTCCACAGCGTACGAAAGCGCCAATCATTTTACAGTTTTGATGAAATACTTCGAGTTCGCATGTTAGCTGGGTTCGGTGAGATTATTGCACTCTCATGTGCAACTCTGCTGCATTTTGCAAGTTATTCTCAATTTCAAGCTTCATTTTCCACCCTCTGAAATCAAACTGAAAAATCTCTTGATAATTTTTAAATGGTTAATGTAATCAAGAAAAGAGTTCCTTGACTTGAGTTACTGAGCTTGTTGAGCTGAGAGACCATTCATAAATTTTACTGAAGTAATTGAAGTATCTTATGTATTTCATCCAATATTTTGTTTCTGAATTTTTATGACTCTTGAGTGATATTATATAAAAATAAAAGAAAATAAACTGAATTTTTTATTTTTTTTATCATGCAATTTATTATTACGAATTGGCGGCCATATGCTCGTTAGATGTGGAGACAAATTATTTCAAAAATTTGTTCTCATTATTTTGTTCACATTTATTTAATGTTTAGCTGCATTTAAAACTAGTAAATATTAATTATTTTATTTATTTAATTATAAATATTTAACCAAATTTAAATTTTCGAAAAAAAAGACACCTTTAAGTATGTTATTAAGGATTTATTTCAATTGAGATTTTAATGAGTAAGGGCATTTTGAAACAACTTTCTGAAAAAAACTGTCATTTTATATTTAATATTTTATGTATATTAAATAGATAAATTATATATATACAGTAGAGCACCGATTATCCGAACTATGTCCGAATTCGTTGAACTTATTGACAATTTTTTCTAAATTTAGAAAAATAAATAATACACACTACATCTGAAAACCATATTTAATTCAGTTGATTCATTTAAAAAGAATAAGGGATATGGCTGCTCAAAAAAGAGCATCTTCTTTGAAACAAAGGTCTTCTCTGGATTTCCTTTGGAAAATAAGGAAAAATGTGAAATCAGTAATTGACAAAAAAAATTATTAAAAAGCTGAAATATGATTTTAAAAAAAATCAAAATGGAAAAAAGTTTTTAAAAAAAATTTATAAATAAAAAATATTGAAAAATTGAAGGAAAAAAAAAACTTTTAAGCAAGCCAGTGCTATTTTAGATAATACTGCCAGTCCTAACCCTGGAAAAAGTGTGAAGGGAGGTTAGTGCATAAATAACAGTCTTTTAAACTAGATTTTAAACAACTTTCCAGTTATCCGAACCACATTCGGTCCCGAGCAATTCGGATAATCGGCGCTCTACTGTATATATATATCTATGTATACACATGCTGTTGCAATTTTATATTTTATAAATCAAGTTATAAACATCATCAAAATTCATTCCCATTTTTTACCAATATTTTTTTGTTCATTAAAATGGTGATATAATGAAAAAGAAAAAAAAGAAAAGGTGGACTTATTCCAATTTCACAAATAATAGTAAACATATTCATTTTATTTTCCTAAAAATATTATTAAATTAATTATATAGTGCTAAGTATATTAATAATTAGGATTTTGAAGAAATTCATATTAGAAAATAAAAATTGGTGTAAAAGTAATTGCTGAAGTTATTCTTTCGTGGAATAATATTTAAAAAAAAAAAAACATTTTTAGCCGAAAATTATTTTCATATAATATTTTCAGCTGGTACTGTTTTTTTTTATTTTGAGGAAAATATTCCACTTTTTTTAACTTTTTATTTGTTGTTCAAAAGCAATGTATTTCTGTAGCTCCTTCAACACCACGTCGAGGCAGAGGGAGACCCAGAAAAACTCCAATTGTTCCTCAAGAAGTATCCTTACAGCAACAGCAGGAAATAATCAGACAGATTAAAGGTAAACTTTAGAACAATCTTTCAGTCAGAGTGGTTATTTTTTAATCTCTTTCTTTCCTTTCATGCACCACTATTGAAATTGTTTCAAGATATGAATCAGAGGAGAGAGCAACTGAGCTCATGACCAATAATTGGCATTTTACTATTTTTCTAGTCATAGAGTGACAAGTTCAAAAGGATATTTTATGGAGAGTCCTTCCTCTCCTCACTAACTGTTGATCATTGAAAAGAAGCGAGGGGTTACATACCTACCCAGTTTCCTGTTTTTTAAGGAAAACTCCTGTATTTTACGGCTATTTCCTATTTACCTGTATATTCTGAAATTCCTCTGCATTGAAGAATTTTTTTTAAAAAATTGGCGATAAAATATCTGCTAATGGCAAAAATACTTCTTATTCCTCAACAGATGGCGCTATTGCCAGTATTCTAGTATGTTGAGTGATAATAGTTTAAGTAATTATAAATAATGGTTTAATAATATCTTCTTTAGATTTATATACATCTTTTTTATTTCGTTAAATGTAAGTGCTTATACTGTATCCACTTTTGAATTCCTCTTTTTGATTTACATGATAATGCATAATGTATCAAAACTTTATTTGTAGCCTAAGAAATTTCAATTGTAAAATCTCCGTTATTTCATTTCTCCAATGTTGGCAGGTAGCTCTTAGGAAACTGCGCTCTTGTTTGTTGTTATTGATTGGTCTTTTTACAAATATTGTATTGTAATAATTGAACAGAAATTTTTTATTTAGATAGAGATTTTAAAATGCTGCCCCCTTTATAATTTAGTAATATGTTTTTCAGATGTACAGTGTGCAAAAAAAAAATTATCTAATGATCAGATTTTCTTGTATTCTATTTCTATTCTTTAAAGTAAATATCTTTGTAAAAAGGTAAATATTTTATTGTAGTTGAAGATGATTCTAAAGATGGTACTCCAACCCCCGGACGACCTGGAAGGAAGCGTAAGGCATCTGAAGTCCCTGAAATCTCTCCAGAAGCAAGTGATTCCGGAACAAGAGGAAGGCCGCTTCGATCCTGTCGCTTAAGAAAAGGTAACATTCTGTACCCAGTTTATTTCTAGTTGGAAAAAAAAATTTGCTGTTTGAAACATTTAAAAAAAATTCTAGATAATCCAGGTTGATATGGCTTCCAAAAATTATAGATGGAAAGAATCTTTGTAAAAATAGTAAAATTAAATAACTATGTTAAAAAAAAGTGAATGCATATTACGAAAATATGGATTTTAATTGAAATGGCAAAATTTGATAGTAAAATAAATTCACCTCATGAATTATCGTTCAGTTACAATAAAGTATCATAAAATGTTAACTCACGTGTGTATTTGTAATTTGTGTACAATATCGGAGACTAGGAACGCAATATTTGAAAAATAATCTCATTTCTAAGGCACACTGAATCCATACGATAGAAAAATAATGAACCTTACAGATAAAAAGGTATTTAGATAATTTAAGTGGGTGCCAAATCAATCTACAAAGGAAAATTATTTTGCTATAAAATTGAAAATTGTTTATGACAAATCTATTTCTTCTCTTGCAACTGAAATTTGTTTTAATCTACACGCCCAAATCAAAAACCGTTTTAGTACTAATACTTAAATATTTTAGTGTTGCCACTGTATATCTGTTGTTTTTTTTATCTTTTTGACTCAATATCTTTTGATAAAAAAAATGTAAATCCATGCCTTTTGTTTCGTTCGTTAAGTGGCAGGAAAAAGTTTATTGCCATTTCCATGGTGCGTAGCATTTTTAAAAAGTGCTTGAAAGTGCTTATTTTCGATTATCGTGTTTTAAAAGCCCTTAAAGGTGCTTATTTTTTATTATCGTGTTTTAAAAGCCCTGAAAGGTGCTTTTTTATTGGGTGTTTTAAAAAGTGCTTAATTTACCCTTTTCGAAAATAAGATTTTTTTCTTTTCCATTTCGATTTTCGCTGTTTATTATGCAAAAGTGTGGTTTTCACTTGTTCTATTCAACGCTTTCACAATTCATTCAAACACAATCCATTTAGGCCTACCGTCAATCCTTAACTTGTGACAGCGCTACTCATGTTACATATTTGATGAAATGCATCTACTACACAAGTGTATAGTAGATGCATTTCATCTGGGTAATCTCACCGAACTGGGTTCGGTGAGATTATTGCACTCGCATATCCGACTCTGCTGCATTTTGCAAGATATTCTCCATTGCTGGCTTCATTTTCCATCCTCTGAAATCGAACTCCAAAAATCTCTTGATCTTTTTATGGTGGATAATATAATCAAGAAAAAGAGTTCTTTGTCAGAAACTAGTTTTTTTATCATGATCATGTGAAGTTTTAGAAAATTATTTTGCAATTTGTTAATTTATACAGTGCTTAAATATATTTTTTAAGTGCTTAAAAGGTGCTTATTTTTTGTGTATAGATTTGCCACTCCACAGGAAGAATATGGGGAATTTAAAAATCATCTAAAATGCAGGGAATTTTGAGTTTTTCCTTACAAAATTGGAAAATATGGGGAATTTTATCCTCATTTTTGTCTTTTAAAAAATGGTGACCACTCAACGCGCATTCTATGGTATATTTAAGGATGATATTTCTGCTATATTAAACTATTTCGTTTATTATAGCATTATTTGTTTTAAGTAGGTTAAGCTGTTCCTTATTTCTTTAAGATTTTCCAGCAATTTAAACTAGTATAGTTAACCTGTTATAGCTCAGACAAGAGGACAGTGATTGTGTTTTTCCAGACTTGAGTGGAAGTTTTTTGCCCAACCCAGATGACGAGAGAACTCCTGTATTGGGAAAAATTTGTTTTCGTGGAGAACTTTTTTGATGGAACTAATCCGCATTTGCGTTACATCGGAAGGAAAACCACAAAAACCTTCCACGGGTAGCCTGATGGCAAGGGGACCCATGATCAATTTACACACTGGGGATATTTTTTCATCAGGTCGGTGTGAGCCGGATGCAGAATTTCTATCGACCAGCCATCGCTGGGATTCGAAACCCGGTTCACCTCATTGGAAGGCGAACGCGAGCGATCACGGCTCTTTTTGTTGTGTTTCGAAAATTCTTATTAAATGAAAAATATTCTTTTTAGGAGATTCCCCAGCACCCGATATGATGCCTATGGTTCCAGAGCCAGCTCTGGAAGAAAGCATGAGTAATTTAGCAGACCTTAGTAATGATCCTGAAGGACTTGCTAAAAGAGAGGCAGAACTTGAACGTAGACGTCTTGAGCAGAAGCAGAAAGACATGGAAGAGTGCTTTGGATTTAATGATGTGAGTATTTCCTTTTATTACACAACTAAATAAGATCTAAGCATTTAGTAACTTTATAAGGAAGATAAATACAATCCTAGTGAGAGAGAAAAATGTTAGTACTCATCTGGTTCAAAATATAAGATATAAACCCAATATAAGAAACAAAATATAAGATAAACCCCCTATCGCAGAATTTTTGTTTGGGCTTTCTGCAACAAACCTCTCATATCACTTATATCTTTCTGCAAGATGCTTTTAATGATAACAAATATACATGTTACTTACTAAATTTAAAGTAACAAAAACTTTGTGTTTACAAAAAAAACCTATTTGAATAAAATAAATTGTTTTTAATTTTTAAATGAATATGTAATATTTTTTTTAATTCTAATATCATGAGCAAGATTCTCAAATTTTACTAAACAAGAAAACACATTAATTATTTCCCTTTTCACATTTCGGTATTTATCACATAAAAAAAATTCAAAATCGTGCAATCCGTAACAGTGACTACCGAAAAAAAGATTGACGGCGAAATCACGCGAATGAAATAACGAGAATATCAGCGCAAACAAACATGTCAAATAATCATTTGTTGAATCCTCGTTTCGAATTTCCCATACCATAATAATACCGGTATATTTCAAAAATTCGTGAGAATATAAATAATAACTGAGCAAAGAATAACATCAGGATTTCGAAAAAACAAAGCAAAAATTCTTAGCAATAACTGTCTTAAAGAACGAATGAAATACCTCATGGATTAACGAGAATATCGAAGCAAAATGAGCTCATCAAAGAATGATTTCTGGAGGGGGAAAAAATCTTTCAACATTTCTGCAGGAAAACATTTTTTTACTTCATTGTTCTATATTTTTCATTCTTCTCAAATAAAAATAATATGGAACAAGGAAGTAAAAAAAAAAATTTCTGTCAATAAGAATAAAATCGAATCTCAAATAAGAATAATAAAAAAATCACAAACATTTCTTTTCCCTCCGATGTGCAAAAAAGCATTTTTTAATTATGATTTTATAGATTAAAAATTTCTGCAGAAAAAGAAAATTCTTTCTGCGAGAACTCTGTAATATTCTGCGACAATGTCGCCATGATTCTGCTTGGGGGATAAACCCTGATATTAAATGTATGTATATAAGCTTGTTAGGTATTTAAATCCATTATTTTGCTGTGTTTAATAAAATTACTTTGCAGTTTGAAATAATAGAAATGCCCTCGCTCGTAGAATTTTTTAACATANGAGGAGTCCAATTTCCGCTTTTTTCGTTCTTGTTTAAAATGGCGGGAAATTCGAGCAAAATTTTTCCCGGTTTTCTGGTTTCCCGGTTATCTGGATACCGGATAAATGGTTCTCTACTGTAATAGAAATGCCCTCGCTCGTAGGATTTTTTAACATTAAGACGAAAATGCTATATAATGTAGGTACGTACAATGCTCTACTACGATCACTTTGAGCCCCTTCTATGGTCCAAGATTGACTTGTGTCATTTTACAGATGGTTTAATTTGATTCGTGTGAATGCTTAATTTTCAGTGATAGTTTTTACTTGGTTCTTCACACGCTATAGCCTACCAACTATCTTGCTATCAAGAAAAGTTTTAGATGTTTCTGTGGAAAAAGAGATCCCATGAAGGGTATTTTAAAGCAAATGACATGGATACATTTTCCGGATATCTAGTTAACGCACAACTTAAGTATTTCTTAATTTAGAAAGTCAGAAATATTATTCAAGCAGAAAAAGAAGAAAAAAAATTAGATATATGTGTTACCAAGACAACACTTCATCAGGAGACACACTGCCTGCCAACACACATGAGCCTTTTCTGTTGTCAGTGGTAATACCAAAAACTGACAGTGCCCCAAGACCCCAAAGCAATTAAGAGAAATCGAAATTTAAATGCAAAGAAAAATTAATGACAAACAAACACAATTTTAAAAGTACACAGAGTAAGACTTAACAATGATATGCTTACATGTAAGAAAAATAAATAAAGATAAAGTTACATATAGAATAACCAAAATAAAATATAAATTTCCAGAATACTTTAGAAATAAATCAAGTGCTGGCCCCTTTTGAAAATCTTGAAAAATAAAACAAAAAAACATTCAATTTGTAAAGAAATGCTGCCATAGATTTGCATCAGGAACAAAAAATCCTAAAATTCACCGCATAGGCCTATTTATGCTGTCTTCAATATCGGCAGAATTATTTGAATGTCTTTAAAATATTTTGAATCAAAATATCATAATTACAGTAGTTAAAAGGAAAATTATTATTCTCTAATGTAATTTTGAAATTCCCGGTAGCTCAAAGAAAATCTTTTTAAATTATTTACAAATAAATTTAAACCTATGTGTTTAACTAATAACATTAAACTTAAAAATCTCTTCTTTTATCGTATAATCCGATGAAAATTTTTGGTTATATTCAACTTCATAGTTTAATTTAAACTTCATGTCGTTTATTAAATTTCATCAGTTTATTAAAATATAAATTTTTAAAGTTTATTTTAGCATATTTTTCAATTCTTTATACCACCTCAACTTATAGTCTAATAAGAAAAGGAATATTTTTGTTATGTTAAATTTAACATAAATTGGGTTTTGTGTCAGTTTATTTATTTATAAGTTTGATTTCCTTAAATTTATGAGTGGGATTTAAAATTGAGTTTCATAAATTTCAATAAATTTTGATTTCTGTTATTTTTAACACAAATGCTAGTTCATTCGAGAATTGAGTAAAATCAAATGAGGGTTTTTTTTTTTGTTTTGTTAGAGAAAAATATATTATTAAAAAGTTTTAACAAAATCAAACATTTACTTTCTTATAATATTTTGTAAAAATTAATTTTGTGTTTATATATTTTAAGGATGAAGAGGAGACGGAAACTATCCTTGCGATGCCGGCCGTCCCGGGTGCTCAACCGTTGAACGTCATCGACAGTAACTTACTTATCTCTAATCATTCTGGGGCAACAACGTAACAAGTCTTGCCGTGTGTCTCATTCGAACAGACCAACTTTCTACTCTAGTGAGACAGTTCAACTCCACAATTATGTAAATAAAGACTTTTATATTTCACTTAGCTTAAGCATCCAATTGTGTCAGTGGCTTCTTGCAAAGGGAAGAATCAACCGTAAATATATATAGTATATATATTTTTAAAATTATTTAAAGCATTTGTTTTTAATCAGTATGTTTAATCACCTACCCGTGACTCAAATAGTTGATTCAATAATCGATTTTTTGTTAACATCAGAGTACCCAATGAATAATCCTCAAGACTTATATAATATTTATTGTAAGAATTCTTATCTCTTTTATTTAAAAGCACCTGTTTTACATTATATATGTAATAAAATGTATCATATTGTAATATTGTTTTTTAAGTAGGTATGTATTGATTTTTATGTCAATAAAAAATATTTTCTTCAGCTCGATTTTTAACAACATATGAATGAAAATATGAATTATTTTGATTTAATCTGAAATAACAATTCTTCCTAGATATTCTTTTAACTGTTAAACTTAGTTTTGAAATTAGGAATTGTAATAACAACATATTACTATTATTTTCTTGCTAGCGCAATATGAATTTTAAAGAACTCATTTTAATTGTAAGAATGACATGCCAATAAAAAAGTATCATGTGCCTTTGTATAAAGTTCAATTTTCTTGTTTTATTTATTTTCCTTTTGCTAAGTTATGGAAAATAATAGCTTATATATCAATAATATATATATATGAATTATTGTAATTTTGTCCTTAAAAATAGATTTGTAGATTGAATACATTTAACGTCCTGAAATCAAGTTTTTATTAACTAACTCAGTTTTAACGTCATGCCCTGTTTTTTGCAAATCTACATAATCACATATCAACAAAATATACCATTGCATGATGTTTGCAGTTATTGGGTACTAAATTGTAAATAGTCACTTGCATCTGCTTGATGAATATCTTAACTTGTTCTAAAATTAACTTGTTCCTGTTTTAAATGTTCTAAAAAAATCTTTCACCGAAATGAAATCTGCCCATATTTGTGAGGTTTAGAATTAATATGTTATAATCAAAAGAATGGAATGTATTTTTAAGGTTTTAATTTTAATAGTTTAAAATTCTGCCTTTAGAGAAACACCTTTTTTTATCTCTTAAATTTTGTTGAAAAGTTAGACTGATGTACCAGTAATAAAATTGGATGTATGTTACTGATTTGATAATGCTAGTCAAAATCTACCATTCATATGCTTGGAACACAATTAGATTTTTATCTGAAACCCTGATTATTTTGCTGTTCTTAATTCCTTTTTCAATTGTGATTCACCAAATGTAAAGCATTTACATTTTTGTTTTTCCTCAATCTTAATGCAAATTTTACTAGTTTTATACTTAATAGAAATTTTATTCTTTATACAAATTTTGACAGATTCCTATAATACATAATAAGAAAAGTAAATACAGAACAATCCTGCATCTTTCTAACTTAAAATCTAAAAAGACTTAAACTTTTTTTCTATACTTTTTATTTTTAAAAAAATAAATATATAACTTTTTTTTTATATAGATTCTCTAAAATATAAAATAATATTTTAAAGAATAAGTAAAATATCCATTTGTTAGAGGTAAATTCTGTATGAAAAATTTATATATCTAAATGGAAATATCTTTCCTGTTTCTAATTATTTGAGGCAGATTTTGTATAAACTGTAAAAATCTATGTTAAAACAAATATTTCATGTGATTCAACTTTAAACAATTTTTTCAGTCTCTTCTACACAATTTTTAAAAAATTATTTGATTTTTCTTTCATGTAAACTGTGAGTAAATCGAAATTATATAAATAAATTAACATGTTTTCTAAGGCTGATGTTTTGTATGAAAGATAATATTGGTTAAAGAAAGATACAAAATAAACAAATAAACTCTATTTCTGTATTTCATTAAGTTATATTTAGTCTTGTAACTTCCTAATAACGTAATTTGGTATACAATTTATGAATTTACAATAAATCAAATAACCCACACTTTCTTAATCATATTATTATTATTAGATTGTATCTAGTACTAAGTTGTTGTTTTTTTTTTTTTAAAAAATGGCTGAATAATTTATATTAAGTTTTGTAAATTTATTGAATTATGTAAACTTAATTTCAATATTTTTGTGTAAAGATTTTCATGTGTTTTGCATCTGGCACAATTGTGACTTATATGTGTATTTCATTAACCGAATATTGTTTAAGGGGGCTATCCATATATATATATTCATCATTTTACAGAGTGCAAACAAACCATTATTGACAGGAATTAAGCACTGCTATTGACATGAATTATGGTTTGCAATAATTGTTTTAATTTAACCAATTAAGTGTTCCTATTTTAAAAACTTAATTCTAAAAGGGCTATATTTGATCATGTTATTTTTTAAATTATCATTAGAAAAATTATATCTATGGTTAAAAATGAAAACTATCTGCTATTGATAGAAGGAATATTTTTGTTTTGAAAAAACTTGATAGTTTTCAATCGAACCAGACTTCCCACATAAGTACACAATATCTTCTATTTAAGCAATAAAGTGTGTGAATTGGATTACAGAGATTTCGAGGTTTCCTGATGACAGAAGCTTCTGATGGGTTCTTTTCATTGTATTAAGACACTAAAGTAGTTGCAAATATTTAATAACAGGCAACTTATGTTTATGGAAATGGGTTATGAACAGAATGAGGGTTTTATTTAAGAGATTCAAAAAAGATTGCCCTAAATATATGGATTGCCTCCAATGGAAATATGTTGTCAGCAAACTATCTTTAGTAAACCCTTCTGTTTTCTGAAGGACACAGTAGCTTTTATATGTAGAATAAAAACATGTAAATTCCATAATAAAATATCTTTTCAGATTGAGTCCACAATGATTTTCCTAAACACACATTTCATGAAAACACAATCTGTTTAAATGCTTTTGAACCTTAAAAAGACTTTTTTTGATTCTTGACAAAAAATTGATACTAGTATTTTAGAAAGTATGTTTCAGGAGGGCATTTCATTTTTTGCATAAAGCCAATTGTATCCCAGAATTCCGAGTTTTCCGTATCATCCTTCCTGGTCTAGGAGCAGGGCATGTAATTTTTTCGCGGGTCTCTAGACCAGTGATTCTCAACCACTGTGCCGCGACATTTTTTTGTGCCGCCGAATTCTTAAAATGTGCCGCCAAATATTAGAAATGATACAATAAAAATTATTAATTATCAAAGGAAAGCAAGCTAAATATCAACTTTCAAACTTAAATAAAAGCTAATAATTAAAGTAAGCTATGCAATCAAAGGTTATAAAAAAACTAACAAAAAATAAGCTAACAATTAATAATCAGCAAAAACACTAGTTGACAAGAATTAATAATCAGGAAAAAAAACTAGCTATAGAAAACAAGCAAACATTTAATAACCAGCAAAAAACATAAATAACTGTTAATAACTAATAAAAAATTAGTCGAAAGAAATAATTAATCCCTTAATAAATGTGCTTTTGTAGTACATATTATTTTATTTCACATTCAAAATTATTATCACAAACTATTTAACACAGTGTATTATAGTTAAGTAAATAACTTTTAACCTAATTTTTTTCATTGTGTGCCGTCAAATTTCGAAATCGTTAAAAGTGTGCCGTCACAAAAAAAAGGTTGAGAATCACTGCTCTAGACCATTGATTCACGAATCAAAACCTATAATCCGCCAATATTTTCGCGCCAATCTAAGATTTAACGAGTAATTTCTTTGTTTTTTTCTTTGGTTTGTCGAATTTTCGTCGTCTCTAATATTTGAAACAGCGCTCGAATCCACTAATATCGGGATTCATATTCACGCAATTTTAATAACGATCATCGATTTTCATATTTAACCGATTTAAAAGTTACGAGTTTGAAATCTTATTCACGCGCTTTTCTGTCAGCGTAGGCGTGTTCACATCACATCCGAAGGTCATCAATGTGAGGACACATTGACCATGTCAACCTTCATCTGTGTTAAGGTACCCCATTATAGAATCGAGTTAACATGTCTAGTGAATTGGAATTGTATTGTTGTAGTGGTAGACACACTACATTTAGTAAAGAAACAATGCTCAAATTCAGTTACTTTTTCGAATAGAATCATTACTAATCTGGTCTGTCAATGAATGCTATAAGAATGCCCCTGTAGCTGAGGGTTAATAAGAATTACTAGCTATTAAACATATTTTCTTTGAACTTTTTATTTGAGAAAATAAGACAACTAAACACTCAACAAAATTCATAACATTTGACAATTTCCTGGCATTTTTAAATTGAATATTCACTGTCAAAAAAGGCATAAAAAGCTTTAACAAACTGGCTCATGTAAACACGAGTAAATATTTCTTGACGATTGATCACATTTGAATAAACCAATTTTTTATTCGAGTTATTTTGAGCATAGGTCTAAATTAAGTTCTCTAGCCAAGTTCGTCTTCTTAAAGTAGTAGAAGTAGTGTGTAGTCGCTAGATTTAAAAAAAAAGTAGCTGTGGTAATATAGTTACATACAAAAATGTAGTTTTTCCAACCACTGGGTTCACGTCATCATTTAAACCAAAAGTTTATGTAACCCCTTAACTTGTGCGCTCGAGTTAATTTGAGCCCGCTAAACAGGCCAAACTGTGCACACTCGAGATAATTCGAGCGGCGTTGTATTTTATGGTATAATTTTTCACACGCGAATATAATCGAAAATAACAATGTGAAAGCTAAGAAAAAAAATCGCTTTATTGAGATTTATCATCTACATAGGATTGTAAGCTATAAAACTATTTTATTCAAGAATAAAATATAGCCTTTTTCCATAGAACAAAAGCGCAGTATATCAAAATTGTCCACCAAAATAAAAGACAATGTTTTAAAGTGTGTTTTTTTACATTAAAAAAAATTGATTTTTTTTGGCCGGTTTTTAAAAAAAATCTGTGCGTTAAGGGGTTCATAAAAGCATATCAAATTATTTCGGTAACAATTGTTAGAAAACTTATCTTTTTTGGAATTTCACATAATTTTAGAACTTAAATTATGCATGGAAACTATTTGTAAAGTTCCAACACTTATTTTATAACCGTCATTGAACAGTCGACCCAATGTTCGGGTTTACGACTACTAATGTTCCACTCCGTAGCCTTGAAATTTTGCCTTTGTAGAGGACTTTTTGATGGAATTAACCTGCACTTACGTTACATGGAGACGAAGACCACGAGAACCACCCTGCAAGCTGGATGCGGATTCGTATCAACCAGGGTTACGAACCCAGTTAATCTCATTGGAAGAACGCTCTATCCCCTGACCATTGCGGCTCTTCCAACACTTATTTATTTTATATCCCTCGTTGATCAGCCGACCCAATTTTGGGTTACGACTACTCAACTCCGTAGCCTTGTTATTTTGAACCAATCCAGAAGACAAGGAAACTCCAGGATCAGTACCCCCAAGAGGTATTGATTTGTTGTGAGAACATAGAGGACTTTGCGACTCGACAGATTTAACGTGCATCAGTCACCATGCACTACACGGGAGTCTTCGGCCCGCGAGGATCAAACTCTTGGGCATGAGCCCAGTGCCCTACCATTGAAAAGTTTTAAAATTGAGAGATAAGTAAATTTCATCTCTTCTCCAAGTAGTGATACCATTGAGCAATAAGTGAAAAGTAAAAGTGCCTGTTTCATTTAAAATAAAAAACAAATTATCATCTTAAAAATTTTTATTCTTTGGAAGAACATAATATACAAATTTCTGTTCCTTTGTCAATAACAAGGTCAGATTTTGGACAGCTTAACAACTTAAATCTAAAATTTTTTTTTTTTGGTTTCTATAAACAATGAGACACCCTAATAGTTTAAATATATATATATACTTATAAAACTAAAACATCTGAAAACTACAGTTGTCAAAGCTTCCAGTAACAGTGATACTCATATATAATTACAATATACTCAAAAATAATTAAAAACACCAGATAATAATTAACTTGGACATCAGAAGTCCAAAAAACTCTGTCAAAATAATAATACAAATAAAAATATCACAGAAAACATTTCAGTTAATTTTAATACTTTTTCAAACATTGTATTACAATACAACACACAAAATTTCGATTTTTAAAAAATGTAAAATACAACCATTTTTCTAATGTTCACTCACTTTTTCATACAGTGTGTCAATGCTTGATTTTGAATATTATAATCCACTATTTTTATTGTATACAATGGCATCTGTTTTGCTTTTTTAAAAAGAGAAATTAAGGTTTAAAAACTGCCCCGGTTTTGTACCGATGGTACCTAGGCTCTAAATGAGAGTTAATTGATTATAAAAAATTCCAATCATTACTCACTTGCAACAGACTTTCTTTTAATTAATGAAGCAGTAATTAATAAAGTCTAAATTTAACAGATATTTCTCTATTTGTAAAATAAACTTCATTAAAACAAAATTAAATTCCTCTGTACCTGTCAAAACACTCTAAGTTTTTTTCAAGAGAGTTTGTGTTTTTTTTAATAGCAATTTTTTCTTTAAACTTCTCCCGAAGTTTAAAGAAAAAAATACCCAACACAAACTTAATACTTTTTTACTCTTGTTTTGACTGCAAGCCGCAATTATTAATGTCATAATTAACAGTTCCAAAATACACAATTTTAAAGAAATATCAGGTATAAAATGTGTAATTTCTTAAATTTGTAGTGGGCAATAAATAATTTTGGCCCCTTAGTGGGGGCTGAGGTTAGCAGGGGGCTACTTCTTTAAAAAATTTCATGTATTGAATTCAGTAGTTGTGTTTCAGAAAAGGAATAAATTCTAAAATAAAAATCAAAAATAAATCAAATACAATATCGGCAGCTTAATTCAATTTATTTACTGTGATTATTTTATATAACCTTTTTAAAGATAAAACTTGGGTGCATTGCAGGGTAAACGGGAGATCAATGGATGGGACATAACATATTTCACCACCAATAGTTCAACTGATTGCTGACAAAATTACTCTGCATTTTCGATTTTAGTTTAAAATTAATTCATTTCAATTGATTAATTAATTTTCAGCAATTAAAGAAATGCTTTATTGGATTGAAAATTAAAAGAAACAAATCCGCTCTCATCTCGCAACAAATCAATTAAAATATCGATAAAATGAACTTTTAAATTAATTCCCGACAACATTAAAGAATCAAAAAATAATAATTTAATTAATCATTAACAATGGAATTGGACTATTTACTGTGGTTAAATATATTTATATTTTAGAGACTGAAAAGTAGGTATAATGTAAAATGTAAAACTGTCTAGTTTACAGTACAGCATTTGAGGCCCCCACTTCGTATTTCAAGATTCCCCCCCTTCTTTTTGCATTCATCTGGAAAGTAACAAAGCAAATATAAAGACAAATATACATCTAAGTTACTACCTGAAGTAATTTAGTGTATATATAAATCTTAATGATAACTCTGATATTTTTCCTTTAATTTAGAGACGTAGAATAAATAAAAGGCTAATTTCAATTTTAAAAAAAAAAAATTTAAATTTGCATTTGAGAAAAAAGATGTCGCAGGCTGCACAAACTTCTTTGACTACATATCGTAAAATTTTGTTTTAAGAAGTTTTAAACTCTAAATTATTTTTATCCATCATAGATAAATGAGAAAAAGTACCCTCTTTAGGCATATACTCTACATCTTAGCATTTTCCAATAACTATAAGATAGTGTTAAAAATTTATTGTCAAGTCAAATAGACATTTTATGAACCGTTACCTTTAAAGTACTGTCTTGGAGATTTAAGTACTTCATTCGTTTTAAACCATAATAAAATCTATAGTTGTAACAAAATGTTCGGGGGGAAATCGGTGAGTGCAATTTGCATTTAATTGCATTATCATTTATGAGGAGAAAAGTGTCATATTTTTCCTTAATTTAAACACACAAAATTAAAATATATGTCGATAACAAAAAGATCCCAGCTAGATTAATGAGACAAGCTGCCAATTAAGAGTTATTTCTTTGAGTGGCACATTTTCAAAAAAGTCAAGTTTAAAAAAAAAGGAAGTCAGAAGATAAAAAAGGAATGGCCATTATTGTACATATTTCACTGCACACAACAAAAAGTTATACCATTTATGAAGTGTAAAAACATTTTACAATTAAAAGCCCAATTGTGACAATATTAATACTTAATGTCAGGTTACATATGTGATAAAGGGATGATAGAGCAGGAACTTTTTGTAATGAAACATAAGAGGAAAAATAAACATTTATGCAAAGAGGTGACATCTCTTATAACAAAGAGAAAATATAAAAATACATGCTTTAAGCTACATTGTTTAAAAGGATTTAAAAATGAACTTAAAAATTATTTTTAATAAATATATATAATTTTGGAGAGATATTTTTTCAAATTAGATTGCATGTTTTTTTGTTGTTTTTTTTTAGAAAAAAATATGGATTCTCTTTGAACTAAAATTTAGACCAATTTTCATTATTACCAACTGGCTGGGTGCTGGCTGTACTAAACTTAAAAGTTATGAATTCACACAATAAAAAAATTATTAGGTTTAATTTTGCATGATGAAAAAGATTTATACAAAAGCACTAAACTATACATGCGCACAATTTAGGTTTAATGGATTTTTGGAACGTTAGTCAAAATAATTAATTTGTTAAACATTCTAAAAACAAAGTTTAAATGAATAAGTTGAGAAGGAACTTTTTCTTCTTCAACTTCTTATAAATTGTAGGTTAATATTTTAATGGCAACAAAATTATTTAACATGCTTTGAATCTTGACACGAGAATTCACTTAACATGAAAAAATGCCCATTCCTCTACAGGGTTGCCACAGAAAAAAAGGAACAAAAAAGTTGCTTTTAGTAGCCTGAAGCATGAAAATAGTTGCCTAAATAAGAACTAAAATATTATTAAATGACTTAATTGCCATATACCGTGATACATTTAGTCAAGTTGGTAGCAAATATGATCATTTTTATATAAACTTTAGTGGTCTAGCACTAAATTTTTATGTCATACAAATTTGTATATTTGCAGAAAATTAAATACTTTTAACAACTATAATTCATTTAAAAAATACTTTTTCATTAAAAAATTTCCCTTTTATAAATAATTGATTTAGCAAATATATGTATTGTGAAAATTTATAACTCAAATTCGAAATTCATGCATCGTAATATCGTATTAAAAATTGGGTTTTTTAAAATCTACGTAATTTTGTAAGAATAAACGTTAAAAAGGTGATCAAGAAACAAAATAGCCTTACAATGGTATCTGTGCAAATTGCCTGAATTTAAAAGTGATGACTAAAATTTTCAATTAAAGATTTTCAACATTTTAAAGAAAATTCATTGTGTTCAAAAGCTCCTGCAGGCTTTTCACCCAATTTATGCTAAAAGACAGCTATGGAAGTACAGAAAAGTCTCCCAATAGTCTCCTTTTCCTGAAAATAGTTGCTTTTTTATCATTTTCTGACTACATCGTTGCAAATAGTCACATTTTTAGTCGTCTGTGGCAACCCTCCTTCTATCATCCCTCTAAAAGTTTGTCACACAGAATGTTTTAAAAATCTAATTGAATTTAGTGGTGAACAGTATAATAGCATGATGGAGTATTTTATATAAATATATTTTGAAAATTCTAACAACAATTTTTAAAAAAAATGGTACGGAAAATCTGAGATATTGTAAGGATGGATAAGACATAATCTACAACTTTTAAGTACAGAATTCATTGTATCTATAAAAAAAAGGGGGTGCAACAATAATAATACTGTTCGGGCATAAAAAAGTGCATACAAATTACTATGAGACAGTAAAGAGATTTGCAAAGGAATTATTAATTTTAAAAAAAAGTTTTTTTTTTACAGGGTTGCCATTCAAATCTGGAAAAGAAAGAAAAATTCCCCGTGCATATTATACACAATATATTAAAAGGAAACAACAATTACTGTGGTCTTGTGTGAGCTATATTGGGCTATTACACTAGTTTTAATTGCTGGAAAACTTAAAGAAAAAGAATAGCTGAACATACTTGAATAATGAAATAGTTTACTATAGCTAAAATACCTAGTAGATTATGCTTAGAGTGGTCACCATTTTTTAAAAGACGAAAATAAAAAAAACAAAATTCCTAGCTAGTAAGGAAAAAAATAAATTCCCTGTTACTTAAGGTGATATTTAAAATTCCCTGTATTTTTTTCCCTGTGGAGTGGCAACCCTGTTCTTTAAAAGATAAAAATACGCCAGGAGGACGGTTATTTAGTTAACAAAAATACTCTTAACACAGTTAATCATGGCTTTTTTTCTAAATATTGAACTATGGATGATTCTTTTAGGAATAATTCATAAATTTGCAAGTCCATTTGTAAGAAGCTTTAACACTAGAATTTAACTACTTGAAAACTGGAATGAAGCCGCCTTCTTCTCTTCACTGGTGTGTATCATCATCTGCGTGACTCATCGACATTGCATCATCAATGTGCAAAAAAGAAATGTTTTTACAAGGATAGTGGTACGAGTCACTTCTTGCCCCTTGTGCTGCTGCTCGGCCTTGCTTTCGTGTCTTTACTACGGCTGCGGGCCTTCACTGCAGAGTGATTGTCTATCCGACCGACACTTTTATGAACCGAAACATCTGCGTTAAAAAAAAAAAAATACTTAAATAGTGCATCATTCATTTTAAGTGAAATCCAATCACACTCTTAAATAAAATCAGTTTGAAGATATGGCATAAAAACAAAATCCTGTGCGTAGCAAAATTTTTGAACAAAAAATAAGTACAGGATATCTGCCACTTTTTCCATGACTAATTCCAAGAATTTTTCACGACTTAAGGAAGTTACTACAGTCAAACCCCGCTATAGTGAACGAAATGTTAGTTCCCGTGCCTTGCTATACACGTATAATGTTATTTTTTGTGGATATAGTGAACCAAAAAAGTGAAGAAGTTGGATATAATGAACTTTTTTCTGTCTTCAACTGATTTTTTTCTTCATCTTTTTGGAAAAAATTTGGAAAATTTTACTTTAAAATAAATACATATACCGATTTTTAAAACCATCTATAGAGGGGAATTTAGCGATAAGCTTCTTTTATCTCACTTTCCCATCCCTAAACAAACCAAGCAGATATTTCCAACCCTGGCAGATAGTGCACCTGTCAGTGGGATCAATATGAATTTTTTGACAGGATTGCTCATCAGCTAAAGATTACTAAATTTTTTTATTTTTTTTGTAAGCAAGACGAAGAGTAATGAAAAATAACACATTTTTCGCTATAATAACATTAATTGAAATGATGGGTAACCAAAACTGTTACTCTGCATTTTCATATTTATAGATTTAAAAAAACAAAGTAAAGAAAGTGTTAAAGCAATAAAATAGCTTTAAAAAAAATACAAAAGCAAATAATTTTTTTTTCTGCAGAATTAATTTTCTAAAGATACATTTCTTGTTCATCGGAAAGGAAAGAAATACTCCTGATTTTTCTGTTCTCATTTTGGAATAAAAAAAATTGCCAATGGCTAGTTTGCTTAAGTTAGAATTTTTAAATTAATAAAATAAAACAAATTCTGAAATCACAGAAGTTTAAAGATAATTCGCTCTAGAAGTGGTGTTTTTTAAACACCATAGTTTTTAAAAAACGTGATGAAAACATTTTATATTTGAATAAAATATGACTGTGACTGGGGATTTTGTTAGAAATTCAGATTTTTGAAACACAATTAAATTGGGGGGGGGGGAGGATTCCATTTTAAGAATTAGACTACTTCTGCGACCTACACACGACTTTCCATGATTTTTTTATTTTTTAAAAATACCCACGTGATTCAAATGAGTGACGACAACACAATAAAAAAGATGCTGCTCTTTAGACCCACTGGATAAAGGAAGAGGCGAAGGCCGCAGTTGAGATGGGCTGACTCAGTGGAGTCTGATTTTCTCGCAATTAATAAGATAAATCGAAAGTCGTCATGGAGAAATCTTCAGAGGAAGGCATTGGCTCACATAGGGCTGACGGGCCAACTATGATGATGATGAGTTGAAATTATGATATTTCATGACTAATTTTGTTAAATACCAAAATTCATGACTTTCTAGGTGCGCGGATACCCTGTAAGTACCTCTTAAACACTCAATAAATATTCTTAAACTCTTTATTTTTAAAAGAAATATCAGGACATATTTCCCTATTGTCTACAATTGCCAGGATGACAGATAGATTTCATACTTGCAAATTTTTTTTAAAAAAAGAGAGGGTTAACTCATATACGCTACTTAATTAATACAGGCAACATTTTAAGTTACGAAATCAAACACAAAAACATAATTTCTCTGAATCAACATAACTTTTTTTAGACGGATTCGGAATTCTGACCCTAAAAACAGGGGGGAGCCGTAATCTGGGAAATATGGTCCCAATAGTTTGGACCCCTTAATGTTAATTTTATTTGTTGCGCATTTTGCCATATCTCGGGAAATGAATTTAAAAAAATTTGCTCTCAATTATAAAATTTTAAATTATGTAATTTTAGATTGCAAAATACAAAATTTGAGCCAAATCTGTTGAATAGTTTCTGAGAAATCAAATTTTAAATATAAGACTTCTTTGAAATTCAATTTATCAAGAACTATTCAACTTATTTGGTTCAAACTTTGTATTTTGTCATGTAAAATTAAATACTTTAAAATGATGTAAAAAATTTTATACCTTACAACTCAGATTTTTTTCAACTATTATTAAATAAAATAATAAATATTTACTAAAATTAATTCTTATCATAGAATAATGTTTAGGTAAAAGAATATTATAATAGTGTGTAAAAAATTTTCGATTCACTTAAAAAGTTTTTGAGATGTGGCGAAATACTCAAAAAGTAAAATTAACATTATGAGGTCTAAACTTTAGATCACTCTCCTGACCAAACTATGGAGACCATAGTTCCCAGATTGCGGCTACCACCTATATTTTGGGGGTTAGAAATCCAAATCCATTGAAAAAAGGGTATGTTTATTCAGAGAAACTAAGTTTTTGTGTCTGATTTTGTAACTTAAAACATCATTTGCACCGATTAGCATATTCGAGGTTACCCATCGAACCATTACGAATGAGTCCTAGAACGTGAAGATCCATAAATTAGATCAAAAGTTATTAAGGGTGGTCGGTTTTTTTTATTTATTCTGCTCACTGTACATCATATATTGCAGTATCATGACTTAATACTCTAGTATTTCAAAAACATTGAATTGAGTGGCAAGTATATCTATGCATGAATTTTTTTTTTTAAAACTACTTTTGAACACGAAAGAGCGGTGACTGGTGTGCACATAATTGAAAGTTTATAGCAGGTTTGGTAAGGAATTCTTTACAATAATTTTAGAAAAGTTCACATGTAATATTTAAAAATTATTACTAATATACTACAGTGCAACTTCGAAAATCCGGACTGCTGGAGGGGTTGGAAGGTCCAGATTGTAGATACCATACATAAATTGATAGAATTATCGAAGTTGCGCATTCGCCAGGTCGATTAAGCGCGCGTGTGTGTAGACCTCCGACGCCAATTTTAACAACTTAACATAAATATACACTTTAAATAATAAATAAGAGACATTAAAAATCAAACATTTGTCATTTTCCGTCATAATCGATTGGTTAGATAACATAATATTAGCAATTGAAACTAAAAATATAGGCTTAAAAAGCGAGCTGAATTTCAACTAAATGAAACAGATGCTTCTAGACTAGACTGTACCAGCTGATACTAATACTTTTTTTTTTGTTGGGGGATGAAAGAATAGAGGGGAATCCCCTCTATTCTTTGTTATCCATACAGAGCTGATAAGAATGACTGGAATTTCCTTATCAGCTAAGAGCTTTCATTCACTCCCTACTGCTACATTGTTGGAGTAGAGTTGCGTTTTTGTGCTCTTACATTTAAATTTTTATTCTAAGCTATTTCTTTTCGACAAACTGGACGTAAGAGTCCGGATTTTCGAGGTCGTACTGTATATTTAACATAAAATACTAAATTATTTAAATTTCAACAACAATAACTATTATTATTTTTAACTGAAAAAAATGCATTAATAAAGAAAGATTAATTATGAGAAAGTTCTTACCTTCTTTACTTCTTTTGGCGGTAACTCCCCCATTTAGAGGAGAAGAGGTGCGGGCAGCTCTCATTGCTCTACCCCTACTATCAACCACTAACTTGTCTGGTCGAACAAAAATTCCAAAACGAGGTTTACACTCAAAGTACCTCGTCCCATTCACTGTCCCATCATTTTTACCTGCAGTAATTAAGAACTATTTAAATAAAACGAATCATTTATTTAATTATTTGATTTCTTTTTTAAAAAAATCATTAACATTTTTTAAAATTAATCAGAGGTGCATAATCAGAAATGCATAAAACGTTAATGAAATTCAAATTAGTGCAATTTCAAGGTGTTTTAACTCAATTCTGCATAGGTTTATACCTAATATTAATGACATTGATATTAATTATATACCTATGATAATAAATGTTAATCATTGATTAACATTTTTCTTTTAAATTTACTAGAGAGGCATCAACTATCCATAATCAGAAATACAGTAATGCATAAAACGTTAATGAAATTCAAATTAGTGCACTTTCAAGGTGTTTTAACTCAATTCTACATAGGTATATACCTAATATTAATGATTTAAAATTTTTTTAAGAACTTTAAAATTTGGCTAATTTACTGGCTAATTAATAATCCTAAGCGCCAGCCTTGAATTTTAATTTTCCACTTTGAATTGTTACTATTTCTGATTCCAAATAGAGTTATTCAGTAAAAAGTAAGAGGCGTTTGTTTACCTGTGGGTGTGTCTAGTTCAACGCCAGCCCAGGGGCCAGCTGCAAAATTTGTTGGGCCAAGATAAGCTACAACTCCAGTTTTATTGTAGGGGGAAATCATAACGCTCTCTCCCACGGTCAGCCACAAAGGAAACTTCATTTCTTCCGACTCATTCCTGGAAATTTCACCTGTTCATTGGAAAAACAATTTTCATTATTGGATATTTAAAATATTTTTTGAAAATAGCAATTTTTCTTTTTGGATTCATTAAATTATATTTTTTTTTAAGGAAAAGAAGATTCTCATTTGCACTTAAATGATTTTGTGAAAATGATAGTATTGCCGTTGACTGCAAAAACTAAAAATCTGCCTCACTTTAAAAGTTAGGTTTTTAATGCCGGCTTTTTCCTAATTAGATAAAAAAAATAGTAAAGTTTTGAAACAATGCCAAAAAATTGCAACCTGAGGCTGTGTTTTGAAAATATAGAACAGAAAATAATTTTTCAATTTATATTTTTTTCCCCTTATTCTTACTGATTTGAACTTAAGTGGGATCTAGTAATACAAAAAGAACATGCTGTGCTTTCCTCTATAAGACAAACCAGTTTTACACGTTTTTACCAGTAAAGAAACATATAATTCTTGTCAAGTCCTTACATTTTGCCTTTTTAATATCATTCAACTCTAACATTTATACTTAACCTACAATCCTTTTTCCAATATAAGTTTTTATTAGATCTTTTTTTTCTTCTGTTAACACATTCTGTAAAAAGATTTTAACTGCTAATACATTTACGAGCAATAGTTTTTCAGATGATGATCCATTGTGCTTCATTGTTAACAAAACTATTTTAACAATGCTCCAAATTCTTGATGCCGTTTACAACGTTCATTTTGACTGTGAAAACCATTAAGTCTGGTCAGATAAAATTTAGAACAGATAAAAAACTGTGTTATTATTGCTAACAAGAATATTTTAACAATGTGCGGAATTCTTGAAACAATACCGCCTTTTACGACGCTCATATAAATAGCGGAAGTATTAAGAAATTTTCTGAAGATAGGAAAAACTTGTTTGTTTTTTCGAAACAGTCAAAACTGTGGGGGAGAGGGGAAACATATAATTTAAGGCAGTAATAACTAAAGCCCGGAATTTCAGGCAATAAAAAATGCAGAAATAGGCAGGCAAAAAGGCATTTAAAAAGCTTGAAATAGGCACTTAAAAAAGGCACTTAAAATTGGAGCAAAATGGTAGTTGGTAATGCCTAAAAGCCCATATGGGTATCCAAGGTATAAACAAAGTTGCTAGAAGTATCCGGTATACCTACATATTCATTTCACTCGACTGTCGTAGCAATAGTACAAAAGAAGTGGACATAATTGCACAAAAAAAAACCCTCAACTGCGTAGGTGTGAAATAAAAATTGAAAACTCGTACTTGCAATAATATTGTATGCAGATTTATTCTGATGATTGGTTGTTGTTGCACATCACAACTGGCTGCTTTTTCAAATTTTCAAAAGAGAAATTTTGTCTCCTGTCAGTCAATATAGTTTTAAACAAAGAGAAGGATCTTTCTACTTCGACAGAGGTTATGGGTGCGTACCTAAAACAACTTGCCATGGTAGGAGATATGGTAAGTTCAACTGTAGTATCACCAGAAAGTACTTTTGCAATGTCTTTGATGCATTCAAAGTCTGTATTTGCAGAGATGACGTTTTCACATTTCTTACTTATTCTGTCACCAGCTGGTCCAGGCACAGACATTAGTTCTTGAATAGTATTGTCGAAAATTTTTAGTGACTCGGACAAAGACATATTTCTCTTTTCCATGTGTTCAATAGCTTCAGGGAGCTTCCCAAAATAAGTTGAAATAAAAGTCAGTTCATTTTTTATTTTAGAACTGCTAAGCAGATTTTTACTTTTTCTTACGGATATTGCCTCTTCATCCGAAAAGCTGGTAGGGACTCGAGTAACTTCCTCAAAATTTGTGCAGTAGTATGAGACTGCTAAAATCCATGTTCCCCATCTCGTAAGGATCGGTTTAGGAGGTAATTGAACGTCTAGTGCAATTTCTTTAAGCACTTTAACTCTAGAAGGGGCTTTCACAAATACTTTTTTCACACTAGAAACAAGCGAGTCTACCTCAAGATAGAGACCTCTTACTTCCTCTGCTATCCTGTGCAATGCATGAGCAAGGCACGTTAGATGGATCATATTAGGAAATAAAACTTTTAAGGCATTTCCAGCTTTTTTCATGTAGGAGGCTGCATCTGTAAGAAATAATAGCACTCTTTCATGCTCAGTACCATTTGGCCAAAGTAAAGCCAGTGCATTAGTAAACAACTGTGCAATTGTAGTACTTTTAGTCTTTTGCAACTGTTCAGATGTCAACAAAAAGATTTTATGTTTTTCAAATTAGTCCATTACACCAACAATAACATTCGCAACATATCGTCCAGTTACATCTGCCGTTTCATCTATAGATAGCCATATGTTTTTCGTTCCGATTTCATTTTGAATAGTTTTAAGAACTTCGATGTAACAGTCATTTAAATAAGTTTTCCTTTAAGTTGATTCACAGGGCACACTTTGATTCGTATTTTTTTGCAAAAAAGCTCGTACGCTTTTATTTTCAAGCTTCCACAGCGGAATGCCGGCATCTACAAATGATCTGCATAAATACATCGCAAATTCCGATTTGCGAGAAGATAATTGAAAACAGGTGGGAATCAGAGTCGGTGTTTTCTCAGCTTTTTTATCTTTTGCTGTTTTATGCTTAGATGTCTACAAGTGCTGAGATATAAAATACTTCTTCTCAAAATTTACTGACTTCTAGCATGCCTTACAAAATAGAATGCTCCCATCAGTAGAAAACACTTCTGACCCAAATTTTTTCACAAAACTGTCCAGTTTTTTGCTTGAGCAGGCTTTTACTTTAGGCATTTTTGAAATAACTAGTACTAGAAAACTTTTTAGTGCTCCTGCTACAATGTGCTCAACCAGCTTGGTGTATTAGTTTTGTAGATAAGAGAGCATTCGAGTTATTCGATGGTGTAGGCTATATGGGCCGTAAGTAAGAATAAATTCTATTGGTTGTAAGTAAAAATAACTCCTATTGACTGTAAGTAAAAATAACTCCAATCTTTTCACTCACTCCCTTTCTCTCTCTCTCCTTGCAATGCGCATCGGGCGAAGGTGACGCCACGTTTTCTGACGCCGCGAAGAGACGGAGAGGAAATATTAATAAGACCAAAGGAATTAAGTCCTAATTTCTATAAATGCATTACAATACGTCGGATGACAGTCAACCATTTCTGTACTTCAAAATTTCTTCATTTTGCGTTTATGTTCGGTCAAAAGCACAAAAAGCTTTGCAGAAAAATTTTAAATTTGACAGAAATAGGCATCTATGAACAAAAGGAAAGAAAAAGGCATTTTCAGAAGAAAACGTTTAAAAAAGGCAGAAAAGGGCATTTATGGCATTTTGCCTGAACTTCCGGGCTCTAGTAATAACCATGGGTAAAGCAAGTTATTCCCAAGAGGGTAAAAACCTAACATGGTAAATACCATCCCTGAAAGCATGCAATCTTGTGTCGGAATTTCTTTTTATTATCACGAAAATGTTTGTACTGAAAACCTTTTTTCAACAAAGCAAAAATATTGCAGTTTCAAACTTTTCATCCTAAAAGGATTAAAAATTATTTTCTAAAGCGTTTATGAAAAGTATTGTCATTTCGTTCCATAATGACGTATCAGCTGACGTCACACTAGAGATAGGATCAAATTGCATAGTCCATAAACATTTCATGACAAGGTGGATTTTAGCTGAGCATGCAAGACTCTGCGTAAAGAAACCTTATAATGACCTAGATTTAAGATTATTTTCACCTTGAGACCAGCTTTATTAAAGGATTTTTTAAGTTTGAAAACCCCAAGTCAACCTCGATTTTCAGGTTTTTATATAGAAGGTTGTTTTCCAAGGTTTTGGATTAGGGTAATGTGTGTAGACTGTCACAGATCTCTTTAAAGAGATTTTTGGGATTTTTTTAATTGGCTATTAAAGGACTAGGGTAACACTACGATTCGTTTCATGCCTGTCCTTGCTTGGATTACACAAGGCAAGTGCAAGATACAGGATTGTAAGAATGCATTCATACCATCTGAAGATCCTTGAGAGTTCGTCTCGAGAGCATTGTCATTGTAATGAGGGTGCTGCTCTGTTGCAACCAACTGAAATCATAATTACACATTGTATCAGTTAACAAAGTTTTCCAAAAACAAACAAAATATTAAAAAGAAGAAAAAAGTTTGCTTACTTTTTCATTATCATTGTTGTTATTTTGGAAGTTTTCATCGTAAGTATTGTCTGGCTGAAAATACTGTTGTTGCCCCTCTTCCCTACAACGAGACACAATTAAATCAACAATTAAAAATCTCACACTGCAAAGCAATTTTTGATGTAAAAAAATAAATGTGCCACCCAGAATAACTTTTGATCAGATCTTCACGTTCTTGCACTCATTCTTAATGATTCAAGAGGGTGACCTCAAATATGCTAATTAATTGAATGAAGAGAAATCGAAATTTTAAAAAGTTAGGTTTTTAAAAAAATTTGATTTCTTGGGAACTATTCGTCCGATTTTGCTCATTTCTTTTTACATGTAAAATTATCCTTTTTAAAATAATGTAACAAGGCTGTATATCTCGCAATTCAAAATTTTCTTGATCATTATAATTAATGAAATAACGCAAAATTATCATTATTTACTAAAAAAATGTTTTTTTGTATAAATTATATTTGGATAAACAAATTTTATAATTGTGTCCAAAAATGTTTAAATTTACTTAAAAAGTTCTCGAGATATGGTGAAATACGCAAAAAGTAAAATTAAAATATTAAGGGGTCTGAACTTTGGCCCCTCTCCTGACTGAACTACTATGACTATATTTCTCTATTGCGGCTATCCTCTATATATGGGGATCAGAAATCCAAATCCGTTAAAAAAACAATGTCCGAGAAATTAGGTTTTTGTGTCTGATTTTGTAACTTAAAAGATCGTCTGCACTACTTAATAAGCATATTTGAGGTCACTCCCTTGAACCATTAAGTTTGAGTCCTAGAACGTGAAAATTCAATCATCAGGTCAAAAGTTATTCAGGGTGGTTTATTTTTTGCACACTGTACAACCAGGTTTTGGGAATGAACATTAGTTTAGAATAACGAAACACAATTTACCCTGCAGCAACAGCATTTTCTATGATGTAATCGGTGTCTCTAAAATCTTCAGTGACGCTGTGTATGGAGATGGAATCTTCACTGGAGGCAGGTGTTGTAGATAGAGCTTGAGAACCATAACCACTGGATATCATGCTGGGCGTACCTACTTTGGCCTGAGAAAGAAAAAAAAACTAATTTAAATGGAAAAACTTCCCTTTTTGGCAACAAACTACTATTAATTACTAAACTGTTTTATGTGAGTACATTCTTTTTGTATTTTATGAGAGTACATATGTATTTAAAGGTGCAACCAAAGTGATAAATTTAATATTATTCATAATGGCTAGATTAAATAAATGCCATTATATACAATGGCTAGATTAAGAAGTAGTCATTATACATGATTGTTTATTAATATTCACTGATTGATCAGTTTGGTCATTGCATACATATGTCTAAAAATTATAAAATTAGTAAAGATAAAAAGTTAAAAAAATTCATTTGAAGATATTTTTCTTTATTGCTGCCTGTTGAAACATTTCTTAAAAATACAGGATGCATAGCAAAAAATTAAGAAAATTTTCAACAAAAAATAAGCACATTTTAAGTACTCTTTAAGCACTTAAAAAATATTTTTAAGCACTATGTACATTAACACAATGCAAAGTAATTTTTAAAGACTTTACATGATCATGATAAAAACACCTAGTTTCCGACAAAGAACTATTTTCATGATTATATTAACCATTATTAAATGATCCAGAGATTTTTCGGTTTGATATCAGAGGGTGGAAAATGAAGCCTGAAATTGAGAGTATCTTGCAAAATGCACATGCGCTTTCATACGCAAAGGACCGATGATACGCTGCAATGGATCATTGTTGAACGAACTGTGAAAATATAGGGTAGAACAATGTAAAAAGCGCGCTTCTGCATATGTGGCGAAAATCGAAATGGTAAAAAAAAAAAAAAAAAACTCCTTTTCGAAAAGGGAAAATTAAGCACTTTTTTAAAACACTCAATGAAAGAAAGCATCTTTACGGCTTTTAAAAATCTAAAATAAGCACCTTTAGTGACTTTTTAAAAACTCTATGCACCATGTAATACAACCAACTCAAAAGACGATACTAAAAAGTTTTTTTTTATCCTTTAATAGTTTTGATTGTGTTATTTTTCATGACGTATTTATCTTGCATATCAGGTACATTTTTCAAGCTAAAACTAAATTCAGTGGCGTGACAGCCTATTTTGTCCATCTCAGTTTTCTTGACCTTGGGCTCTGGGGGACAAGAGCAGGCATTACAGCTGGGTGGTCAGCCGCACGCGGAACCCACAGTGATTAGTCTTCAAGCATGCTCGGTACTCATTTTATCGACCCACTAAAGGGATGAAAGATTGCCCGGCCCGAAGATCGCACCAAAGATGTGACGTGAGAGCAAAGCACTACCGACAAGCCTAATAATTTATAAAGATACGTCAATGCCGGTTCCCAAGCATGCTCGATACTCATTCTATTTTACACCAGAAAATATAGTAATTGTTTTTCAATCATTTCTTTCAAGGTACATAGTGTTCATACTTTCTGGAAAAATATTCCCTATGGTTTTTTCTGAAGATTTGAAATTTATACGTACTTGTATGTCTGGAATGCTATCTGGAGTATCTATTGCATGAGTTCTTCTTTCAGAAACCTGAGTTCTGTTTATTTCCTCTGTGTGGTTACTTGTCACATTGTTAAGTTCTTCACTTTCAATAAACTTCTCCATTAAGTTCTGCACACAAGTTTCATCCCCTGACTAAGAACAGAAAATTTGAAAAAGGGGGAGATTATTTTTAAAGAATAGACTCATAAATATTATAATTACATATACATAACTGCCAACATGAGTAGGAAAAAATCCAGTAGATTTTATGAAATATTAATATTGCATTATGTACTAAATATTTGTGCTGGGACCAGGTCTGTGGTGAATCCATTGACAAGACTATAACTAGTAGGGGGGGGGGAGTTCTTTCCATAAAAATCCGAGCAGTCTAAGATGTGTTCAGGTGAAGTTCTGTAATGACCATTTAGGACAAGGTCTTTCTGCCTTCAGAATATAGAAGGCACTGAACACTAAGCATACCAACACTTATTCTATACCTATTTTTACCATAGCCGATCAAATGACTAGACTTTACGTTTCTAAATTGAATGTATGAAATATGGATGTTAGGAAGGAAATAAACTAAAGAAAACTTTATTATAATTAAACAAAAATGTATATTGCCAATTTTTATGTAATACAAACACAAAGAATAAAATTTTTTAATTCAATGCTCAACGCATTTGTTACATATACAGGGTGTTTCCATTATACATTTTCCACAAACATATTTCTTCTAATTGTTATTATTTCCATAATTCTTATAATTATAAGAATTATAATTCCCATAATTAATATTATTTCTTCTAAGAGCTTGTGCTGTCTTGATTGTTTCGACATTTTTCTGGGTAAAATCTAACAGTCAGAAATGAGCTAAAGCTATCAATGCAACTAATGTGCAACTAATCAAGCGCAATACGTTGAACACGCATTACATCATAATTTCTGATCCAATAACCTTATAAAGCAATAAATTGTTCTCCCGGTCAAATGACCAGTTGCGGTATAAATAGGTATATGACAAGTATTATTCAAAACAAACAAAATAATAATAATAATAATAGAATGTTAACTGTATATAATTGTTAGAAAAAGTCATGAGGTCAAATGTGCAAAAATGATAACATGGTAAGCACATTTTATACGAAAAAATTCTTAAACGGTCATTTGACCGGTTATCGTAAGTTTAGTGTTAATGTGGCACTGGCGAGGCGTGAGAGGCTGGTGTTAAACCTCTGGTCGCAAGGAAGTGTTAGAGATAGACCTAGTGATGTTGTGGAGGTGACAACCAAGCATTCCAATTTCTTGCTTTTATTCGAGAGAGTATCTTTATATGAGTCAGCTCTGTTGAAGAGCCTTCATTAACAAGGCTGTCAGCCATTTCAGTCCACTAATATGTGAAGGGACCCAATGGAAATGAAGGTAGAACCGGGTTCGAGTCCCTGCGATGGCTGGTTGATGCGAATCCACATCCGGCTTGCACCGACCACAGTGCTGACTTGACAGATCCTCAGTGATAGACGGATCATGGGTTAGAGTCCCTTTACTGTCAGGCTAACCGTGGGAGGATCTCGTGGCCTTCCTCTCTATGTAACGTAAATGCGGGTTAGTTTCATCAAAAAGTCTTCCTCAAAAGGCAAAATTTCTCCCAATACTTGATCAAGGAGTTCCCTTGTCTTCTGGATTGGTTTCAAAATTACAAGGCTATGGAGCTGAACATTAGTAGCTGTAAACCCAAAAATTGGGTAAGTAAAGCTGTATTTAAAAACTAAATGGGCTAATTAAAAGACTGTGCACAAAATTTATTAAGTGCGAGCTTTGTTTTTGTTGTATTCATTCTAGTTTACTTTTAGTAGTACTTTGGGATTATCCCGTTGACCATTTTCGCTGAACCCAATATTATCGCCAAAAGGTAGCTTCTGCGCCAGTAACAATGAATATAGAACGATTGTGGAGTTTGGCGAAACAAGAAACACTGTGGATTCGAAAACACATGGATTCATATTTAAACGAATTTATATGACAGTGATTGCACAATAATAATGACTTGTTTCTTTGCGCTTTAAAAGCTATCAGGGATTTTTGGTCGCCGAAATGATATGGTTAGATTCACGAATAATTCAATGTGCAATTATAAAAAAGGAGGTTTTTACTTTGTTTAGACTCTTTTTATTACACTTTTTAACACACCCTGTGGCAAAATTTTTTCGAGCTATCTGCGACAAAACTTTCTAGCACTAATATCTTTCTGCAAGATATTTTTAATAATAATAAGCATGCATGTTACTAATTTAAAATAACAAGTTTACAAAAAAAAAAAAAAAAAAAAACTATATACAGTACAAAACCCGTTATCCGGAAATCAGAAAACCGGAAAACCAAAAAACCGGAACAAAATTCGATAAATTTTCCTCGATTTTTTTTAAAAAGATGTTTTTTTCTTCATAAGATTTTAGGATTTTTCTCTCTTTTTTGAAGGATGTTTACCTTACCATCAGTTTAGAAATAATCATTAGTGTATTACTTCATCGTTTTTTCTTCTTTTTAAGATAATTTCCAAATATATATTTCTTTTTTTAGTTGGGTTTAACGATAAAAAAACGGTTTTTTGTAGCGATTCAGAAAAACGGAAAAATCAGTTATCCGGAATAGCGATGGTCCCGATCGTTCCGGATAATCGGTTCCCTACTGTACAATTTTTTTCAATTGAGCATGTCATTTTTATTCTAATATTATAGGTAACATTTTCACATTTTGTAGAGAAGAGTTGGGAGGCAGAAATTATTTCCTTCGCCTTTGGTAACTAATCATCACAATAAAAAAAAATTAAAAATCATTATATCCGTACTAGTACTTGGCAAAAAAAAAGATTGATGAGAAAATCACGCAAATCAGACACCTCAAATGCGTGTTTCATTTCACGATATAAGGTTATTGTATAAAAATAATATCATATAAAAAATATCGGATTTAAAAACTATGGAGAAATCAATAGCAATAACTCATAAAATTCAACAGAATTATTGGCTTAAAAAGTAAATACTCAAATACACAATTCGAATTTTCCACATTGTTTATCGGGATATTTAAAATTCACGTGAAAATCAATATCAATAACTGACAAATATATAATCGAAACAATACATCAATTTACGATACTATCGGCGTATATTGAGAGCGTCAAAAAGTGATTATCTAAATGCATGATTCAAATATAATAGGTAAATTTCTGTCAAAAAATAAATAAAGGTAATTTTTTTTTTACTTTTCAAAAGAAAAATCTTTCTGCAAGAACTCTGTAACGTTCTGCGGCAATGTCGCCGTGTCGCTGCGATTCTGCCACGGGGTTAACACGTATTGTTACACTTACATTTTTTTTTGTTATAATTTGATAAATTTAATGTGTTTAAATTNTTTATTTTTTTTTTTTTTACTTTTCAAAAGAAAAATCTTTCTGCAAGAACTCTGTAAAGTTCTGCGGCAATGTCGCCGCGTCGCTGCGATTCTGCCACAGGGTTAACACGTATTGTTACACTTACATTTTTTTTTGTTATAATTTGATAAATTTAATGTGTTTAAAATGTTTATTTTAGAAATTATTTTTCATTATGATGGTGCCAAAGGATTTGCGCATTTTCATGAATGTTGGCAGGTCGACGGAATTATCCCGTAGTTCACTTTTATTATAGAATTCTGGAACACAAAAGAGAATTGCTCTGTTGTGCACACAGTGGACAAGAACACAGAAGCTGAGACAATTCCAAATACGTACATGGTCACAAAATTCAGAACTCTCATCAAGTCCACATTCAGGAACACTCTGAAGTTCCTCGACGACTGTAGACATTGGTTTGACTAACTTTGTGGACTGGGGGGTCAATCCATTCAAGGGGGAACCTATTAAATGGGAAGACATATTTATTTAACTTAATAGAAAGAAAAAAGCAGTTCTAACGTATAGAAATGTGAAGAAAAAATAAACATGCCTAGACATGCCACCTACATTAAAAATAATAATTAAAAAAAAAAAAATACCAAAAAAAATAAAAACCACCAACACACCGAAAATGGCAGTAAAAATGTTGCAAAACAAATTGAGGCAAATCAAGGAAGTAGTGGAAAAATGCTAATGTTGCTAAAGCCATAATAATAATAAAAAAGTAAAGGAAAAACAAAGGATGAGAGAAAAGAAGTGAAATAAAAGAGTAAATTAGAATGTTTAATGATTTGCAAAAAGATAATCAGGGATGCAGAATATGTGTGATAGTGTGAAAAAAGTTCAGGAAAGAAAAAAAAAAAAACAGGCAACCTTGAAAACTTTTTGCCTGTAAAAAAATTTCAATTTTCATTTTTAAAATTTATTTTAACATATTTTTGATTCCCTTATACCATATCAGCTTACTGTCTAAAACGATTATTTTCTGTTATGTTAAATATGACACAAATAACTTTATAAGTCAATAATTTGTTTATTTATTAGTTTGAATTTCTTAAGTTTAAATGTGTAAACTTAAATTTAGTTTTATAAAATTATTACTATCTTAATATATTTTGATTTCTATTATTTTTTAAAAAATATACTAGTTTAATCAAGAATTGTGAAGAAGAAAAAAATTTTCTTAAAAAAATTATTATCAAAAATTTTTAACCATACACAAACTTTACTTTCTAAAAATATTTTTAAAAAGTTATTGTAATTAAAAAAAGTTTTAGAATTTTTTTTGGGAGGAAGAGAAGCGGGTGGGAGGAATTTTAAAACTCAAAAAAACTATGTTTTACAGAAATAATAGGCTCTGAGAATTTTCTGCACCCCTGAAAAAAATAAACCAAAAGAAAAAGTGATCATTTGCAGGAAACGAACATTCACGAAAAATGCTTTGGACCTAACATACTTAAAATGGATGAATTCTGACGGAGGCTCATATTCAAATTGAAACTGAGATTCAAGAAAGTTGGCCTTGCTGAAATTACAAATCACATAGTTTATATCAGAAACAATAAGCACAAAAGAGTATTTCATTGAAAGAAGTACACAAAGCATGATTCAATTATTTATTTATAGAAAGCAATTTTCACAATTTAAATTAAAAAATATGGAAGTTTTTACTTTATTTAAAAAAAAAAAAGAATTTCAAAAAAATTATTGGAAACTATTTTTTTGTACTTAATCAGTCTTATGGGTGTCAAAAGTAAGGGATCAGATATCTTCAAATTTCAATAAATGTTCTCAAATACTTTCTTTTAGAACAGAAAATGTTCTCAAATCTTAGCACATGTCTTAGGAGTTAAATATTTCATAATTTAAACTCTTGTGAATACAGATCAGGATGTGAAATTTTAATTGTTCTCTTTTGAATTAAAAATTAAATCTAAAAAGTGTTAATCTAGATAATATCTTAAAAACCCAATATAACTAACTAGACCAAGGAGGTTTTTTTTATTTTTAAACCGGGATTTTTTAAAACCCAGACGATAACTGAGCAAAGCAATACATCTATTAAGACTTTGTTTTAATAGGAATTTGAACGATTTTGTTTGCAACAATCTGTTCATTATCAATCTAGAAACAAAAATGATTGCTGATGAACCGAGCTAGCATAAACTTTAAAAAAATTGTAAATCATGACATTTACAATTAACGAGACTTACTCAAGGCATAAGGAGATGTGACTGGTGAATCGGAGTTGTTAATTGGAGGTTTTTCTTTACCAAAGGGAGTACTGCTCAATGGACTTCGTTGTTTTAATTCATCATTTGGAGATAGAGCAGTTAATTCACATGCAGAATCAGCTCTTGAACTGGGATCCATTCTTTGAGGAAATGTGGTGTCCAATCGTTGATCCATTCTTAGGACCTGGGAAAATGATTTAAAACTGTTATCACTCAAATAAGAAGAATCGGTCTTTGAAAAGTCCAATATTTTATTTTATTTTATATTAACAATTTTATTTAATATTTCTATCTTAATTGGAAAAAATAATATTACAAAACATTCAGAGAAATAAAAAGACTTAAAAGTCTAACTAATATTCCATATTGGATAAATTCTAGAATGTTATCAAATTTCATGAAAGAAATCTAATTTCAGAGTGAATTGATAAAAGCAATTTTTATTTTTATTTTTTGCTGTTTTTCTCACCCTCAAAGAATCACCTTTTTAAACTCCAGAAAAATTTAAAAGCTGGTGGTAAAATATCGAGGAATCAAAAAATTTTAACTATTTAACCACGATCAAAAAAATTTGAAAATAAAATATTTTTATTACAAGTGACCAACTCAATTCCTTAAATTGATATGAAATTAAAGGCTGTAAAATTCATGATAATCTCACAAAATTGTTGTCACCACTTTTTAATTTTTTTCCGATCCTAAATCTATGCTCGATATAATTACCCCCTGTGGTCCAAACAAAAATGGAAGTTATAACATGAAGTCGCTATATCGAAAATACATAAAATTAGCACAAATATTTATTTATATTTAATAAATACTGAACATATTTCATCAATAACATGGTACATTTTAAATAGAATTATGAAACTCATTAATAAAGTTTTTTTTATTTTAATAAAGTACTAGTACTATCTAAAATAATACATTAAAAATTTTTCAAATGGCATCTTTTAATATTGGGCATAAACTTTGGTCAATCATTTAACGGAGAGCGAAATTGATGCGCAAAGCAACCCCGAATCGCAATTATAAACATTATCAAACTCATCAATACAAAAAGGACCATAATATTACAAAAGGGACAAAATCAGATTTCACCCTAAAAGACGTACTTTGTACGGTAAAGAGGACCATCCAGGAAGCCTAGTAAAGGTCTTTAATAAAAAAGACAGCGATTAACATTTACTAAAACCCAAAATTAAATTTAATTAGGTATTCTTGAAACAGACATTTAAAAATTATTAATTTTTTTAAAACTAAATAAAACAATTTTTAGATTATAAATATCTATAAAATAATTAGAATATAAATATCTATAAAAATAGGTATAATTTTGGAACGTTACCAAGTTGTTCTGTTATGAAAAATATAATATAATCATGAACAAAATGACACTATGTTCTGAATTATATTCATTAATATGGTAGCAATTTATGGCACATCTAATAAATTAACATATACATAAATAAAAATCAACAAATATATTTTTAAGTTTAAATTCGGAAAAAAATTTGCGCTTTTAAGTACAAAATTATTCTTATTAAATATATATATATAATATTATAATTTTTTAATATATATAATATTTATACATTGTATTAATATACTTTGCTTTGGCTATATTGATACAATATTATAAACCACTCTTTTTTGCAGATGTAATCGTGTGAGCTGGTGAAAAGATATCTTTTTTTTTNTAAAAGACAAATAGTTATATTGAAAAATTACATGAACTAAAGTAGACATGAGCACAATGCAAGTACTACTAACAGCCCTAGGTTGACAATTCTTTTGTATAGAATCAGAGCAGTTTTTGAGCAAAAAAAAGCAATACTCATCTTTTTTTAAAACAAAAAAGGAAATATTTTTTAAAAAAACTTTCGACCAGCTACTTGATGGTACAATATTCGATTAAAAATGTAGTTACGGCCTTGCCAAACGCTGTTACAAGAGGAACAGCGACGTCTGACTTAAAGAAAATACTAGCTATCAGGAGGATGGGTAAAATGCAGAAGATCTTCTCTTCTACACATAAAAGAGGAAAAAATAGGTAAAATAAGTAAAAATGCAGAAAGCTTCTGCAAAATGCAGAAGGGTTGGCAGCTATGTGAAAGAGATGTCAAGCATAAAGTCCAGCTTTAATATTTTTAAATAAAATATACAGGAATTTTTATATATAAATGTGATCGATGATTTCTTGAAACTTCTGGACTTTGGATTTCCGGAAACTTTCAGATCGCGGTTAGCGAAAAATCGGGAGGACAATCACCCCTGTATATACATAAATATAACATGCATAAAAATAGGGCGACATAAACTCTTCAAATGAATGTGACTTACATGAGCAATATTTGGCACACTGGCAGTTTTCCTGAGAGGTTTTCCTTGAGCAGCAAGTAATTCTTTAACAGCAACTTCCTGTTATTTAAATTGAACATTATATTGAGAGATGAAAAAAAAAGATATTTTATAAAATAGAAGTGAAGTTTAGAAATATACATACCTGTCTCAACCTGTCCAACATGAGAATACTCTCAACCGCTGATACACCTCTCGTGTATTTCTCTATATAACTCTCCCCGTCATTTGTGTGGGCATCTTCTCCAGAAGCCGCCATCAGGGCTAACATCTCTCTGTTTTCTGGATCTTCAGATGCCTTTAATGAGAAAACATTTTTGTCTTCTATAATAGTCAACTAACTTGTAAAAATTGATGAGTTACACAATCAGATTAATAGAAAAAAAAGTATATTTTTAAATAAAAATCTTCATCTGTATTTAATTAATCAATTTTAAACATCCATATATACATATTTTTTCCTTTTATTTTCTTATAAAAAACTCCTTTTATATTTTCATATTTCTGGAGGAATTTTCTTTTTAGATAAAAGATTTTTTAGTTGAAAAGTAATCCCTTAAGCTTCCAAGATGGACTTAACAAAGAGTAAAGGTAAGATAAATTTTCAATTAAGAACTAGAGACTTCAAAGTTCAAAGGAAAATTTATGTGGTTAATACCACAAATCAAAATAAGAGACGTTTCAGATTTTCTTTAAAATTTAGCTTTAATTGTTTAAAAGTGTTTTGCACCATCTCTTACATGATTTTATATCTTCTTTATTTTATCTGATTTCATTTTACTGGTTGCAATGTTATGGCTTTTTCTTATTACATATCAAAGTAACCAAACTTTGAAAATTTTCTTTAGTTACAAGGAAGGATTAGAATAGACAAAAATAAATGCACAAGAGAGTGAAAAATATTTTTTTATTGACGTAAAAAAAAAAAGTGTTCCGAATAAGGTTGCATTATGAAAATATTCAATCATATTCATAGAAATTTATTTTGTTTTCTCTGATTTATAAATGTAATTTTTTTTGTGTCTTTTGTAAGAAGTTACAAATTTCTCAAACTTTTCTAGGGATTTGAAAAATTTTCTTGATTTTTCCAGACCGCTACATACCCTGCAGAACCAACATGAGTAACCATCATCAGATTGATTTACGATGATCCAACATAAGAATAGCAACTTGTTTGGATGGTTTGTCCCTGTTGAACCAACAATTTCCATCGTAGTTTCTTAGAAATCAAATGTCGGAACAATCATGAGCCACCATCACCCCAATATCAGAATTTGGTCTGATTTATAAAGGGCCAACATAAAAAAAAATGGTTTTGATAGTATATTCCTGCTGAACAAACAAGAATTCCTATTAAACCATCCTGAAAATGTATAGATAATAGAACTAACATGGATAATCATGGATTGTTGGTTCACGAGAATAAAATTCTCTTGGTGGTTAACCATCATAGTATTAAAGTAGCATTTTCCATCATGGAATGATGGAAGTTTGTTGGCATTTCAAACACCATGAGCACAGAATGGAAAATGTTGGATGATGGTGACCATCAAATAATATTGGACCATCATGAATCACACTAAAACCAACATAAACCATCATAATTTTTTGATAGGACCATCACGAATTTTGACTCTGGAACCATACTTATAACTTTAAGTTATATCTTTATATATGGAAGAAATAATACTTCCTCCTTACACTATAACAAATAATACAAGCCTTGAACTTATTATTTTTTTTTTATCAGACTGATAAAAAAAAGAAACCCAAAATGTAAGTTAATCACCATGAAAAAAATTGAAGTAAACAAAAATATCCAAACAAAACATTTGAGGTATACAAATTACTGATCTACTTCTAAAAAATAAAGCATAATTTTGTATATAACCTACCTTTGGAATGTTGGATACCATTTCATATGTTACACCACTCGTGAAAAGGGTGTCCTGTAATATTTCACAACAATTAGGATAAAACATTTTACTTTATTTATCACCTGCTAATGTAATGAAATTATTTTATGAAGTTTCAGCATCAAAAGAACAGTCACACTGTTTCTTTATTAATGTAATAAAGAATAATAATATGAGTTCTAACATGACAATTCTCAATTACAAAGAGTACAGACTCCCATTAGCAATAAAAATGCAGATTCCCATCAGAAATAAAATTCAAAATTGTAAAAAATTTCATCTTATTTCATTTTGTTACAATCAAACAGGAAGTATTTATGTAAATAGAAATTTAATTACAGTAGATATATTCTCGCTATATCGAACTTCGATATCTCGAAAATCTTGTTACATCAAACAAATATTTTTTCCTTTGGCATTACATACCCGCCTATAGTTAATTTGAAGGGTTTCTTCTCAAAACGTTGCTATTTCAATATTTTTTTCGAAACAGAAAATAGATTTTCTCAGAAAAATCACAATGTAAGTTCATTGTAAATCAATCATTTTCTATTTAATGCATAATTATTTTTGTCGTACTTTTAAAAATAAAATTATCATTGTTGTATTTAGACTTATAGTCAACTATCATTACATATACATATTTAATAGTAGTTATTCTTATGTTTATTGACTTTACTTTGTAGAATAATATTTCAGAATATATTTTTCTCCTTTTTAGAACATATTTAGTTCGGAACTTGTTATCTCAAAAACTTGTTCTCTCGAAATCTTTTTATAGTCTCTTCAACTTTGAGATATCGAGAGTATACTGTACATAAAACATTTTTTTTTAAAATAATTCATTAGGTTTAAATCAGACAACCCTGGAAAGCGCATGTAAAAAAAAAGAACTTTTTATACAAAAAACCATTTCAAATTTTGAACCATTCATTCTATTCCCTTGTAGATTATCTTATTCGATACAACATGAAAATATACATGAGAAATAATGTTTCACTTGTTTAGTTAGCAATGTCAATTGTGTAATTTGTATTTTTTCAATTTATGTTTTACCACTATGCTTGAAATACAATGTTTTTTCACAAAGTTGTCAAAAAACATAACCACGATTTCCAATTTCTATTTATTGCTCAGTTAGCATATTAGTTACACAGGGTGGCCACTCATATCTGGTAAAAAAAATAAAAAATTCCCTGTGTTTTTCCTGTACCCATTATACACAATATATTAAGATGAAACACAATTACTGTGTTCTTGTCTGAGCTATACTGGGCTAACTATACTAGTTTTAATTGCATGAAAAATTAGAGAGAAAAAAGGAACAGCTGAACATACTTAAATAATGATATAGTAAATGAAATAGTTTAATATAGTTAGAATATCATCCTTAAATATCCCATAGTTTATGGCATTGAGTGGTAACCATATTTTAAAAGACAAAAATAAGAAACAAAATTCCTTGTATTTTCCCAGTTTGTAAAGAAAAAATCAAATTTCCTGTTATTTTTAGATGATTTTGAAATTCCCTGTATTTTCCAGTTTTTCACTGTGGAGTGGCAACCCTGATAAATAAAAAGAAGGTTAATTATTATTTTGTACATTCTTAAAGAGTGAAAAAAAAATCAACTTAAACCATTCAACTTTATCAGACTTAAAAAATATGGTCATAATTAGCCCCAACTTATCCTACATGATAGAGAAATGTTTTAAACCATGGGATTTAAGCAAAATCAATAAAGAGTGAGTAGCTAAACATAAAAAGCTGTTTTAAGAAATAATGTTAATGGAATAGAGAGTGTTAATAGAGAGCCCAAGAACCACCCAGGAAACAAAAAAAAGCATTACGATGAAGATGGACTTACTATGTAATTTTCAATTTGACCCTGAATATACAGATGCCCCCACAGACACTAAATAAAACAAACACACACAATAAATCGCAAAGCTGGGAACTTTAATATTGTATAAAAAGGGAAGATTTTCTAATATTTATAATATACTGGCCCCTGTGGCAGAACACGGCGACATAGTTGCAGAATGTTACAGAAATCTTGCAGAAAGATTTTTCTTTTCGGAAGGAAAAAAATGTAAAAAAATTTCCTGCAGAAATGTACGCATAAAATTTTAATTGCGTATTTAAATAATCACTTTTTATCGCGTTCAATTTACGCCAATAGTGTCGTAAATCCATGTTGTGTTTCGATTGTATTTTCGGCAGTTATTGATTTTTGCGTGGTTTTTAATGATCCCAATATATTTCAGACGCTGTGGGAAATTCGGATCCTGCATTCGAGTATTTACTTTTTAAGACAACGATTCTATGTTGTTGTTTTTTTTGGCAATTATTGCTTTGGATTTCCAAATAGTTTTTAAAATTCGATATTATGTATTACAACAATCAAATTTTGAAACGAAACGTGCATTTGAGTAACCCTTTTTGGAAGAGTCTGATTTCGTTGCCGATCTGTTTTTCGGTATTTACTGCTACAGATTTCAGGATTTTTAATTACTTTTTTTTTTTAACTTTGATGATGATTTATGCGAGAATATTGCCCATATTATTAGAATAAAAAATATTATATATAAATGAAAATAATTGCATGTTTTTTTTTTTNTTTTTTTTTTTTTTTTTTTTTTTTTTTTTTTTTTTTTTTTTTTTTTTTTTTTTTTTTGTAAACACAGTGATTTTTATTACTTTAAATTAGTAACATTCATATTTGTTATTATTGAAAGTATCTTGCAGAAAGTTATTAGTGCAAGGGAGTTATGTTGTAGAAAGCCCGAAAAAATTCTGCCACAGGGATACTGGCATAACAGGAGAAGTTAAATTAAATTATTTATTTACTGTAAAAGAAATATACTTCTTTTTCGTTCACTTATTTTAAGCTTAATTTGTTTTCACTTTTTTTTAATTTTAGCATTTCTTACAGACATTTTAACATTTCTTAATTCTAATTTTTTTTTTATTTTAACATTTTTTACAACTATAAAATGAAACAAGCTGTTAGCTATTGAATACAATTAAGGGACAATGTTAGGCATTAGAAAATAAAAACTTCAAGCAGCAAAAATTAGAGACACATGTAACCTATTGTGCTGAACTAGATCAGATGACCTCATGGCAATGATTTGATCAGTTGTAGGGGTGCACAATAGGGTGGTTTTTATTAACACAGGAAAAAAAAATTTACATCGCATCTTTTACAGCACCTCCTAAAAGTGTACCATTTGGTATAAAACCAATATTTGGAAAGTTTCAGCTCAAAAAAATAATATTTAGAACTCTGGTCCTTATCATTAAAGTTTGAGGGGGGGAAAGATTTTTCCCAAAAAATAAAATATTTCCTGCTATAAAAATCGAATAGGTGGTGAATAAACAAAAATTTGGGGTCAATTTTTTTGGTTTTCGAATTTCATCTTTTACAAGCATTTATTAATGATTCTACCAATAAAATCAATTTTTTAAACAATGTTAAAAGAATGTGCACATTTTGTTAACTACCTGAAAACAGTTCAAGTAAAATAATACTAAGATTTAAGATCGGAATGTATAAATTTTGCATACAAAATAAAAAAATATAATCAATTAAAAAATCCATCTATTACAAAAACAAAATTTAATGTGTGTTTCAGAATTTTTTTTAAAAAAAGGAAAGAAAAAAGGAAATTTGCAAAACTAAAGGCAGTCATAGTCATAAATAACTCCTCCTATGAAAACATTTGCAAAACATGTAGTAGAAAAGGTAAGATTTCCACAGAGAAAGTAATAATTTAGCTTTTTAAAAAATTCAAAGAGTAAAAAACTTCAAATGTTAATAATTTGAAAATATTGTACACATACACACTCTATAAACATCACATACTAGCTGAAAACAGTTTTTCGCATGGGATGAAAAAAAAATTAAACTATTACTAAATCATTAGTACAAAATCATACACAAAATTGAAAGATGCAATTTATAATGCAATTTATAATGCTAAAATAATACCAATTTTTTTTAAATTTATTTATTTGTATTTTTATTCTTTGACAGAGACTTTAAATTATTAGGTTAAGCAAAACAAGTCTTAAGTAGTTCATACCGTTAGAATGATGCTATTGCCAATTCATGATGGTCAAAATTTACCACGATATCATTTTCTCAGGTACTTATCCCTTTCGAAAACCCATAAAACATCTCTTTCTACATTATTTATATTAAAATTGCACAGTATTAATGCAGTTTTAATACACTTATTTTATCTACATCAGTATATATGGTATTGATTAAGATGCCATAAATTACCATAATAAATATCAAAAGTGCCTATTATGAAATTTAATTAAGCATCATTTGCTTTAATAATAGCATGGCTATTTTTTACTTTTCTTCTAAACAAATTAGTACAATTTCACAATTTCTGCTATTTAGTACATAATTTTTTTTATTTTTTTTATTTCAGTTATAGTACCCATTAAAAAAAATTAAGCATCATTGTCATCAATGATAGCATAGTGATTTTATTTTTATTTCAAAAAGCACCTACAGTCGAACTCGTTTATAACGAGCACAAAGGGACCGTAACATGTACTCGTTAAATCAGAGTGCTCGTAATGAACGGGTCCTTAAGACAGGCGTGCAACCAGAAGAGGGGGGGGGGGCTTGAGAGGTCAAATGATTGAGTTTACTTAAAATTTAATTAATACTTACTTACTTTAATTACATTAATTAATTTAATTAAATACTTTTCTTAATTTAATGACAACTAACCCCCTTCCCTCGCATTTCTTTATCATTTTGAAAAAAAGATAAGACAGAAAGACTAGAAAGATGATTGCAAGACAGAAAAATATTGCTCGCTAAAACCGGGTCTTGCTCGTTAAAAGCGACTTCTGTTCCATAGACTTAACATTGATCCAACCAAAAATTCTCGTTTCCCTCGGTAAATCCGAGCTCATTATAAACGAGTTTGACTGTATTATGAAAATTAAGCATTATAGGCATCAATAATGGTATGGAGATTTTGAATGATTCTCTTAGATGAATTTGTATCATTTCTCTATTAACTTTTCCCCTTACTACACTGCTTCCAATTTGTGCCTTTTTACCATTTTCCTAAACAATTTAGTACTATTTCTCTATTATTTATATTATAAATACTCCATGGTTTCACAGTACTTAAATACTAAACTGGAAACGTAGTCCGACCTATGACCTTTATCATCGAGTTTATCTGACATAAAGAATAATTCAATAGCTAATAACGTGCAATGAAGTCCTTTTTTGATTAATGAGAGCTATGAGCAAGCAAACGTTACTGACACTATCTTTGAACTCGTCTGCTGCGTCATTAATAACAATGGCACAATTTCTAAAACCAATGAGTAAATTCAATTTTTTTAAATGTTACCCCTGAACAATCAAATCAAAATATTTATGATTTGTAGGATCAGGGACTAAAATTGACCCTTTAACTCACTGTCTGAATTTCATAATGATAGAATAAACAGTTCTGGAGTTATAAGATATATACACACAAACAAACTCTTCATTTTATTATAGATAATTTGTCTACTCTTCTTTTCATTTTAAAGATGCTTTAATATTTTTTATTAGCAATTAATTAAGTTATTATCTATTGATATAAAATAAATATAAATTCATCGAATTAAAAGCTAGAATTTTTTTTCTGTAGCTTTTTGCAGAAAAAGGTTGTGCACCCCTAAACTGTCAAATGTTTGAGGATCTATATTTTGAAACATAGGGCATTTTTATAGCAGAAAAAGTAGAGTATAATCATTAGATGATTAGACTTTGAAATAATTGACAAGCAGTGGTTGGTTTGATAGGGGAAGAGAAAGTAATTAAAATATGAATACTTTGTGAATAAGAATAAAAATCTACTTACTTGTCTAACAATCTTTTTCTTTATTTTGTCAGCAATAGACTGCCTCTTGTAAACGTTGATGGCTAGACGTTTGCGCAGCATTACATCCATGGTGGCCGGATGACTGAGACGGACCGACGCTTTTAAAATCAAATAAATACGATCGTTTGGTGAAGTGGCTCGGTTTAGATGAATGGAATCGTGTATGGATGAGTCCCACGCCGCAGTAGCGCACACCTGCAAAACGCAATACATTAATTCACAATAGATTCAAGACCAACCAATTCTTTTACATTTAAAAATGAACCTTCTCATTTTTCTTACCAATCCTATTTCTTTCACAGTTGTACTAAATGGCTCACTTTTTCTACTTCTTATTTATTCAATAAACTAATAAGCGCATAAATATATTAGGATTAATTTTAAAATTTTTTCTTTTTTTAGAAGGAAAAAAAAATTTAGATTTTATTGAAGAGGGAAACAAAAACTTCAAAATGAAATTCTATTGTATAGAATTTTATTGCTTACAGACTTCATATTTTTTTAAAATTTATTATAACAGACTCTCGGTAATAAACATGCAAGTAAAACTATTTAGTTACTTTTTTTTAATTCAATTAAACTAAATAATTCAAAATATTATTCACAGTGAAGTTATACAAAAAATTTTCTTGGAACAGTGCAAATAACTAAAAATTAAATTTTTATAATTACCTCTTTTTCACAGTATTTTACAATAGGAAGATTAAAAGACTGGCTGCCATGTTCTTTGGGTAAAATGGAATTTGCTCCGGCAATGCGGATTTCTGCATCACCTTTAATGGGGACACTCATATCATCCGCTAAAAAAGAAAAACAAATCAGTTAATTTGATTGAGAAGCAAAGTTCGCATCAAGGAAATCTTCACGAAAATCAAGAAAAAGAACTAACAACTGGTTGTAGAAATAATTTGGATTAGCTATATTCATTATAATATATCATAAGTATTGTATCCTAAATCCAATGTAGCTATATAATTTTAACTCATTAATTTAAAACATTTTAAACATTATCCAAATTCTTCATTCTAGTTTAATCAAAATAGTATTTTTGCTTACATTATTATTTTATTACTTTTTGTTAATTGTGATGCCTTTATTTAGATTTGAATAGTGAATAAACTGCCTGCTTTCATTTTAAATAAAAAAAATCTCGTTGACCAGGAGTTGGCACTTGGCTCCGCCTTCACAATCGTGGTATCGGATGATACTATTTCGTTATTTTGGGGAGAATGATGTGAAGAATCCTGAACAAGGTAGCTATTTGGCGATTGTATGATAAAAATATTTATTTCGCACTCTTTATGTACATTTTCTAACATTAAATATTTCATAAATTTGATGATATTTCTCTCTTTGAGTGAATAGTTTTTTTTTTTTTTTTACAAACTATTCACTTTTGAGAAATTTTGCTGGGAAAACAGCAGTTTTTAAATTTAAAATATATTTAATTAGCTAGAGTATAATAGCAGATGATAAAGTGAAGTAAGTGATTAAAAAATAATTCACAGTTGGTGTTTGGCACGCATAAAGGGTTGTCTCAATTTCAAGCTCGGAAACGTTTCTCCTCTTACTCCCGCACTGAAATGAACTCTTCGTCCGAGGAGGTGGAGCTAAGTGCCAACCCCCAGTGAATGAACGATATATTTTTTATTCTGTTTTTTAACCATTAAATAAATAAAAGCAGGCAAATTGTATTTAGCTTACTTAAAATCATTCTTAAAAATTAAAGGATTGGTGTGATGGTTTTATATTTAGAATAATTTATTCTTGTCTGATGAGTTTAACTCAGAATATTACTCGTTTTTAAATCTTTTTCGAAGCACCTTTAAACTTTTACCATTAAAAATTAATTTTCATCACTCTCTGGCCGTTTCCACCCATTTATCAAGAATATTTTCACACTCACAAGCAAGCAGCATTTATTAATAAATCATATTTCCTGATGCTCAAAATTAAGTGAGATTAGGTTACAGAATAATTAATCTTTTCATCCTTGATAATTAAGAGTACAATTAAAGAGCATATAAACAACAACTATTTAATTAATAATTGAAAAGCTATGAATATGCTAACAACAACAAGAATATGCAAATGACATTTAACTGAAAAAAAAGGAAACAATTTTTAGAATGCATGCAAATATTAGGGTACGTTTGCGAATTATATTTTTCTTGTCAAGCCAATTTCTTACATTAACTTTTGAATTTGGGCTAATTTTTATTCCATTCTATTGAATAAATATTATTATAAATGTTATTATAGCCTAATTTTAATTCTTAAACACTTAAGTGTTTTCACTTTCCAAAATAAGCTCTCAAAAGTATGAAATATAGATTAAATGAGACGATGAATGTCATAATATACTTTAGAAAATAATTTAATAATAAAATAAGAATTTGTGTGCTCCTATAGCTCAAAATTCTTTTGTGTTAGGGTACTAGAATTTGAACAGTAGGTTTAAAGAGCACTTGCAGCATACTGTCCTAAAAATTGTTCATAAGTTTCAAATAGTTCATTTAGAGGGAAGTTCGCACAAAAAAACGAATTTCTTTTTTCATTTGTTTAGAAAAAATACCTGAATGTTTGTTTTTTGTATAAAGAAAAATGAGTAAATAATCATTAAATCAGTATTTATCAACACTATGAAATAAGGAAGAAAAGTGAAAAATATAATTAAGATATAACAGAAAAATAACAATTAAGTTAGTCAAAAAAAATTAAGGTAAAGTTGGTCCACCATTTACATTTCGAAAAATAACAGATAAATAAACTAGAAAAGTTACAGTTAAAAAAGACTTACCATTTAGATCTAGAAAAATAACAGGTATATGTTTTTCCATTCCAGGAGGAGGGTCCCTAAAAATATAAATAAACACTCATTAAAAACAACTATTACATAAAAATAATAATAACCATAAGTAGCTAATTAAAAATTACATTTTGAAAATAATGGGCTAAAAACTAATAAACCTCATTCGTTCGTTACATCACTTATTCCTAATAGTATGTTAACTGGTTCTAATTTAATGGAATTTAAGTTTATCATAACTTTTGATTGTAAAAATTTCACATAATATTTTCAAAATATGTTAACACAATTCAGAATTTCAATAAGGTGCAAATCTTTTCAACACTTATTCAAAAACAAAAGAATTAATTGTTATAAAAATTGCATTGAAAAATCCCTATAAATTCTTACAAAGCAAAATTTTGTTTTAAAAATGAATGCTTTGTGGACTTAATTACATGACATAGATTTTTATGTTAATATGTAGGATAGAAATTGGTTTTATTGTTTTTCAAAATATTCTCCATGATGATCAATACACTTTTGCATGCATTTGAACCAATTTTCAAAAGCACTTTTTCCAGTCTGATTGAGGTAACTCCAAAACATGCGTTTTGAATGCATCAACCGCTTCTTCGGGGGTCGAAAATCGTTGTCCACGTAATTTATTTTTGATGTGTGGGAATAAGAAGAAGTCATTGGGTGCCAAATCAGGGCTGTACGGCGGATGACCCATCAGTTCGATCTTTCGCTCCGTCAGAAATGCCTTTGTTTGAGTCGATGTGTGAGAGCTCGCATTGTCATGANAGGTCCTGGGTTCGTTTTCCGCACGCCGAAGACTCCCCGTGTAGTAAATGGTGACTGATTCAAGTTAAATCTATCGAGTTACTAAGTCCTCTATGTTCGCATAACAAATCAATACCTCTGGGGGAACTGATCCAGGAATTTCCTAATCTTCTGGATTGATTCAAAATTACAAGGCTACGGAGTTGAACATTAGTAGTCGTAAACCCATAAAATTGGGTCGGTAGTTCAACGACTGATATAAAAAAAAAGTGCCGTCACCGCTTAGTGATGAGACACCCACGGCATTTTGTATTTTGTTTACGTGCGTTGTTTCTCGATAGCAACTGTTTTTTTCAGTGTTTCTGGTGGACGTTTCCAATGTTTATTTTTTCATTGCATTTTTTTACTATAGTAATAGAATTATGTAAAAGTGACTAAGAAAATGACGTTTCACGAAAGAAGAGTGCTTCGGCTATCTAATAACTCCCACAAAGCTTCTTGAGGGTTAGCCCGTTCAAGGAAACAACTATCTCCCGCTGATATTGTTAGCAAGTATGCATGTTGAACGCTCACGATAGAATATCGAGGTACTTTGTTTCGAATTTCTTTGTACTGCCAAAAATTGAGCAGAGATCGTATGATCTATGTTCAATTTCCAATTTCTAGTCAATTGTACTGGCCAAGTTCCAATTTTCAATAAATTGGAACTTTGGCCAGTATAATGAAGGAATGGGACCGATGGGGTACCAATAGGAGCTTTTCTTTATGATTCCGAATTAGAGAAGAGCACATGCTCACGTGTGTTGGAAAACGATTAGAAACGTCTAGACAGCTAAGTACTGTGCACAGCTAAGGAAGGAAGGTGATCTTGTGTTCAAGGAGAAGAAGGGGAAAGCTATAGGTAGTAACTCACACGCAACAAAGTTTTCCGAAAATGACAATGAGTTGATTGAAACCTCATATTAACTCTTTCTAATGAGAAATTAATCATTATTCAAGGAAAAAGTCTAGCCCTGATTTAAATTATTCACGAATGTTCGATGCATTCAAAAAAGATCTCATTGATAGCAGTCAGATCTTGACAGAATTACAGGTTTATTTTATATAAGGAATTCCGAAAAACATACATTTGCGAAACCCTCAATCTGATACTCTCAATACTTATGACAAGTTAGAAGCTAAGGTTATCAGCTCTAGAGAGAAGCAAGATGCAACCAATCAACTGGATTTGCCTGTTTGTAAAAATGTAAAGAAGCTCAAGAAGCGATGACACAATGCTCCCATAGATGTTTGGGAGTATGGTTCTAAAAGGCTCTCAAGTGGTTTGACAGTGTTTTGCATCAAGTTTTATTTGTTCCTACTTTAACTCTTTCAAGTATATTTTACTCCCGCTAGCTGGCATGCTACAATTTCGCTACACCTAACAATGATGGCTATATAAATATGTGGAATGACAGCAATTGCAAGCTGAGGAGGAAATGAAATAACACCATGCTTATTTAAGGTACTAGCTAGTAAAATGTACTGGCTGACTAAAAAAGAATTAGCTTTTAGCTGCTATCGTATATTATAATTGGAAAAATATAGTAATTTAAACATCAGTGCTGTAACCCATGAAAAAAAAACACTTTAAAAATGATGATAGAATTTGGAAAAAATGTTGGAAACGAAATCCAGAATAAAAAAAGGAAATTATAAAAATCAAAAAATAAAGTATTTCAACTTGTTCAAATCATTCAAACATTTTTTTATATGAACTCTATATATATATATATATATATAGTTCCTGAACTGCTTAAAAAATAAATAATAAAATACCTTTTATCTAACACAATTAATCCATAATAATTGAAATAATCTATATAATTTATTTTTTTCAGGTTGCATGTATAATAAACATAGCAACATTAAATGCATTATATTTCAAATTAGAGCTTTCTGAAAAGTCATTGTATAAACAGATAGATTTTCAAAATGCATCAGATTTAAAACATATGGTGTTGTGTAATCAATATGGTGTTGTGTAAATTAATTTTTAGATTAGTTCTTCAAAAACAAAATAAAAATATCTTTCTATGGGAGAGATTTTCAAATGCGGTTTGACTATAAATTAGCTGCGGTAATGGAGATGAGATACCTAATGGTGTTATAATTTGAGTAAAAACAATACACGCTCCAAAATGTTAAATATTTAACATTTTGAAATGACTCTAGCATTTTGCATCAAAATTAAAACATTTTTGACTAAAAAAAAAATCAAATAAAAGATTTCTTATGTGCTCATAGAGAAATTAATTTAGATTTTTACCTTTTATTTATGTTTTAAAATATACAATTATTTACCACACATTTTGTTTTAAAAAGAAGAATTAAAGAAATGCATACCAGTCTGCTGGAGCTCCGGGTATTCCAGATTTGGGAGCAGGCACTAAAACAGTATTCCTTTCTTCAGTCAGGCACACCCACTGATCAATCAAGCTCTGCTCTCTCTCAATATCCTGATCTGATTTGTCTATAGGAAAATAATACAACATTTTTCAATACCATAGAAAATATAACCATATATAAACTCTATTGCATCATTCCTTTATTCAGGGAGCGTAGCCAAATCTCTCAACAAAAAATAAGCACCTTTAAAGTACTTTTTAAGCACTAAATTTTTTTTTTAATATACATTAACAAAATGCAAAATAATTTTCGAAAACTTTACGTGATCATGATAAAATAACTAGTTTCGGACAAAGAACTCTTTACTTGATTATACTATCCACAATAAATAGATCAAGACATTTTTTCGGTTCAATTTCAGAGAGTGGAAAATGAAGCCTGAAAATGAGAATATCTTGCAAAATGCAACAGAGTTGCACACGAGAGTGAAAGAATTTCATCGAACTCATCTCAGTAGTCACTCCTAAGTATTTCATCGAGCAAGTAACGTGATTTGCGCTTATATACGTTATGAACCAATGGTACACCTAAATGAATTGTGGTTGAATGAATTGTGAAAACGTTGAATAGAACAATGCGAAAACCTTGCTTTTGCATAATACGCAGCGAAAATTGACATGGTAAAGAAAAAAAATCTCATTTTTGAAAAGGGAAAATTAAGTATTTTTTTAAAACACCCCTTGAAAAAAAAACCTTTTAAGGGCTTTATTATTATGAAAGAAGACTATATATTTTGAAAAATATCATCTTTTTGGGGAGTGAATACCATAAAAAAAAGGTGAAAAGTTTCTCCTCCTAATACTTTTCATTAAACAAAAAATGAATTTCAACTTTGACATAGCTAAAAAATCAATGTCAATGACACTTTCATATCACAATAATTCTTTAACACTTATCTAAATATGCGCAAAATTTTACTTTTTATTTTACTTTGCATCATGAAAGAAAGAAGAGACCATGCCAAAAATTTCCTAAAACAGACAGCTGTGATAACAAGGGAAGCAATGTCACATTTCTTAAGCATAGAAAGAAATAAAATATCTTCTTCATATATTTTAAAAGTAATTATAAATTTTGGCAGGAACATCAAAATGGCGCTAATCAGACTATTGTAGCACAAATGTTTATAAGGGATACTTTCTAGATTTTATGCATCTATTGAAGAAAACCACTTAACAACGTATCTATTTTGTAAAATACATATCACTTATAATGAGACAATGGAAAAAAATGATACAAATTCATCTACTAATAAAATTTAGACAAATATTGAGCAAAAAGAAAAATTTATTTAAACATGTGCAGCTCTCCTAATATAATAGCAGATATAATTTTTAAGTTATTAGACAGCAAAACCTGAATGCGTTGAAGACTTTAATTTTCATTAGTAGAAAATATCTCTACCTAACAAACTTCAATATAAATAATATGGCAGAAGTTTCAAAATGCAACTTTTTTGCTCGTAAAACTTCTTTTATAAAAAGAGCTGTACACTTTGAAAAAATAAATACTAAATGAGTTTGAAAAATAAATTCTAAATAATTTTGAAAAATAAATTCTAAATAATTTTGAAAAATAAATGCAAATATTTTACATCATTCCAAAAAAAAAGAAAATTTTTTTTAAAGCAGTTATTAAGAAATAAAACAAAAAGCAACTATTTATCGTTAAAAACCATCAGGATTAACCATTATTTCTCATAAATGATATTTTTCATTTGGACAGTACATTTTCACTGTTGATCATAGCTTTCTAGAAATCAAAAAACTGAGAAAAATAATACTATCTAACCTTTCTTATTGATGATTTTTTGTATTTGACTATCTAAGTACTCTCTTCTTTTCATTAAAGCTTCCGACCATTTCTCTCGTAAAAGAGTCAAATCTTCCTCTTGATAAGAATCCAAAGGTTTTTGCAGTTTGGATCTTGAGCAAATGCTTCCAATGGATACACTAGTTATTGCTTCACATATAATAGGCAATGTTCCAGAATTGTGTACAGGCCTAACTCTGACCATCACTCGACGTTGTTGACCCTGAAAAGAGCAACAGTGAGGAACAGTAGAAAATAATACCTTCGACGTACAATTGTTTGCTAAATACCTGACGCAGTTGATAAACACCACCCGTTGCGATGTCAGGTCTTGGTATGACTTCCACAGCTGCATATTCACCCATATCATTCAATTCTTGAATTTCAACCCACAGTTCAATTTTTCTGATCAGTTCTGACCACCTAAAAAAATTTGTGTATGTAATGTCACTGTTGGATTTTGTTGAATAATGAAAAGAAACACTCTAATTGAAGAAAAGTAAACAGATCTACTCTACAGTACAGTAAAAGGTGAATTTTCATTGATGACCTCTTGTTTTTTTAAAACGACACATGGTGAATTTATTCTTTATTTAGAAAGCTTAATTAAAAACAAAAAATTTTATGGCAGGCACTGAACTTTCGTTCTTCACCCCGGAAGATGCCGGAAGTGTTGCTCACTTAACGCTACCCAGTGGGCACCTGTGAACCTAAGTCACTGTGGTGAGCAACAGTACGCACACCACAGATACCCGTTTATAGGATGGGCCACAATCACAGAACATCAGAGAACAAAACACAGAGAGAAACATTCATGCCCTGAGCGAATATGAATGTATTTATTATACAAATATGAATGTATTTGGTAAAAGACTATTTACTACTAAATGTAATGCAATAAGTGCCGCGTTTATTATACACAAATATGAATGTTCTAGTAAAAATAAAAGTGTTTTAAAAAATGCGACGTAACATTATTAATAGCAAAATGAATATAAAAATAATAATCTAAAACTCACCTGTCTGCTAATGACCGGGACCTCATTAGCTGAACATCTAAGTCCCAACCAGGCTTTGAGCTGCTGAAGCCTGCACTTCTATGACCCCAGACCTCGATAGAAAGAGCGCCATCAGTGCAGTATTCAATAAATTCTTCCGAAACATTAACTACGAATTCCTAAAACAAAAGTAATCAAACTGTGGTAATGCAGCAAGACTGAGAAAATAATTTTGGACTATTTCACAAAGAAATTAATGCAGCGGGTATTAATATCTGATTACAACCAACTTATCAACAATTAAAAATAAAAGAGAAATAAAATTTAAAAAGGACACTATTGTTTTTTAATTCATTACATTGCAATTACCAACCTTTGAAGATAGTTTATTCATTTACCTGAATGTGTTCAAATTTGAAGGTCATGCAATCTTTTCCTTTCCTTGAAGCAGGATACTCAGGGTTTACTATGGGCGGAACAACAACGGCGTCTGGATGACCCCAGAAAACATACTGGCAAAACACAAAATTCGACAGAGAAGGTGGCAATCCAGTGGCAGATTTAATTGAAAGCTAAAGAGTAAGAAAATCAGTGAATAGCTGATAAATATACCATCCAAACAAAAAAAAGCATAGTTTATATCATTAGTGTCATGAGTGTATATCATGAGTGTGCAAAAATAACAGAAACACAACTCAGAACTTTAATTTTTACAAAAACATGTGATGAAATTAAATTTAAAAATACAGATATTGACAGATTAATGATAAACATCATTATTTCTACTGACAATTTACAATAATATGAGTTATATAGTTATTACTCAATAATAATAGTTATTACTCATATTATACAATAAAAATCTTAAAAACACAGATGTAATATTTAAGCTAAAATTAAATAACTATAGCAGTCTTTGCATAGGGTTTATGAAAAAAATCAGGACAACATTTTTAAAAGAAAATCAGGAAATTTCTGTACAGTATACATATGCCAAACTATCTTTATAAAAAAGGAAAATGACAAACAACTATTTCCATTTGCCTATATTTGAAGCTGATAAAGTTTTTTAAGCGAATAATATCTTATTGCTTCAGTTTCTTGGAATTATTTATTTAAAACTACATATTTATTAAAAACATATTTATTAAAATAATCAAATTAACTAGGATAAAACGAAAATAATGTTTAAAAAACACAATATATTTCTTCCCTAATAAGAAAAAAAAAGGAAACATTAGAATTAGAGGAAAATTTATTAAGCAAATTAAATAAAAAGAAGACTTGAATCTACTAAACAGAAAAGATAGTAAAAAGAAGTGCTAACATAAATATTAAAAGGACAGAGCAGACTATAAAGAATAGCTCAATTGAATTTTCTTTAAAAAATATTTATCTTCAGATTTATGAATGAGTAGAATTAATTTATTGAGTAGGAAATTAATTTATTGAGTAGGAAATTAATTTATTGTGAAAAAAAAACCCTCATAGCATAATAGAATCACTGGTTAAAAGAGAAAATAGCAATCGGTTTCATTAAATAATCCTCTGATTTTGGTAATAAATAATCATATGCTTACATTTTTCAGATTCTTTAAATCCATCATCTTAAAATTCATATTTTTATTCATAGTTAATGTTATGAAAATGGTACGTTATGAAAATCAGGAAAAATCAGGAAAAAAGCTAAAAATCAAAATATCTAAGAGAATAATTATTCTTATCAGGAAAAAAAGAATACAAAGAAAATAGATACCCTGTAATTGAGTATAGTTTGAAAAGTAAAAATAACAAGTTTTTTAAAGAAAACAATTTTTAGATATACTGAAATAAAGAAATAAATAATGTCTAGTATTCTTAAAACAAACTTAAAAGTCAGAAACTAAATAAGGATGAAAAAACTCATTTTAACTCAAGATTAAATCTCCAAAGTATAAATAATATTTTACACAAAAATGATGAATAAGTAAAAGTTTGAAGAAAAAAAACATTTATGATAAATAAATTGGTAAAGAAAGTTATAAAAATAATCTTAAGTATAAATACAGCGTTTGTCTAAAAAGTAATGTCAGTGGGTCAATTAAAAAAAAAAATCCCTTTATTGATTAATTTGAAAAACACAGTAAAAAGTAAGTAAATAAGTTCCTCTCGTCTCCTAGACATTATTGCTTCTAGTAAGACTTCTGAGAAAAGACTTTTTCCAGAATGTCTTTTAGTCTTGCGATAAGTCTCTTATCAACTGTCCCGAAATAAAACACTTTTAAGCAGGGGTTTGTCCAGGGAAAATATACTACCATTTAGTGGCACCATCGCAAATTCAACTTTAAGAAAATCGGTAGTTTTACAAAAAAACTTTTAAAAAAGCAAGTTCTCATGCAAACCCCGTTCTCGCTGCAATCTATGAAAAAGAGCTTTTCTGCAAACTGTCTTTTACGAAGAGGTAGCACGTGTTTGGTCAGATAGTGCATTGTGGTAAGCCTAACTGGTCGCTTATGCCATATCAAAGAGAGCTTTCTTTCTTCACCGAGTTTTTTTTTATGAAATGACGAGCCCTCTATAAACTATACAGGAAGTCAAAATTCAAACATTATCTTAAACATTACTGTAAATTTATTCTAACAAACCTGTATTTACAATGAAACATTTTTGTAATGACTATATTCCATACAAATAATCACACCAGATTTTCATAATAATAAACTTAACTTTATTAAAAATTAAAAGAAACTAGTCATTATTTTCATATTCGAGCATCCAGCTCTTAAACAACCAAGGGAGAACCTCTCCCGACCAAGATAAACATGCATCTACCTCGATTCCTAACATGCACCCGAAGGGGTGACACAATGCGCCAAGTGCGCCTAAACGATCGCCAAACAGTTGCCAAACATTACAATTTTTTTCTCTGTGAACTTTTTTCTTCTTTGTATGACCTAGTCGAAAATGTTCTCATAATGAAAATAACTTTTAGCGCTAGTACTGTTAAATGCATGTTTTTATTAAATTCAAGTTGAAATTGAACTATGGATAATGATTTTTTATGGATTTTTAAATTTGGGTACAATTTTAAGTCCAAGATTTTACAATAGCAAAATTATTTTTGAATATATGGGGAAAAATATATAGAAATTTACCAGTCATAAATAATTCTTATTTGTAGTGCGAATTTTTGAAAATTTTTTCTTACTTCTCCATATTTTTGTGTTGATTTTTTAATACAATTTTAAATTTTCACAAATTATGCACCTCTAAAAAATAACTTAGACAGACCCCTGACAAGGGAGTTTTTAAGTGCACAAACAAGAAAATCTCTGAGTGACTTTAGGGTGCTTAAATCGGCAACAAATTAAGTTCAGAGGAAGGTAGAACAGCACTCCCTCCAGTACTAATTCTAACCAGTCCAAAGGCACTGTAACGAATATTATCTTCGGAATAAAGTCACTGACATTACTTTTCAGACAAAGCCTGTACACAAATATATTAGCCTGTATTACTTGTATAGTGATTTGACGACCAGTGCTGTTATCACTGGAATCATCTTTTATTTCTGAACTGCTCCTTTCACTCTCCGTTTCACTGTTTTCTAAATTATCAGCAAAACTACCTTCTATCCGACAAATTTCAACATGAAGTCTACCAGCAACCTGAAGAATTAAAAAATAAATAAACTTTTTTGTTTTAAATAAAATAATAACAATAATAATAAACTATAATGAGAGTGTAAAAGATATTTCAAGTTATGAAACCAGACTCAAAAATGTACTTTTAAATGTTAAATAAACATACTCTTTTTATGACGGATTGAGATTCCTAACCATCAAAGCATGGGGGTTAGTCGCTATTTGGGAAATAAGGTTCAGAATTGGCCAGAAAATCTGTCAAAATTCGGGACTCATTAACATTAAATTTACCTTTTGCATACTTCATCACATCTCGAGAATGAACTTTTTAAGCATAGCGGAAAAAAATTTAAAGCAATTAAGTTGTAGAAGGAAAAAAAATTTGTTGTAATGTATACAAATTTTTAAATAAATTTTAAGTAATGACCTTTACGTGGCAAAATACAAATTAAAACGAAATTTGTCGGAATTTTAACTATACAACTTTTCTAAAATTTTATTTCCTAACTTGAAATAATCCCTGCTTTAAATAATTTCCATATTTAGTGTTAAGCTTTCGAATCATTAAGATTTGAGAACTAGAAATGCAAAATGACCTAACTACCAAATAAAAAAAACATTTTTATTTTAAAGGAAAAATCTTCAAAAACCAAACTAAACATTGAGAGAGAATGGCACTTTTACAATGCGTCATGCACAGTGAAGTGGAGACCATTCAGTGCAATCAGCTCTCAGTAAAAAGACACTAGGCATCTAGTTCACGTCAACTATGATTTTAGCGTTTCAGGCGGACATTTTCATTGTTTTTCTTTTCTTTATGCTTTAGTGACAGAATTACAGTTTGTCTACGGTAAAAATTCCCCTCGCCACAAAGTCTGAGGCCGTCTGCTGCTATACAAAATGCTGAAATAAGAATATTGCATTTCTGAGAGAGTAGCTTCTCTTCACTCTAGGACTAACACAACAGACCGAACTAAAAGATTCCTTTTCTCTCTCTGAACAGATCCAAAACTTGCCCTACTTGAAATAGTTATACCTTGCTACTATAGTCGCTGCCACGGGTGCAGACAAATGTTTAAAGTACTCATTAACAAGTCTTCAAGTACTCTACTGGCTTTGATTTAGGCAGACAACTGCACCAGACAAAATAAAAAGAGGATGGTGCTGTTTGTTATATTGTATTTAGTTGCAAAAAAAATTTTTTTAATGAAAAATAACTTTGCTTAAATTTTGTTGCTTTATTCGTTCTCCACATCTAAAATCTTAACATCAATAAAATATTTTCGAGTATGTGGAAAATTGATTAAAATAAATAAATAGGTAAATTTTTATGATAAAAAATAACAAAATTAAGAAGGGTTTTCAAAACTAAACACAAGGAAGTTAGGTTATTATGTTTGGTATTGTTGGCTATGAGCCTAAAGGTGTGAAATGGAAAATGCCCTAAGTACCAGATGCGAGTTTTTTTCCCTTTTGGGCTCTCCTGAAAAAAATTTTCCTTTTCAGACTTAGGCCATTTTCCATATCTAGTCTTAGAATAGAAGAATCCAATCAGTGCATCAAAAGTTATTCAGGGTGTTCCATTTTTTTTTTTTTCAATTTTTGGCACTGCACATTGCATTTTTAGAGAGAGTGAGAGAGGGAAAAAAATATATAGATACCTCTCCTTGTTGGCTAATAATAGGAACCTGATAATCCAATTTTACATCATGAAAAAGGAAATCTAAAAACACATTGGCCACACCAATGAGATTATGATTTTCTTGACTTTCGTAAAATGGATCCATAGCCTTTGGCGGCAACCCTTCCTGAAGAAAAGGGAGAAGACATTAATTCTGCAATATCTCTTTTTTATCATCAAACATACAGTGTAAGTACATACAATGTATGTATGTACATTACTTACATACATTAGATATACATTCATTGCATATACATACTACATTGGATGAACATGTACACATGTACAAAACATGTAGGTCCAATACATGTACATACATTTGTAAAATATATAAATTTTGAATGTATATATGTACAGCATTTCCATGTCAAATGTATCTACCTACGTAAAATACATGTATGTATTGTATAGATGTACATGCATACAGTGGACATGCTTATATTGCACATATGTACACACATATATTGTACATACACATACATGCTTTAGAATAAATAAATTGTACATGCGTGGGACATACATATATCTTACATATAGGCATGGGACATACATTGTACACACTCATACATTGTATATACACACATAGGATACATATATATTGCACATACAAGCTGCACATAAATTGTACATGTCTACTTTGTTTGCACATATGTGCCTTAATATTAGATACAATTATATACATTCAACTCAACAAATGCAGTGTTCTCTCTAAGCATTTTCAGAAAGGTGAGCAACCCTGGGCTGCTCCTTCACAGAGTCAAATGCACCCTCCCAGCTCTTTTTGTAAAAATTTTGTCTCCCTTTTTATTTAGAAAAAAAAAATTTATTTTATTTTAAGAGAAATAGTAATAAAAGAATACAGGAACTACAGATTATAATAACAAGTGGAAATTATTTCTAAGCTATGTCAATATAAAATACTGTTATTTCGTATATTTAGCTGAGTACTTTTAATTCTATTTTAAAAGGCACTTATATATCCAGGTTTATTTAGCAAGATTAGTGTCCTTCAAAACTGAAGGTACCCCTGCTTTTGAAAAAGCTCCCTGTCTTTTTAATTTTTAATGACATCTCCGTAAAACTTTAAGTAATAGAAAATACTTGAAACGAAAACATTTTCCGATGCTTCCAGCAAAGAAAATTATACTCAGAATCTTCAAAATTACATATCTCAAATTGAAAAATATGTATATATATGCTTAGACCTATTCCAGTACATTTCCACATGATGACTAATTCCTCCCTAACTAAAACTGAATTAAAATCTGCAATTAATACTACATATTCAGGTCCAGATAAAACTCTCAATAGTATGTTTAAACACCTCCCAGCATCCCATCTAGAAACTATTTTAAGATTTTCGAATAAAATTTGGTCAACTATGCAATTCTCATCGATGTGGCAAAAATCACGAATAACGTTAATTCACAAACCTGGTAAAGACTGCAAACATCCTACTGATTACCATCCAATTGCTTTTACAAGTTGGTTGTGCAAATTTTTGGAAACTGATGCATGTAGTATTATAATCCTTGCTAATTTTGTCAAGAAAAAAAAAGCAATTCAGAAAATTTAATAAAATTTTATTGATATTGCAAACTACAGTGAGACTATTTGTTGACGATCTTTGTATATCTTGAAAAGCTTGCGCACAACCAATGCTTCTCACTTTTTTGATCTATGTTTGCTTTGAAAAGAAAAAAAGGAAAGAAAAATCAGTCATTGGGACTTGACTTCATTATTGCAATCATTTATTGAAATTTTATTTAAAACTTTAATATAATCATAGAACTTAGCAAAGGGTTTTAAAATTTTGCATATTTTTCATACTTTTTACGTAAAACAGAAAGTTTTTAGGTGCGATATTTCAATGTAGTGTCTGCAGATCGGAATTTTAACCTGAACCAGAGAATGATCAATCTCCAATTCAGTACCCCCAGAAATATTGATTTGTTATGGAAACATGGAGGACTTTGTGACCCAAAAAATTTAATGTGCACCAGTCACAATTTACACACAATGCAGTGTCCCATCTGTTTTCAAAAATTGTTAACGTTTATTTATAAATAAATTGTGATTTGCTTTAATATCTGAGTATTTTAAATTAAGAGAAAATTCTTTGAGTTACTATTTTAAAGAAATGAATTACTTTCATGTTCAAGCCTTTCTCTTTCCTCTCTTGATACATTTCCCTCATGTCAATAAGCTTATTCTCTAACTTTTCCATTGACCAAACTTGGCCGTTTTTATTACGACGCTTCACTAATACAGCAGGCTCACTAACAAATGCTCCTTTCTGTAAAATACACACAACATTATTCAAATTGTTAATACCAACTGATTTAGATTGAACAATATTAAAATGGAATAATACCTTTCGATTGGGACTGAGATTTGCAGCAGGGATCTGAAGTGTGACTTTAAACTCCGTTTCCTTGCCCATCTCTTCAGCCAGAAAGTTCGCTTCTCTAACGAGGCCATTTGCTCTAACTATGTCTTCTCTAAGTTTAGCCAAGCTTTTCTTGAATAATTCATCTCTAAATAAACAAATTAGAATGATATATGCTAAAAAATAGTTGTATTGTCAAACAAAACTATTTCAACAATAAAACAAAATGTTATAAAAAAAAACTAACAGAAATAGAATACAACACTTTAAAAAAAGTGAAATTATTTATTATTCTAAAATAGTTATTTTATACCAAAAAATAATCTAGTACAGCTTTTTAAGATAGTGATTGCTCCTTTCTATTGTACACATATAAAAATGATATACAAAAATATAATAGGACGTATGTAAAAGTGAAATTATTTATTATTCTATGCCAATTAGTTAGCATTTTATGCCAAAACATAATTTAGTATATGTTTTTCATCAGAACCAGATATGTATAGTAGCTAGTAGAAGCAAAGTGTGGTTATTTCTAACAACAGAGAAACATCAACAAAAAATGAGACATTTTGTTTACTTAAAACATTGAAAACTTGAACTACTTGAATCTGGTGTGAAAAGTTTCGAACATCATCTTTTAAAGGGTAGTTATTTTTAATCTTTGGGAAAATTACAGCAAAAATTACTTTTTATTTACTAGAGATATTTTACTTTTGTCAAAGAATTGTTTTTAACTGAGCCTCATTTTTAATGGATTCTTAGTAAATTAGTAGTTTGTTTATGGATATTTTAATCTCTTTTTTTTCTTCCTCAGCTTTATTTTGCATTACTGCAACTTTAAATTTGCAGGAGCTGCAATTGCAAATGTTGGCATTTCTGTTATGTTACATTTGTGTCAAAAATTACTCTAGAACATATTACTTGCTTTTAAACTAGAATGAACAAGTTGTTAAACAGCACCAGCGATGCCAACTTGCAAATATATATTTTAAAGTGGTAGTTTATCAATTGTGATTCTTGGTTTAATAAATTCAATTTAGCAGCTTTTTATCCACCACTATTTCTAAATAATTCGTAGGCTTATATAATTCACCACTTTATAGTACTTATGTCATGCTGTACCTTTTAAAAAGTAAGCAAAAATAGTCAAATATTTGAAAAATTTACTTTGCAGTTATTTACCGTTTTTTTTATAATTATTTTGGCGTGTCTGGAGCAGTTGGCATCTCTGCAGCACAATCCCCTTCTTATTCCTTCCCATATCGAAGAACAAAAATTTCGGCAATTTTTTTTCTCTCAGAAGCGAAAGCGATATTATAGGTTCTGAATTTTTTTTTTCTTTGAGAAAATGAGGACTATCAAATACTGGATTCCTTACGAATAGTCAATACAAAAATTGGTAAACTCAACTTAAAATCGAATTGTAGTCCATCGATAAGTACTTATTTCTACAATCAAGTGCAAATATTGATCAGTTTTGCTTATTAATATTTGATTTATGTTGAGGAAAAGCTGTAATTGCATTTACAAGGATGATTGTGAGCCCAACTCAAAAATCCTGAAAATTTTTTAAATAAAAAAATTAATGACGCATTTCAAAAAAATAATGTCCTTATAAAATTAAATCATTGATATTTTCAAAACATGAAATTCTAAATAAATTATATGCCGCATAATTTAAGTGTATAATTGCGTATAAATTTACTTTTATCTCTAATCACATTTATTATTCTACCAGAAAAAATATTTACAAATGAAAGAGATGCCAAGTATAAATTCTAGTTCTAATATTTTTAAATACAATATACAAAAATTTTTATGCATAAATGTGATAGCTGATTTCTTGAAATTTCTGGAGCTTGGATTACTGGAAACTTCCGAATCGTGGTTAGCGAAAAATCCGGAAGTCCGGATTTTTTTTCCGAAGCACCCCTGCATTTATTGGAAGCAGCTTTCTTCTACTAACTTTGAATTCCATTTCAGTAACAATTTATTCTGCCTTTAATCAGTTATAATTCATAAACAAATTATGTACTATTGTCATATGTTAGAAAATAATTCTCCAAAAAAATTGAATATAGTGAACTGCCATTTTTGTTGTGTACTTATTGTTGGGATCAGCAGGCAGTTCACTATTGCAGAATTAAACTTAATAAAAAATAAATTTAGCAGGGTTATATGTAAATTAACTTAAGATGATGTATTATCAGGAATTGATGAATTATTAAGTACCTATCCTGTGCCCAACGCTCCATCCTAGATTGCACATTACTTGTGGGAGTACCAGCCGGGGTGTATTTTCCTAAACCGAGCAAATCAAAGGTTGGGTATGGGCTGTAAGGTGTACCGGGAGACATTTGATTCCTTAGTATTTGAAGCTGTCTCTCATACATTTGTCTCTGTTTATCTAATGCAACTAAAAATAGAAATGAATGTCATTATAATGTAAAGAAACTAAAAATTTATTGCAGTCAAAATAAAGAGTGTTGCTCACTTTGCTTGTCCTCTTCGTGCTGTTTTTCAAGAGCAGCCATTGCTGACTGGATTGGATCATTACTAAGCTCATTCATCATAAGTTCCTCTCTCGCAAAGTCGTAATCGAGTGGCCTTTCGGGAATTTCTGGGCTGTTGCAGTCTAAAGGATTAACAAACTAGTTTAAAAATACCATCTAAATAATCTGAGTCGAACTTTGCTAATGCCAAATTGACGGAACTATCATAATTACTTCATGTTAACTGAATTTTGTTTCATCCAATACATCATGAAAACTATTTATTACTAACTAAACTATTATTTTGAGAAATAATCATGATAATTGTTGCATAATATACTAAATATTTTACACATATGGACTTTTATAGTCATCAAAATAGAAAAATTGCAATATTTTCCTGCTACGATTGACATTAAACATACTTGAAATGTTATGTATTATGTTTACTCATAATTTCGAATATTAATAGGCATTTAATTCATAAAAGATAAATAAAAGATTTTTTTTCTAAATTAATTTTGAAAAAAAGAGTTCTGAATAAAAATAAACTGAACATTTCAGAACAAAAAAAAAATTTGAACTGATTTCTATAAATGAGGTTCGCTTCATTGTGTATTAGTAATACTTATTTAAATACTCAAGCAAGCAAACAATAATCTGTAAAAAAAAAAAATTCTATTTCAATAGGAATTTTTTTGGAAACTTACACAATTTTAGGGAATTTTCTAAAATGTACAAAAATCAGGAGAATTTTAATTAAACCAGTAAACCAGGAGAAACTGGTAAAATCCAGTAGTCTACTGGAAAATCCAGTAAAGTTGGCAGCTACGTATTATGTATTATTAATTCATGTTATGTACTGCATTAATGTATGCAAACAATACTATTACTAACCGAACAAATTAAAATAAGCTTAAATATTTTTATCTACTTCATTTAACTATTTTATTTTTATTACTATATTTATTTGCTCATCTGTTACTTCTAACAAAGGAAGAAAATATAAATACCCATTCCTCAAAATGCATGATTGGGATTTTAATCACACGCTTATTATCTATGTGCTGTGTCCAGTTTTCTTTCACGTTAAGCGATAATCAGCTTCAAAATTTCATGTTTAAACATGCAAAATAAAACAATAATTTATTGCTAACTCACAGGACCAAGCATGTGTTTTCGTGATATTTCACATTGAGCGATTTCGTGTTAATGAGGTTCGACTGCATTATTAAAAAAATTTAAATAAAAAGTTTTTTTTTGAAGAAGAAGTTACCATAAAATTATAATTTCAGATAAAAGAACAAATCAACCATTTCTACAATAAATTTAAAAATATGATTAAAACAAAAGTAATTGGAAGTTTCATTTCTAAGAAGGTTAAATTGAAAGTTCAAAAGATACATCAAACAACATCTCCTCTGCATCTATTTAAAATTCATGATTGCGTAAGTTCACACTATAGCAAATTTTAAACATAAAATTTTTTGTATAAAACAAATTGCTGTATTCATCAATCTGTAATAAGCACACTCTGTATTGCAATGCAATTTAACTTAAGGACCATTAAATTACAAGTTTATTTATTTATTTTTAATAAAATAAACGTTTTTCTTTTTTGAATACTTTGAAAGAATGCCTCAAGATCATTCATGTAAAATAATGAGCCAGTATAGTCCTGCAGAATTCAAAAATACATTTAAATTTTAGAAAACTGTTCTCTTGGTAAGATTCACAATAAAAGTATAATTTACACATGGTGAGTAGCCAAATCTTTCAATAAAAAATAAGCACTTTTTAAACACGCAAAAAATATTTTTAAGCACTATATACATTAACAAAATAATTTTCAAAGACTTTACGTGATCATGAGAAAATTACAAGTTTCGGACAAAGAACTCCTTTCGTGATTATATTAGCCGTTATAAAATGATCAAGAGATTTTTCCGTTCGATATCAGAGGGTGAAAAATGAAGTCTGAAATTGAGAATATCTTGCAAAATGCAGCAGAGTTGCACACAAGAAGGCAATAATCACACCGAACCCAGCTCAGTAGATGTACATACGGACTCGCAAGTATTTCATCAAACATGTAAAATGATTGGCTCTTTTATACGCTATGGATCGATGGTACGTCAAAATGGATTGTGGTTAAATGAATTGTGGAAAGGTTGAATAGAACAATGTAAAAAGCACTGTTTTGCATAATCCGTGGCGAAAATCGACATGGTAAAGAGAAAAAATCTCATTTTTGAAAAGAGAAAATTGAGCACTTTTTAAAAACACCCAATGAAAAAAGCATTTTTAAGGGCTTTTAAATAACGAAAATCGAAAATAAGCACCTTTAAGCACTTTTCAAAAATGCTATGCACCATGTTACATATAGTGTAATTACAAGATAAAATGTATAATAAAAGTATAATTATAAAAAGTAAGGAAAATAATACAGCTGTATCATTATAAAATAAGGAAAATAACATATAGTGAGTAATGAGAAAAAAAACTTACTGTTTGCTTTAGGGCAATTTACTCTGAAGAAATGGTTGTTACCCCATAATATTCTATCACCATGTTGAAGCTGAATTCTACTACTTACTACAGAGCCATTCACACAAGTTCTAAAAATAAATACACATATATACATATAAGTGTGTGTGTGAATTACTACTTAAAACGTTGATATTACTGAGAAAAAAATTAAGTGATTAATTTTTGATCAAATTATAGATTTCTCCATACTATGAAGCAATTTAATTGTTTTAAAAGGTTGACTTTAAATAAGCTTATTAATTAATGCAGAGAATTATTTAAGCTAAATCAGACACAAAATCATATTTTCTATGAACTGAAAGTCAGATTTTTGAGTCGTATAATTCATAACAAGACAAATGAAGAAATTCGCATTGTTACTCTTCATTGGTTATCTACCATACAATTTTGAACAGAAATTAAAAGCACTTTTGAAGATAATAAAATTTCCATTTTATTTATTTTTTGCCAGGTTTAATGAAATAGTCATCCAAGTTGTATCACGACAAAAAAAGTTCTTAACAACAAACTAAAGTTTAATTATTAAAGTTTACTAACATTAATTAATGCTTAATAATTAAAGTTTATTAATTAAATTATTAATAAAAACTTATTTATTACACCAAGTGTCGGAAAACCAGAATGTGCACCATATTTAATCCCGTCTGTGAACTATTTTTTAAGTCTTTAACTGAGGTGAAGAGGTTGATTTAATCGATGGAACAATAATAGAGAAATGATGCTTTTTGATTAACTTTCTCTTTTTTTTTAAAAGTAAAACGGTAATATGATCATCAATGAATGTTTTTTAATACAAAATTTATGCACAATTTAAGTGTTATTTGAATTTAGGAGTCAACAACACTAAAAATCCTTCAGCATTTTATTAGAAGTTGAGGTCAGGTTTCTTTGAATCTGTGAATATGTTTTCGTTGGAAAGTCTGAAAAAGCAATCTTTTTTAATTTACTTTCAAATTGTTATAGTTTGGTAGGGCAATTCAATCCTAACGAGACTATTTCACTTGAAAAGTCATTAAATCATAATAAATGAGTTTGAATGCGTTTTTACTTGATTTGTTGTAATTTAATGAGTGTCCCATCTTCCAAAACAATTTAAACCCATTTATAGAGACATTAACACTTCCGACACAAATGGGATATATACATCCCAAAGATTAAACTTTATTCCCTAATGGATAAACAGAACCCAATTTCGCATGTTTTTTCATATTTTCAGGGTTTTTTAGGCATTAGGGAATAAAAATATGACTAAAGGAACTTGGCAACACTCTCATATTCAAAGTGGTGGACTTCTGTTTGCGAGCATGCCAGTCTACCTAGTTTTAATTTATGTATGTTTTTAATTTTAAGCCAAGTACAACAACAATTTTGCCAGATTTTGTGTAAAATACTTATGTTTGTTCTTATTAAGTGATAATTTTACCTATTTAGTATCAGATTTAGAAATTTTGACACATTTTGTTTTGTGGGATATATCGTCCCAATCATAGTTACCATTGGGACAAAATATCCCAATCGTACTTACCAGTGAGATAATATATCCCATTAGTGATAAAAATATTATAAGAACAAATGCTAGCTTTTGTTTTGATTACTTTATGACGGCAACTTCTGGTTTCTTTAACTTCTGGTAAGACGATTTTTGATAAGAATAGATAATTTGATGCATTTATAATATTTTCATTATTTGTTATCATGCAATATATAGGTATTTTAGCAATATTCAAGACGATTGGGACATATTATCCCAGATTTCCGGGAAAACGGGAAATGTGGAAAATTTTAAACTTATTAGTATACTCATTTTAATATGTAAGCATTAACATAAACTGTCTTTCCTACTTAAATTTTAATGATGCAAAAGTACGGTCCAAAGGGTTAAATTATTTTTAGTGCAGTGTGTAATACCTGATTCATTATATATTTAGAATAAAAGGAAAGATTATTTTTACCTAGCTCCATCAACAGGTATCAATACAAGTTCTGAATGTTCTATTAAAATTGTACAGTGCTTAGGCATGATTCCAAGACCACTCAACTGTATGTCTAAATCAGAGGAGGCACCGGGATAACCTACAACTGTTTTATCCTGGAAAATAAAATACAGATAAATATTTTTCACAAATGGTGCTCCACAGAACCCTAGGATCGCAGCAAAGGATCAAAAGAGTTAAGAGAGTTTACTATTGTAAAACTTGTAATTATATTTATATTCAAATAATACACAATTTATTTGATATTTTGTCCATCTTTATAGAATTGTTTAAATAGAATGCCGGAAAAAAATAAGAAAAAAACTTTTTTTTTTTAAATAACGATACTTTTTTCAATAACAATATATTCAATAAATTATTAAAGTATCAGTATTTTTCATCAAACTTTTCGATTCAAAATAAAATAACCGAATTCTAGAATAATGAATTATGTTTCTCTGATAACCAATCTGAAACATTTATAAAAGGTCTTTTTGAAAATTATAATTCAGCATACTATAATCATTTTCAGCTCATGAATATATCAAAAAACAAATTCAGAACTAGACTGGATGCCACTCCAGACCTATAATTGTAAAACAATTACTGATAAAACAACGAATGAAAAAACTTCATTCGTCACATTAAATAATATCAAAATAATTGGTAGACTTTCTTTGTTTAGTATATTCATAGCTGAGTAAATTTTATTTATGATCCTGGAGTTCGGCCGAAAGATGCTCGATTATTTAGGGATCCATAGCAAAAAAAATTTTTAAATAGTTGTTCAAGATTACATTAAAAAATAAAACACTTACTTTCAGGTAATATACAAGTAGTTCATTTAAGGAAGGATCAGCATTTAAATTAACTAAGTAGTATTTGTCTTGCTCCACTTTAATTCCTGAAGCCTGAACAGAAATGCCCATTTTTTCTAACGCTTGCTGTCTCTCCTGAAGATGGGGAGAAAAGAAAAACCCAGTTAGATGCACACCTAGCCAAACAAGAGAGTTTTTTTTAATAAATAAAAACTTTTTCAGGGTACCTGATGTATTTTCTCTGTTTTCCTTAGTTTTTCTTCCCACGTCTGAGAAATTTCTTGCATAAGTTTCTCAGATTCTTTAAGTCTATCCTGCAGGTCTTCTTGCTAAAAATGATTCATGTAATACATGTGAGGTCATGAAGTAAAATTTACAATACTTAAACTTAATAATTCAAAGGAAAACAAATTATGAATTTTTCATTAATTTCTAGTCAAATTGCTAATTATTCAAATCAGATCATTTTATTTATTTTGAAAAAAGAAAAATAATTACTTTTATCAATTAAATGATTGATGAGCTGAAAAATTTTAAGTGGTGAGAGCAAAAAATATTTGTCTCAAACAATAAAAGAATTTTAAAAAATTTATACATGACTATCAGTGAATTTTTAAAATAACTTGAAAACAATTAATGAAAAATTGTTGGTTTTCATTGAAAAAAATTACTTATGTTATTCAAAAATGATTGAATTTTTTAATACCAACTTAAAAATATTGAATTAAAAAAAATTATTTATTACTTATTTCATTGAATTCATGTATGCAACTAATACATTTATATTTAAAAATTTAAACAATTTAAATTTAAAAGACAATTTCAATTTTAAATTAGATCAGAAGAGTCAAATAACAGAACTGAAAATCTAACATAATTATTTCCATTCATAAAATTCATTATATGCAGAAAACAAACTTTAGTTCAAATAGTATTTTTTTAAAAATTAAAATTTGATGCATAGAACATGTTTTTACACAATACTGCACCTTTAAAAAAATTTACTTTAAAAAACTTCCAATGATCTCTGAGTAAATTTACTCATTACAACTTTTATTTACTCATTCTGAGTAAATAAAAGTTAAGACTAAAAATAAAAATCAGAAGTTTNTTTTTTTTTTTTTTTTTTTTTTTTTTTTTTTTTTTTTTTTTTTTTTTTTTTTTTTTTATGGGAAGAAATTACAGACATTATGAAAAATATAAAATACTTAGTATCAATAGGTTCAATAATTTTTTTAACTAATAAATTTTAACCCTTTGATGCTAAGAGTGCACATAAGCATCCAGAGAAAACTATTGGTTTGGCCTATAGTTTACATATACCTCCAATGCAAGACATACATGTAAACCATTGATCACCAAATAGTCGATTGTGAGCTACCAGTAGCTAAGATATTCAACAGTCTTCTGATTTAAAAGAATTGAACACATTAAAATTAATAGAAAAATAGTCATACGCAAAAGAAAAAAATACTCTTATTACTTCTACTGATGAAAAAAAATCAAATTTAGAAGATTTTGATGCGGATGAAATGATTGAATATTAACTGTTTGATCTTATTTCTTTAAAAAAAATAAGTTTTTTTTAAATGCAGAGTATTTATGTTATTTGCTTGTAATTCGCAAAATTTTCAATATCCAAAAAAAAAAAAAAAACATACTTAATTACTATCAAATCATGGTATTTTAAAGCTCTATCATTGGTAAATAAACAATATACGTTAAAAATAATACAAAAATATTTGAATCTGTTTTGGCGTGGACTAAATAATAGCAGTAGCATTGTGTACTATATTATCATGACTTGTTATTCAGCCAACAAGATCCACATTCAATGGTCAAGTATTTAGTCTCCAGCGAAAGCTACTGCTGGCTCCTGCAGCCCTTTAACTAAGAGCATTCATTTGTGAAAAGGTTAATAAGCTATTCCAGTAGCGTGAAGAAAAGAACTTACTGTTGTGCCTTTAAGTTGTTCCTTAAGCATTTCAACTTCCTCCCTGAGATCTCTGATAATCCTGGCATTGGGATCTTCATTCACCACAGCGTGATTGACGATACGCTTCGCTCGATCTGCATACCTTAGAGTGGAGAGAGTCTCATCGTAGTTGTCAGCTGCTGGGCTGATTGTAGCAACCATAACTGTTCGGCTGTTGCCACCGAGATTGTCCTAAAACACAAATTGATAATAAATATAACGCTTGAAAATTAATGACACAGCATTTCCCACAGATTTTCTCAAAGAATATTTCCCTGAAATATTAGAGAATAATGTTAAAATTATGAGAGTAATTCTTTGTGATAATATCAAAATTAATTTTAAAAAAACGACGTCTAAAATCACAAATGATGAAAATTTTATAGTTATTATTTATTAAAATTTTACCATTTGTGATTTTAAACATTGTTTTTAATGAATTGTAATGTATGTTTACTTAATATAGGCATTCATAAAAGAAATTTCTTTCTTCAATAATTAACCTTGATTTCATAGATGTGATCTGTTATTCCGACATATTATCACTTAAATTAGATAAGTGCGGGAATAAAGGCGAAAAAACATAAAGAGTGTTAACCTCTACTTGAGATATATTCAACTGAACTAAATGATACACGAGCTTATACACAATTGTCGAACTTTCTTGAATAGGGCATTCCAAAATCTGAAAATTCTAGAAATTGAATAATTAACAGCGTAAACATTAATGAAAAAATGAGAGGGATTTACAATGTATTTTTCAACAAAAATCATTTGCAGGCAACTTGTCCCACACTGGATTTGAACACCCAATCTTTGGCTTTGTGGAGTGAAGCTTCATCACGGACCCACCAGCTGCAAAGAAAGAAGTAACAAAAGACATTTCCGATTTTGGGGGTAAAACCATGGTTTTCTCTGACTCTTTTTTTGAATCTCGTTTTTCCTGACAATTCCCAGTATGCTTACATCTTGTTGAATTTAAATAATGTCAACTAGATGAAGTGGCTTGGCTTTCTGTTGTTGGATGACATTGCAAAACCACATTCGCAGATGGTACAGAAAACGATATGGCAACTCTTGGTTTGGAGCCCTTTGACCATCCCCCACACAATTCTCATGCCTGGAGTCATCCACCTGTTTTTAAGCTTTGAAGAAAATTCTTGCCGAAACGCACTTTGGGAACAATGCTGAAGTGATTCGAGCTTCTTTCGATTGTTTGCTACAGGGCCTTTTGAAGCTTAAGTGGTAAGACAAATGTTTCATCGGATTTGGTTACTGTGTGGAAAAGTGAAGTTTTACATCTTATATTTATTACGTCACTATATTTTCTGTTTTTTATAAACACTTCTGTCCCTAATAGTTAAGAGACATTTACCACTGTCAGTTTTGAAATTATTTTCTTTTTCTTTTTTTCCCTGCCAATTTCAGGTTTTTCTCACCTTATGGGAAACTTATGTCGAAATAATTTTAACAAATAATATTATATACAATTAAAAAGAAATACCTTGAGCAGCCAAGTGAGAACTGAGTCTCTGTAAGCAACAAATTTGTCTTTTGTCTTCCCACAAGACTGGTCAGCTAATTTTGATATGACTAATCCTAGGGTTGTCAGAGATCTACAAAACAAAATATTCTTTTAAATTTTTTAATGTTAAAATAAATAAGACATATATTAAATTGATAAAGAAAATAATTTAACTACAGAAAAATGAATAGAATTGAAGTTTCAAAGGTGTATCACACAATATCTTATTTGAGTGCAGATAAATGTTTAGCACAGGGCATGAATTTTGAGTTCTAAAGATTCTAACTGAGCTAAACTTTTTGCTCACAGCTGTTTTGCTGAATAATATGAAATGTTAACTGATAACTAACTTTCAAAATGTTAACTGATATTGTATAAAGTGTCAGATATAATTATTAATGTTTTCATTAATGCTCAAAATAGCTTTGAGTAGAAATGTTTGTTGTGATGCATGTCTGTGAAGTTAATGATAGTAAAAGATAAAAACTGTAACAACATTAAATAAACATCTACTCTGTCTATGCTTATATGCATATTTTGTGTAATATTAAATGTTTTTTATGTCTACTAATAATGTAGTTTATTCATCCTAAAACCATCGCCTCATCAAAAATAAATAACTTTTTGGTGAGCCCCCATCCACACATCAATGAAAGACATTAAAATAAGAAAATATCAGATAATCAAAATATTAGAAAAACTATCAGCCAATTGCAGCACTAGAATCACACTCTCTCAAGACTCTTTTATTCTCCAGTCAAATTCTGCTGTACTAGAATCAAAATTTGTTATTCGATACTAGCGATGTAACACATATTCCATCACTATTCGGTAATTAATCCTTTTGACAAATATTCAGTTCGCCAAATGATCAGCCAAATACTTTTTATTGGAAAAGTATTTTTCAGCCAAGTTTTATTTTTGGAATTTGAATAGATTTAATTTAAAGAAAATAATCGCAAAATATATTTGTACATATTTGTTAAGTTCTAAAATTTATGTGCTTACGTACAGCTTTCAAATTTATTCTCTGGAAGGCAGATAGTAAAAAGAAATTTCAAAAATTGAAACGAGATTACTTTATATTAAACCAAAGTTTCTGTGCTGCTGCTTATTTTTTTTTTTTAATTATATTCAGTCAAGACAATTTCAGAATTTTTTTCAACACTTTTTGTTTTAAGATTTTAGAATGTTTTTTCCCCCCTATTGTTGGCTGGTCATAATAAATGACTTTGTGGACCACAGTTAAAGATTGTTATATATTANACTTACGGGACAATGCTGAAGTGATTCGAGCTTCTTTCGATTGTTTGCTACAGGGCCTTTTGAAGCTTAAGTGGTAAGACAAATGTTTCATCGGATTTGGTTACTGTGTGGAAAAGTGAAGTTTTACATCTTATATTTATTACGTCACTATATTTTCTGTTTTTTATAAACACTTCTGTCCCTAATAGTTAAGAGACATTTACCACTGTCAGTTTTGAAATTATTTTCTTTTTCTTTTTTTCCCTGCCAATTTCAGGTTTTTCTCACCTTATGGGAAACTTATGTCGAAATAATTTTAACAAATAATATTATATACAATTAAAAAGAAATACCTTGAGCAGCCAAGTGAGAACTGAGTCTCTGTAAGCAACAAATTTGTCTTTTGTCTTCCCACAAGACTGGTCAGCTAATTTTGATATGACTAATCCTAGGGTTGTCAGAGATCTACAAAACAAAATATTCTTTTAAATTTTTTAATGTTAAAATAAATAAGACATATATTAAATTGATAAAGAAAATAATTTAACTACAGAAAAATGAATAGAATTGAAGTTTCAAAGGTGTATCACACAATATCTTATTTGAGTGCAGATAAATGTTTAGCACAGGGCATGAATTTTGAGTTCTAAAGATTCTAACTGAGCTAAACTTTTTGCTCACAGCTGTTTTGCTGAATAATATGAAATGTTAACTGATAACTAACTTTCAAAATGTTAACTGATATTGTATAAAGTGTCAGATATAATTATTAATGTTTTCATTAATGCTCAAAATAGCTTTGAGTAGAAATGTTTGTTGTGATGCATGTCTGTGAAGTTAATGATAGTAAAAGATAACAACTGTAACAACCTTAAATAAAAATCTACTCTGTCTATTCTTATATGCATATTTTGTGTAATATTAAATGTTTTTTTTTATGTCTATGAATAGTGCAGTTCATTTGTCCTAAAACCATTGTGTCAAGCATAAAGAACTTTTTGGTGTGCGTTCACACATCAATAATATTAAATGTTCTTTTTGGTGTGCATCCACACATCATAATATTAAATGTTTTTTTTATGTCTATGAATAGTGCAGTTCATTTGTCCTAAAACCATTGTGTCAAGCATAAAGAACTTTTTGGTGTGCGTCCACACATCAATAAAAGATATTTTTTTTAAATTATATTCAGGCAAGTCAATTTCAAAATTTTGTTCAACACTTGTTGTTTTAAGAATTGAGAATGTTAGGTTTTTTTTCTTCTCCTTTTTGCTGTTTTCCGGTTTTTATCACAGTGTGTCATTTTAATAGAATGTTTCCGACATACTTTTTTTTATTATCACTTTTTTTAAGTATGGTATAGTTAACAGGTAACATAGAAAACTGTGAATTTCAATGTTTTTATTTTATTATTTTTTTACTTTTTATCAGCATTTTTATTACCAAACATGACTTTTTAAAGAGAGACTCTAATAAACTTTCCTCTTTTAGTAAAACTGTGGTAATGTAAAAAAGTAAAATTGTGAATCTCAACCTTGAGTTTTTCTTTTAAAAATTTAGAAAGATTTTTTTTTTTATTTCTATGTAGCCATCTAGCCTTCTCTTTTGTTTTAAAAAAAATTTGCTTTTATTGACATCTTCAGAATGATGCGACAATTTTTAGAGCATTTCTATAAGATTTAATTATTTTTTCCTCACTTTTTCTTTAAAAAAGGGCAATATGAAAACTGAGATGCTAAGCTTTAAAAAATTCATTCAAGAATTAAGATTGGTTTTTCTCCTGAAAAGTTTCGTTTTTGTGGTTGCTTATATAATAGTGTGACAATCTTAAATGTGTTTCTGATAGACTATATTTCTTTTAACCTTGTTTTATGGATATTTTATTCCAAAAAATATTTTTAGCATTGAAATTTTGTTTTAAAGGTTAAGAGTATTTTTATTTTACTTTCTATTTCTCTTTTTCTTTCTTTCAGTTTCACAAATTTAGTTTTTTTATAGCTGTTAATCAGTTTTTTTATTTATATTTAATATTTCTCATGGATAACTATAATTTTTTTCCTTTCATCTTTATCTTTAAAAAAGGGTAATATGAAAAAAAAATTCAGCATTTCAACCATCAAATATTCGGAATTCTGATGATTTTTTGGCTGAATAGTTTATTTTAAAACCGTCATTGAACAGCCGACCCAACTTTTTAAGTTTACGACTAATGTTCAACTCCATTGTAATTTTGAACCAATCCAGAAGACAAGAGAGTTCCTGGATCAAGTATTGGGAGAAATTTCAGTTAGTGGAGAGCGTTTTGATGAATGTAACTCAAATTTGCATTACATGGAGAGGAAAACCACAAAAACCTCCTACGGTTAGACTGACGGCAAGAGGACTCTAACCCCATGATCCATCTACCACTGAGGATGGCTGAATATTTTGCCAAATCACGCTTTGCTACACCCTAACTTGCTAGCACTAAACATTTGATCGCCAATGGCTAGTTGGCAATTGGAATTTTCACGCTCTGATTTTTCATTAATATTATTAAATTGATCTCTAATCCATTTGCTGAAAAAATCAAGACTGGGAAATAATTAAAACTGTTATCAAGAACCCTAAATGTTTAACAAAAAGCTGCCACTTTTTATCACTAAACAGTTTATTGGAAGTTTTTTTTTTAAAAAAAAAAACATTGAGTGTTGGCATTGCATACACACTGTTTCCACCACAAGTTGAGTGTTTCTTATTCCCTTCCATTTTTATCTTCAACTTTAAATATAGCTGAATCTAGTAAGCTGAAATTCAGATCATTCAAACAAGTAAAAATATCATTACAGCAAACAACCTATGTTAAATAGGAAATATTGTTGAACTAATCATCTCTTGGAATTGTCAAAAATTGACAATTGCAAGAAAATAAAAAATATATATAATAATAATAATAATAAAAAATAAAAAAATAAAATAAAAAACAGAATTTTTATTATAGAAGTTATTTAAAAAGTAAGGGGTGCAAAGCTAATGTCCATAATTGTTGGGTGGTCATAATAAATGACTTCGTGGACCACAGTTAAAGATTGTTATATATTACAGAGATTATAGAGAAAAAGTTATCATAGAGAAAAAGTAAAATATCTATAGAGAAAAGTGCAATATCCTAGAAAAGGTGAAAAAATAGACTATTCACACAAAATAAAAAATTCATTTGACAGTAACACTTAATTAATGTGTAAAAAATTAAATATAATAAAGTTCATATATGATTATTCAGGAAGTTCTTATTTGCACAAACCCAAAAATTTTTGCTGTTTATACCCTTAGTTTAAGAATTTTCATCTATTAATTCCTTGTTATATTTTCCTTGTTATGTCAGTTTTTCATGAACTTTATAAATAAATGCTAATCCAGTAGAAATTATAAACTTAAGTATTCATAATATTTTTCTAAGTAAGTAAGAGTCAATAAATATTACTAAAAGACATCACTTACTTATTGATATTTGAACCTTCTTTAAGTCGCTCACCAACTGCTCCAGTTTTAACCGCTCTCTCACTTCCGGCTAAATCTACCAGACTCATTTTCGAAACTTTTTCACCGGTAACCTTTGGATAAAATTAAGCACAGTTCTTAAAGCCAGAGAAGTAGTTAAATATATTTAAATAGAAATTTTTTCACACAATAATATGAATAAAAAGAACTTAAGAGTGAACATTTACTGATTTTGAACTTTCCACAATTTATTATTTTGAATAAGTAAACAGCTTCCTCCCCCTCTGCTTGCTTTCACTTAACAAATTTTGCAAACAATTCCATTGGGATTTCGTAATAGAGGGGATTGCCTTTTTTAGGAAAACATGGGCCTCAGAGTTTGTCCAGGAAGTTTTATGGCAGAATTTAAAATAATTAAATAATATTGTTTATGCTTGAAATGGTATAACATATTCCAACTCAAGTAAGTTGAAAAGTAGTATCATTTTTAAAATCTAATGAGAAAAATGAACTTTGCTATATTCAAGAAATGATTTTGTAGAACATTGTTTATAATTAAATACATTTTTGTCATTCATTACAGTTAAAAATAATATAATTACAATTTAAATCGTTCAAGGGAAAGGAAGTCTCAACTATTTTGAGTTTAATATTTTACATTTTTTTCCAAGACGCTTTTCAACGTTTCTACGAACATTCATTTTTTTAAAATGTTTATACAGATGACTGTTCAAAAGTATTGTCCTGAATTATGTTCTACGGAGAATTGTTATTTTTTTTTTTTTGATTCCATGAGCAACTTTAAGATGCTCAAAGAAATCTTTAGGGTGTTACCAAAATTTTTTACAAATTTACATCTAGATGAAATTAGATGTTTGAAAGACAAAAACATCTTAGAGTAAATGGATGATTAAATGATACATGAAAACTTAAAAGATATTCAAAAATTCATGAAGGGCTCAGCATTGAAATTTTTTAAGAACAATTACTAATAAAAAAAAAATTTTTTTTTTTTTTTGAAAATAGTAGAAATTTTTTAAGAACAGGGAAAAGGTAGAGTTATTAGGAAAAATAAATTTTAGTAACAAACATATAAATGATGGTTCATCTATGAATTCACCCACACCGATTAAAATTCTTTTAGTCTTGAAAGAGCACAAAACTCCAATTGAACGGCTTGGGATTGTTTCTAAAATTATTCGTGATGTCCTCATTGCCTTACCTCAAAATGAAAATAAACATTAAGTACCAAAAACAAAACTTAATGGGTACAGACAACATCCTAGATATCAAAACTAGATACCAAGGCGGTCACTTATTAATAACTCAAAATCAAAATTAAAATAATTATCACACAAAATCTGTGACAAAACTTCAACTAACAATTCTGAAATAGACCCAAATTTCATAAGGAAAATGACAAATTTAATAAAATTAAACAATAACCAAGTCATTTTGACCAGGCTCCTCAGCAATTTGAGAGCAAGAAGATAAACTTATGTCTAAAGTAAGAACTCTTCTAGTCATTCGTCTGGACCTGTTGACTGACTATGGTAATGAAGTAAAACTATTTCAAGTAGGGGTGTGGGGTCATTATATAGGACAGGTTTTGACTAGAGTTGGCGAGAGAAAGGGAATCTTTTTCTTCGTTCTACTGTGTTTGCCCTAGAGTGAAGAAAAGCTACTATCCCTAAAATGTGCTATTCTTGTTTCCATAGCAGCAGACGGCCTCTGACTTTGTGGCGGGGGGAGTTCTTACCATAGACAAACTATCCCCAGCAGCAAAATAACTTGGGCCCTCATTCAATATATATGAATCTTGGCTCAGTAAGGGTTCAAAGGGCCTTTATTTTTCCAATATTGGACCTATGTAGAATTTTCAGATTGCCCCAAATATTTTACAGCCACTTTACAACCAATATCGGTCCTATACAGAATTGTCAGATTCACACGATATTTTATATCCATTATTTAGCCAATGTAGGCCCCATATAGCCTGTTCTAGGACAAATATGAAAACATTTTGACATACCAATATTGTTCCCTAGGTGCATGTTCTTATAAGACCCATATAGAATCCAACTGGGGCCAAGGTAAAATTATTGCTATGGTATAGCGCTTTTTTTTAAAATACATTTTTAGATGTTTCTATTTTAAAGAACTATATGCGAATAAAATTTATATCAAAAACTCATCACTGCATAATATGTATTGAGGTACAAAATAAATATACTTTAATGAATGAATATGTTATCATTTTAAAAATAATTAGAAACAAAACTTACTCCTGAATACTCATCAGATACTGTACACGTGAGTGTAATTGTAAAAACAGCATGCGACCTACTCGATTCACTGTTCATATTTGTAGCTGCAACGGTTCTAGATTTGTTACCTTCCGCCATTAAATTATTTATTTCCTAGAAAATATTTTTAACAATGTTTTAAAATTAATCGCAAAAGTAAAATATTAAACTAAAATTATAAAGGAAATTGTTAAATAAAACAGGTGAATGCATTTCAGTAACAGAAAAAAGCCTTCTTTAAACAACAACTTATGATAACAGGAGCTAGAATATATACACCAAGAGAAATGTTAAAACAAAGTAAGAAAACACACAAGGAAATAGATTTATTGATGATCTGTAAAGCTTTGATAAATATAATAATGTTTTTGGAAATCAGATAAAACTGCAACTAGTCTTCATAATTGTAAAAAACATCATAACTTGTACCTTTTATGGAAAATAATTTTCACATTTATTAATCAATTAGATTTATTTCTTTATGAACCATGTGATAAATAAATCAAAGTATTATTTGGTTAGGAACAGGAACCACATTTGGTGCATTCCTACTTTTAAAAAATAATTTAAATAAGTATATTCTTGCAATGCTTAGGATGTTTTGTACTTAAAAAAACAATCTCTTCTTAACAAAGTATGTTCCCTATCTTATAACCGCTGTTGAACAGCCAACCCAATTTTTTTTGGTTTACGACTACTAATGTTCAACTCCGTAGTCTTGTAATTTTGAACCCAATCCAGAAAACAAAGGAACTCCTGGATCAAGTATTGGGAGAAATTTTCCTTCGTGGAGAATTTCTTGATGGAACTAATCCGTATTTGCGTTGTATGGAGAGGAAGACCACGAGAACCTCCCATGGTAAGCCAGATGGCAAGGGGACTCTAACCCACGATCCGTCTACCACTGAGGATATTTCACGTAAGCACTGTGGTCGGTGCAAGCTGGATGCGGAATTCGTATCGACAAGTCATTGCTGGGATTCGAACCTAGTTCACCTCATTGGAAGGCGAACACTCCACCCCCTGAGTTATCAGGACTGGATGATGATTTGTAATGTTGAAAAAAATTATTCAATAAAAAATAAGAAATAAAATAAAATATCTAAACATGGTTTTAACACGCATCATAAACAGGGCCACAGACAGCTGGGTAACGCTGTTAAGAGATTACTAGTCTTTTTAAGAGTCAGCCTCAAAAAGTAATTAACCATGCTTTACATAAAAAAAAAGTATTTTACTTAAAAGTATATAAGTTTAAGAACCCTAAAGTTGATAAAAAGGGAGTAATCACAGAAGGAAAAAAACAAATATTACAAATAGAAATTTGATATTGTTAAGTTTTGGTCATTAAGATATTCTGCATATATCTTAGAATAAATGCATTAAACATTTTAATGCGTTTAAAAATGCAATTTTTCTTCAGAGAAATTATATGATATTCTGTTATTTTAAATATTTCTACTTCACCTTAACTACTGATTCATCTACTTGCAAAAACTTACAAAATTTGGCAAATAAAAAATCCTGAATTTCAAAACTACTTTAAAGTATGTTGATAAGTAACATTACCTGTAAACTGTATATGTGCACAGTTATGCAATAGATTTAAAAGAGTTACACACAAAACTTTTGAAATAAGGAAAGTAGGGGACTGTCCAGATATTTTGTAAAAGGCCCGTTTTGTGTGAAATTGTGAAAAAATTACTCACATTCTTTCAACCAGGGTCCTCCTTTTATGTGTTTGTGCAAATAGGGTCCGGTTATTGCAAAACACTTTTTCAAGGAGTTTTTAAATTTTAAATAGATACAAGATTATGCTCGGCACTGTAAAATTAAAATAAAAAAATTACATTTTTAAAAATAAACAGCAATTGCTGCTTCTAAATTAGAGATGCAACATACAAATATTTGAGATTTAGCCTATACTGCTGAACGCAGAATATTCATTTCGGATGAATAATGGATGAATCGTTTGCCAAAGACTAAACTTAATTCATTTACATCCATCTTTCTTGTTTTCTGCCCTGGAAAGGGTTTATTTGATTAACAAAACAATAATGAAGATAAACAAATTTGTGAAGGGTCTGATTAAAAGAAAAATCATTTTGTGAAGGGTTTGTTTTTATGAAAAGATATTTTGTGAAGGGTCTGTTAAGGAACCCAAATTTCTTCTAAACAGACCCCTGGAAAGACAATTTATTTTGCTACTCAAAATTATTCGCATATTTAAAGATGTATACAGTCCAATCTTCGTTTAAAGTATTGATAACTGACAAAAATGTATTAGTTGAATTTTTAAAAATTAAATTTTAAAATAAATCAAAAATAAATTTTCTAATTAGTATATAATAAACACTCGTCACGTAAAAGTAAACAGATTTCAATAGATTCAAACATTGAAAGTAAATATAAGGTATAAGCGTTTCTTTTTTTTTCCCTAGTAACTTCTTTGGAAAAATATAAATTTTGATTCGTAAAATGTTACATTCATTATTGATATCTGAGTTTTACTTACTATTTGAAAGAGAAGAAATAAAAATGATAAAATAAGAATTCTCAAAGTAGTCTACGGCCTATAACTTTTCTCTAATAATACTTAACAACATTATACAAATACCTCATAAGAAGAAACAGCTAATGTCGATAATCCATCCACGTATGGGCCTAAAATATTGTGTTCTCTAACTTTCAGGGTCTGTTTACAACTAGAAGAGTAACGAAAAGGTGTCACAATATAAAAATAATATAACGAATAGTAAACATTATATTCCTAAAGTACAAAATATGCTAGCAAAAAATATTACTAGTATTTAAAATAAATACACAGTTTTATATTTTGTAGAGACAAAATATACCAATTAAGTGTAAGTATGATTAGTCCGAAATTTCATTAAAAACCTTTGAAAATTACAAATAGTAAAATCTTTTATTGAAACCTATATGTTTTACCGTGTCACAGTGGTATACTTTCATCAATAGGAAAAATGGTAAGAATGTTAAAACAGAAATTATGTAATTCAGACGTTACATCATATTAAAGAAATAAATATGCAGTTAAATTAAATTGATAGTAAGTGTTAAAAAAAAATTACTGATTTCCAAATACGTGAAAAACATGGTATAACAGTAAAATCATAAACAGTAGAGTGAACAGTATCACCAATATTGAATCTGAGGATGATCAGGATAAAATTATCTTTCCGAGCAGCAAAATGAATTGGGCCAAAATTCATGAATCTTGGCTCAGTAAGGGTTCAGAGGGCCTTTATTCTTCCGATATTGGCCCTATATAGAATTTTCTGCCCAACCAGATATTTTACAACCACTTTACAACCAATATCGGTCCTGTATAGAATTGTCAGATTCACCCTATATTTTGTATCCATTATTTAGCCAATGTAGGTACTATATTGGCCAATGTAGGCCCCATATAAGCCATTCTAGGACCAATATTGAAAAATTTAGACATCACAGTATTGGTCCCTCGGTGCATGTTCTTATAGGATTCTTATCGAGCCAATTTTGAACCTAACTGGTGCCAAACATAAAATTGTTGCTAGGTTTGAGTTGACCAATTTATGGATAGCTGTATTTTATATTATAGAAAATAAAATAAAATAAATGAAATACAAACCATTGTATTTCTCTTTCACAAAGAAACTCCATTTGCTTTCAAACAACAATTTGTAAAACATAAAAAATTTCTTATAACAACGTTTTTCAAAGCTGCCAACTACTATGCTGTTTGCAAAATATTTTACAGGATGGTAGACAATCAAAAAGCTTTCAGAATTTTCTGTTATTCTGCGAACATTTTAAGAGCATCAATTCGAAAATAAAACAGGAACAAGGTGCCTTTTATCTGATCTTTTGAATAATTCACGTATAGCATTGTGGTAAATAACTTTAAAAATCAAGTTTACACAGCAAATATTCATACATTAAAACATAAACTTTGAAAAAGTTTATCCCAAAAGAGTAGAAAGTTGCCCCCTCATTGTTTTATGAATCTAAAATTCATGTGCATTATTAGATAATTGTACATCCAAAATGAACAGCTATTAAGCAACACTTGGAGAATAATGAAAATACTCACCCTTTGGGATCAAGCAAATCGTGAACTTTTTCATTATAAATTTCCATGTAAGACACCTCTACTTTGTAATCGGATTGCCTGCCAGTAGCAGTGATCCTTTCAAAAAGAGCATCACACAGCCTTGGAATTAATCCCTTGTTGTCCTCTGAACCCATCATGGTGAAAGACTTTCCCGACCCTGTAACATCATACCTTTATTAACCCAAAGAAGCAGACACATCACAAAGAGAAAAAACTCCTCTTAATTTTTGAGAGCAAAATTTAAAATGTAAAAGTGAATTTGAAATTTGCATATTACTACCATTTTATACAACAGATCATGTTGTTGTTGTTACTCACCCCCCTGGTGTAGGAAAGCCTACACCAGGTCCAAAAGACCCGGTCGCCGAAAAACATTGAAAACCCTCTACTGCTCAACCAAGCTTCTGTTTTATTATTTGCACAATATGTGTCTTTTACATCATAATCAGGGGTCTATTTAGGTTTGTCTGAGAGGCACCTATTTTGTGAAAATTTAGACATAATTTGTGAAAATAATAAAAATTATATTAAAAAATCAACACAAAAATATTGTAAAAATATGGATTTATCGTTTCTTACGAGACACAAAAATAAAATTTTAAGAAAAAGTATTTTGTGAAATTATTCTTCAGTTTTTCCTAAAGTTGAATTTGTGAAGGTACCGCTACACGGTAGTAAATTTGGCTTGGACAGACCCCTGATAATTAAAGTAAATTTTCTGTATTTAAAATCTACATAGTTTTCAAAATATCCAGCGAATTTGTCTTTTTTCCCATGATAGCTTGCAGCCCTAACAATGATTTTACATTTTGATTTTTTTTTCGAAAAAATTAAATTTCTATTTCGAAAAAAATTTGACATAACAAGGTTTTGAGAAGAAACCCTTTGACATAGGAATTCAAATTAACATTAGGTGAAGATGTTATAACAAGGGAGAAATTTTTTTTTTTTTTTTTTTTTTTTTGAAATTAGAAGGTTTTTCTGATATTGAAATTCGAGATATCCAGAGTATACTGTATCTGATAGAGAAAAATTTATCACAAGGTAAATTTTTTCTTTTTTAAAAATGCAAATTATGATTAATTAAATGTTAAGCTCCTTTTCACGGAGATTTAACTTCTTTGTTTAAATTTATGTAATTGAAGCCATAATGATCATTGTCAACAAGCAAAAAAGTTAGGAAATCAAAAAATTTTGAGATATGATCTAAATTCTAAATTATCTCTAACAAAAATTATTAAATTTTTTAAAAAGAAAACAATTTGTTCCTTCTATATAAACACTTGTTCAAATCAATGACACAACGAGAAAAATTTACTGGACAAGGTTTTAGAATTGATAGTTTCAATATTCATAAATTTTCAAAAATAAAGCAATTTAAATAAGTAAAATTTAAAATCATAATTGAATCGATACTATAAGTTAACTAATTGATAAGAGGAGGTTAGTGTGCATAATATTTGCAAAAAAAATTCACTTAACATTATTCTACATATCATATGCATAGTTTGTATTTTCTTCCCATAGACTTAGAGCTTTATTTCTGAAGTATGTCTAATCCATTTAATTTCTGGAATCAGCTTTACTATATTTTGGGATAATCGTCGATGAAATATGCAGTCAGCAAGATAGGTGAAATAAATGTGCAGATTTTTTAATACTACAATGATAGACGTTTACTCATATTGTGTTTATTTTTACAACACTAGATTATTTTAATTTTTGCACCATGCTAATCTCTTTTATGATTGACTGCTTTAATTCTTGAAAATGATTTCTGTGTAGGGTTTTAACCCCCTCTTGGTTGAACCTCGGGCTCAAAAAATAGAAACATACTTGTAATTAATGGGAAGAAAACAAAATAATAAATCAAATGTGTGTTTTACCCGTTTGCCCATATGCGAATATGCACGCATTGTAGCCTTGAAAAGCATTGTCCAAAATATCAGCTCCAAGGCTATTGAACACAACTTCTTGGCCAGCATAATTGGAATTACTCTCGCAGAAGGACCAAAAACAATGATCGAATGTGAAACTCTGAAAAATAAAATGCAATCATTACATTTTACAGGCTTCATATAGCGATTCAAATTGAAAATCAGGACAACATATTACACAAAATCAGTAAAATTTTTCAGCTCATTAAACAGATACTAAATTATTTTTTAAAAAAAGATGATTTATGAAAGAAAAGAAAAAGAGATTTTCCTGCAACAATAAATTACTTAAAAACTAACTCATATATGATCTACATACTAAAATAAACAAATGATAAGAAAGAGTAATACCTCACAATCTGGAAACCAAAGATCAAGAAAATAATAAGATTCTAAATCATTATTACATAATGTAATAAGACACATAAAAGTACTTCCGAGTTTGTAATAAATTGCATGAAAATTGTCAGAAATGAAAAATAAAGTTTTCACTAGACGGAATTCAGCTAAAAAAATTTAATAACTTAATCTCTTAACAATTAACAATCGGACATAAGAAAAAAAAATTAGATAGCAATAATTCTGAGTTTCTTTACCATTAGATGATGACTGAAACAAGATTAACTAATTGGACAATCGGATTTTAGGATTTTTGCTATCATTGTAAAATAATTTTTAAAAAAATTTATAGTAAATCCAAATTTTTCGATTTTTAATACATATTATTTTAAAATTCTCACTTTTATTTGTAGAAATTGAAATGAATAACAAACACAAAAAAAGAAATTGAATAACACACACAAAGAAAGTCAAAATATTTTGCATCATCAGAAATATCAGGAAATCTACGGACCCTGCATTTTATTAATTACGGTTTACATTATTATTATTACTGGCAAAGTATTAAAAAAAAGAAAAACTTCCTATTATGTACTTTATCTTTTATTGAGATTTCTAAAGAAAACTGTACACACATAGTTACCAGATAAATATTGCTTCATACCAATAATAAAATGAAATTTTTAATCAAGTACTAGTCTTCCTTATTCAAATAATTTTTAAGACCTCCACTTTCAATTCTAGAAACAAAAGTAATAAGAGAAAGTCATTCAGAAGACGATTTCTCAATTAATCTTTCAAAAATTCTCCGATCGAAGAGGAAAAAAGTTAATTGGAATCGATCCTTTTTAAACTCAGATTAAAGAAACGAATCAATGACTGTAGAACTACTAAACTCCACTCTGCAAGATATGCATTTGCTGAAACTAACGTACATTACCATTGTATTTATCATCATAAAAATTTAATAACGTAAAATTGTTAACTCAGTTAAATAAACATAAACAACGTATGTACATATAAAAGTCAGAAACGTAAATAAATGCATGACCCCCGAATTCATCTCGACGAAAATCTTGACTGAGTACAGAAATAACTGAATTCCTAATAAGTTCGAAAGAACGAATCCCGCAAAGAAGGCTATATGTCTGAACCATCATTAATGGACTGTCCCTAAATATAAACTATCGAATTTTGCTACTTCAACTAGCACTATTAATTAAAATGAAAGTAAGTTGGATCGAACATCTAAACCTTTCGATTTTTAATCTCGATTATTTTAAAATACGCATTCGAAGAAAATGGAATGTTCTTAAAACAAATAAAAATTAAAAAACTAAGCAAAAAAACGTGACAAATAAAGACAACTATGAAACCTTCAGTACTGTCACCATGCAGGTAAACAACTTATAAAATCGTTCTCGTACTCAAGTCCAGAGTTTGAGAGTTGTTGTAGTTCATTTACGTCGTACTAGAGTTGCACAATGGGCTATAGGAGACGGTCTGGGAAACATCCCTGAAGATCAGAAGGCATGCCATCACAATTTTGATCCTCTGCAGAGGGGATGGCACCCCGCTTCGGTAGCCCGACGACCTACATGCGAAAGCGAGCACTTTAAGGTAGAACACTTTGATGAGGACCAATACCGCACACCTTCGGTCCCTACGCAGACTGATCCAAGTGGTCACCCACCCGTACACTGACCGCAGCCAGTGATGCTTGATCTGCTGGGAACCGCGTCTTAACGATCAGTCCACTGTGGGACAGAGTTTAAAGAATTCAATTCTCAAACTTTAAATTCCGTTACAGTATACAACAGTATTCTGTTACAGTATACAAATTCTGTATAAATTCTAGTTCTAATATTTTTAAATAAAATATACAAGAATTTTTATACATAATATTTTAAAAGAAGTTATATTTAATGATGGATGATTTCTTGAAACTTCTGAACCTTGGATTTCCGGAAACTTCCGAATCGTGGCTAGCGATAAATTCGGAATTTTTCCGGAGCACAATTATCTTTGCATATTACATCAACAAATAATAAAAGAGTCCACTAGAAATATATAGTTTCAGTCTGAAACTTCAGCTTCAAAAATAAATAAATAAATAAATATAAAATAAATACTGCAGTGTGACAGAGATTATTAATTAACAGTTAATTATTTGAATTGATTCATCTTTAATGTGATCCCATTTTCCTGAAACTGATATCCTCAACGAATATTATTAAATACGGATGCTTTTTAAGAAAGAAATATGAAATAAAAGTCCCCTAACTATATTGCCAAAATAAGCAACTAAAGGCCAAATATGGCATAGAAGTGAGTTAATACATTGAGAAATCGAATGATTGTAAGGAAATAATGAGTCGCTCAGTAGCACTTCTTTTTAACGAAATTCGTAAAAGGTGATTTATAATGAAGTATTTAATAAAAGTTGTTGAAAAGAATAATTAAAAAAGCAAAGGGGAAACGAGGTAATTGCGAAGTTTAATCGCAATTCTTAAATGGAGGGGGAGGGGAGTAAAAAACAATAAAAATTATAGCAAAGAAAGAAGAATGACTCATGTTTAGTTTACGAAATTTTTTTAACAATATTATACTTTTTACAAATTCTTCATAATATAATTATTAGAAAAAGCGGTTAATGTATATTTTCTTGAATTTTTGAGTAAAATGCTGAAATGACACAAAATTTTTTATATAATATTATAAGGATCTGAAAAAGAAAAGCGACCAAGTAAGAGGTAAAGCAAAAAAAAAANAAAAAAAAAAAAAAATGGTCAGGCCGCACCAGACGGGTAAAATTTCTATAGTATCAACATCTTCTACTTTTATTATTTATTTATTTATTCATAATAATTTTTTATAAGTTTAAATTTGGGGACGACAAAATAATGATCCTCTTCCTCATTATTTATGCATCTTTTTATTTATGTATTTATTTATTTTAATGAAACATATTTTATTTTCATTTTTCAATTGATTTCAAAGAAAGCAGCAAAGTTGGGAACTTTGGGATTTTCCCGGCGACCATTTTCGTACTTAGAGAATATTCTGTCGACCATTTTCGCCAAACCAGACATTATCGCCAAAAGGTAGCTTCTGCGCCAATAACCGAAAATTTAATCACATTTACTGAGTAATCCTTGACTACGCAAATTAGTTTTCCTTCCCGTGCTGAAATTTATTTATTTTTTTTTTTTACTCCACGCAAGGATAATGACTTGATTGTTTGCACTTTAAAAGTTATCAAGGATTTTTTGCCAACTTAATGATCTATAATATTATATATGGTCAAGATATATTCAAGAATAATTTAATCAATGAGTAAATACAAACAAAAAAAAGAGGTTTTTACTTCCGATTCTTTTTATTGCAATTTTTATTACGCATTTTTACACTTACACTTTTTTTGTTATTATTATTTGATAAATTTAATGTGTTTAGTACGTTTATTTGGGAAATTGCTTTTCATTATGAGGGCACAAGAGGATTTGCGCATTTTTGCGAGCGTTGACGGGATAGTACCCAAAGGTGAGTCAAGAGTTATATATATTTTTTTCCCCTTAATATATATACCTTAATCTTTTCTTTTTTTGTAAGTAAATACAAATTAAAAGGACCAAAATTAGTTATTATGATCAATCTCTTTTTCAATTTTTATGTGCTTAAATATATTTCTTCACTATTTGCAGATTCTTTAGAGGGAGCGGCAATCCTGAAAAATCTTTTTCATCAAACATCATAAGCCCCCATTTATCTTTTTCCGTGTATTTTATAAGAGTATATGTTTCTTTTTTTATTTATCAATACATTTCTAAAAGAGCCACAATTTCCAAAAAGTTTTTCTTCTTTTTTCGCAAATACTTTTTTTTTGAAAAAATAAATTTTTGTATATAAAATTAATATACAAAACTTTATTTTTTCGAAAAAAAAAAATATTTGCTTTTTTGACGAGAAAATTACACTTTCAATATTATTTTGAAATAATTATTATTTACTGGTACTGAAAAAAAGCAAAATGCAACAAAACCTGCTTTATTGCTAGAAGAAGGAGTAAAAAGGCGATTATTAAAAACACCTTATTTCATCAGACTATCAAGCGGGTTTTGACGTTTTTTTCACCCTGCCTTCCTTTTTGGTGATTCGACAGCATTTTTATTTTTTTCTTTGCTTGAATATTAATTTAATACGCCTACCGTGATCAGTCTTTGGATGATCACGCCTTTTATAGAGATTTGAAGAATTTTCAGGAGAAAAAAAAAAAAAATTTCTTCTTCTTTCTGGCATAAAATTATTTTGCAATTTGAATGCCACAATACATTTTGTTTAATATGCTTTCATTTTATTTGCACCATCATAACATCAAAAACCAAGGCTCGCATTAAAAATACAACCAAACATCTTTTTTTAAAAAAAGAGATGCTTTCACTGCTATTTATTTCATTTTCAAAACAAAACAATTTAATTTATTCGACGGTACCCTCTGAAGCATATCATCCCGTCAGAGTGTGGCAAGCGCCATTTTAAATTGGCCTCTTTTTTTAATACAATCAGCATTTTTTGATAAATATGTCGCAGTATTCGAGTAATTTCGTTAAGTTGATTTATGATTCTAAATTGACAGCATTTAACTACTTAAAAATCACTAACCACATTGGTTGCTTTACATTTTTCAAAAGGAAAAAAAAAATACACAAAAGTTCTAAAAATTATTGAGCGGGTTTTCTCCAAAACTAATTCAAGCGGCGTCTTTTTTCCTAATCTTTTTTTAGATATATAGTGCCTTCAATTGAGAAGTTTTTTTTTTCCTTTCTTTTCTTTTTTAAATCAAAGATTTGCTAAATACAAATAAATAAAATAATAGATAGTCAAAAATTTAATCTCAAATTTCAGACGACGAAAGCTTCTTTAGCATTTTGGGAATTAGTGAACTGTCAAACCAATTTATATAATAAATAAAAAAAAATAAAAAATTTCTTGCTCTTCGGCAAAAATTTGGTTTAACAGAGCGTGATGTTGTTTTAAAGTGTTCGCTACTTATTTAAAGTGCAGTTGAAATCACAATTAGAATAAATTGAAGAAAGACTTACCTTTGGTTGTTTGCTGCTTATTAAGAAGAGACCCCAAAAGAGAACATAAAAAAAAGAGAGAAGAAAAACAACATTAAAAAAAGTAGTATTTAAAATACGTCAACACAATTTATTTTTTACTAATTACTGTATTTATGCAGTATACAGACAAAGAATAGGGGAAGAAGTCTAGCTTTCATTGACATACTGGATAGTTTGTCTAAGGTAAGAACTCCCTCCGCCACAAATTCTGAAGCAATCTGCTGCTATGGAAGAATGCACAAGAATAGCGTATTTCTTCTCTTAACTCAAGGGCTAACACAATAGACAGAAGAAAAATATTCTTTTTTTCTCACCGACGTTGGGGGTTGAAATTCGCCGTAGAATTTCCGGGTTACTATTTTCGTCCAATTTTTAGGCCTAAGCTTGAAAAAACAAGCCTCCCAATATTATTATACCTGCAGTGTTTTCAATATAACGCTTTCTTTCAATTTAACTTACAACGAAACAAACAACAAATGAATTTGGAAGACTTCGCAAGCCTGCTATGATGCTACCCAAAAAATAACAAACGGTGGCCATTTTACACGAATATACGCGACACTCAAAGCATAGCAAACCTTACACTTTGAGCCGCGATGGCTCAGAGGAACCGGGTTCGAATCCCAATCGATACGAATTCCGCATCCGACTTGCACTGACCACAGTGCTGACGTGAAATATCCTCAGTGGTAGACGGATCATGGGTTAGAGTCCTCTTGCCGTCAGGCAAACCGTGGGAGGTTCTCGTGGTCTTCTTCTTCATGAAACGCAAATGCGGGTTAGGTCCATCAAAAAGTCTTCTACGAAGAGAAATTTCTCCCAATACTCGATCCAGGAGTTCCCTTGTCTTCTGTATTGGGTTCAAAATGACAAGGCTACGGAGTTGAAAATTAGTAGTCGTAAACCCATAAAATTGGGTCGACTGTTCACCGACGGTTATTGAAAGAAAAAAAAAGCAGAAAATTATATTTCTCATACATAAAGCTCTCATAAGTTTTTAACTATCAGTTTTATGGAATGGGTTATATAATGCTGGGTTCCGTAAATACGGAAGTACCCTCATAAAACTATAACATGCTATTCTCCATAAGAAGGTGCGATTCTTGTTTTGTGCTCGATTAATCGCATTCAATTTAAGCTATTTATGGCATATTTCTATGTTCATCACAAAAGAAAAAATTGATCCTTTATTTTTGGAGGCAAAAGCGAAAGAATGTAATAGTAATAAAAAATAAAACAAACAACTTTATTTTGAATTTAAGACATTTACTTATTTCTAATAGTATGCCGTATATAGATTTTATTTATTATCTTAAAAAGAACGGAAGTTATGGAGAGAGTAGGTAATTGCTTAAAGTGCAAAATTTCAAATCGACAACATTCCTTATTTCCGCTCCATTAGTAAATCGGGTGGAAATGATGTCAACCGTTACAGCAGTAGCGAGAGAAAGTGACATTTTCCCCTCAAGGCTATCTCGATCTAGTTTCGTTTTCATTTTGACTTATGATAAACAACTCTCTCTCTCCCACAAAGATTTGACTTTTCTCAACCTCTCCCCCTCCCACACACACACACCTTAAAAAAAAAAACGATCTGAAAGTGGTTGAGATCTTTAAACGGGATATCAACGATTTAAATTTTACAATTTAATCGATTAAAATAAAAATCTTTCCTCCTTTCCGCACATTTTTGATGTTCAAAGTTCATAAAAAAAAAAAATAAAAAAAAAAAGATTTTGATAGCTTCACACGAGGTACCAGTGATTTACATTAAATAATTAAAAACGGCGATTTAAATCACAATTTTAATACATTTTTAAATTACCGAATAAACGTTTATTTATTCATTTTACGAATTTAGATATTTGATCTTTACACATGGGCAGATAAACAAAATCTGAAAATATGGTTCATATAGTTAAGTCAAGAGAGTAATCGAGAGATTTAAGTCAAGAGTTTAAAACATCTCATATTATTATTTTCTTGAAATCTTTAAATGAATCAAATAAATTTCAGGGCACAATCAATCGTAAAACGGGTTTATTTTTAATAACTATTTATTATAGAATTTAATACTGAGCGAAAGCAATTGGTTACAAGAATATATCTTGTAATAGTAGAATCTACGAAATCGGTTGAAATTATATTGTAATGTTAATATATTCTAATGTAATGTATGTAAATTTTATTTATTTGTTTGCTTGGCAAGAATTTTGTATGAAATGAAATAAAAAAATATTCTCGTATAATCATAATGCACATAGCAAAGTTTATTCCCTTTCCTTTTCATTAGTAGCTTACAAATTGCAATTTAGGAGATAGCTTACATCATATCACTTGTCCAATGGTTTGTTACTTGCTGATATACATATAGTTATACATATAACAGGGTTGGCAAGGTTTAGGACAGAATGTATTAATCCACGGTTTAAACCCTGGTTTAAATCGTCCTGTCCAAAACCCCTTTGTCCAAAACTGTCTTAAACTGTCCAAAACCCTTTTACTCAAATTATGTCACAATTTTATCTGAACAATATTTAAGAGGTAAAATAAACATAGAACTAATAACATATTGATAATTAAATATACTAGAGAATATTTGTTTTTAAAAGTATAATGTTTTATTAATATTGTTTGACTCTTCAATTTAAACAAAGGAAGATTAATCAGTAATCAAGTTCAATTGGTCCTCTCATTCAATAGTACATAACTGAAGTTTGGCCTTGCCATACAGGTTAAAATATTAGGGACTAAGTGCTTGGTTCGTCATAAACAGGTTTATTTATCTATAGTACTATTCAAGAATACTTTTATTTCATTCATGTTCAATTCTTTTAGCATAGTGGTGATACATCACCAGTGTCAGTAACTGAAACTGATGTTATGCCCTTCAAAACTGTTAATACATTTTTCAGTTATTTTGTATTTTCAATTTAAACTAATATATTTATATTTAAAAACAATTTTTTTTAAAAAAGATGTCTTTTTTATAATCCTGTAATGCAGAAATTATAAAATTTTTTTAAAAAAATATTGTGAAAAATAAAAGGTTAATTTTTGAACAAATTTAGTATTTTTTTTAAGAAAAATTATTATTTTTTAATATTGCCATATTTATCCTTATGCAAAAATATTATTTATCAGTATTAAAAGCATATTTATATTTAAAGGATTAGGTATTCACTTTTGTTGTTCAATGAATTGTGGAGCTTCAAAAATTATAAACCTTTTCCTATTATATTATATTATTTTCTTTTAATAAGTTATAGTAAATTGTATAAAAAATATCAAATATTTATTGATACATGTAATTATTATGTGTACAATGGTTACACCTATAGAATTTTTACCTTTTACCAAAGTTCAAGGTTTTGGACACTTTAAGACAGTTTTACCCAGTTTAAGACAGTAAAACCCACGTGTCCTGTCCAAAATCAGTTTAGGACGTCCAAAACCTCAACCCTGATATATAGATAAATATATATTATCTAATAAATTAATATTAACTAATAACTTATGCTATCCATAATACGCAAATAATATATATTGCTATCAGTTATAAATAACAAACTACTATATCTGTAAATAAATTGTAAAAAATTTACCTCTAAAAACCCCAACTCTAATTCAAAATGGTCCGTTTTTTATTTTGCGCACCGTACAATAGATTTACTATGAATGAAAACATTTTTTAATAAAAACAATATATTTTAAAATGTGTAATAATGAGATATTCTAATAGAAGAACTTTCTGAAGCCTAAATTTGCCGTTAGAATTTAGTAGCAAGAATTATATAAATATCACTCTCTCCCTGAGGCAGAAGAATCACAAACATGAGTTCCTTTTTATTTATCGCTTGTTAAGTGCCTTACATTTTGCATTATTTTTTTTTTTTTTAATTTTTTAAAGCACTTTTGGTTTTTAAGAATTTGTGATTTGGAAATGTCAAGTTTTGGGGAAATCCCCCACTTGTATACAATTTTTTGTATACTGTGACTAAACTGATTATCTTCATCTGTCAGGGTTTATTCAGGGGAAAATGACATACTTCATAAGTGAGTAGCTTAAAGTGAATAAAAATGATTCGATATTTGATAAGAATTGTTTATATAAAAAATGATTGTTTTGAATTGGGAGAGACGAGTGGATAGGGCGGAAGGGAGAGAGAGGCAAATCGACCTGCAGATGGAATAATCCATTCTATAGTCGTCTCTTTGATGGGGGTGGAAACAGAACCGAGTTCTTCCAGGGAACCCTAGGATTCCATAGAAGAGTTTCCGAGAGTTAAAACTTTTTTTTTTCCCTTTTTAACCAGTAAAGATTTATAAAACCTGTCATTTATATGGCATCAATAATTCAGTATTTATTTAATACTATTTAGATTATATATTTTTTTTAAATTCTGGAGGAAAAAAAATTGCAAAATTTAAAAAACATATGTTTATCCTAATAGCAATACAGTGAATCTAACTATATATAAAAATCTAATGATGGCGTCGCTGTTATCCATTGTTGTCTATGCAATTTTATTGGCCGCAAAATCACGTGGTAGGATCAAGTTTTTCCTCATTCATTTCATTTCCATATTGTTTTGGTTGTCATCAGCATAAAAATAATAAAAGTCATAAAGGTTTTGTTTTTCTATAAATATTTTTGTATCCATAATTTAAAGTTACTTAACTGTACTGCTATTATTACGCTTTTAATTTAAGAGTTTAAAACTAAGAGAATTGTTGGGTTTTTTTTTTTTAATTTTTTATTATTATTATTATAAAGTATAATTCTGCGCTACAAAGATAAAGTTATTTAAAAAGGCGATCTATCTTATGAACCGTTTTACAATTATTATTTCTGTGCAAATAACATTAATAACACTGTAAAATTACAGTTAAAAATATCTGTTAAATGAGTAAGAACAGAACGATCTGCTTCACTCACAATGAGATACAAGCAAAAATAGTATTTAAATATATCCGCCAGTTTAGTAACCG